GTGCAGCAGAGTAGTGGTAGCCTACGTTGCAAACTAGTGTGCAGCCTTATATTCCACCTTGCTCAATCTGATTTGCAGTGGGCTGTTATCAAACACATGCCAATAAATATCACTGCTAATCCATCCTACACAATAGTCTCTATTAACTCCATTTGCACCGCACACAATTTGCAAAAGGTTTCTGTAAAAAAACCTCTTGCGGTTGCGGGAAGTCTTAACCGTAAAAGGTTACGGTTTCGACCATAACCGTATGCCGTCAACTGCGCCCTCGAGTACTTCCCACCTGTCTGGATTGCCTCTATGCGACTTAGCTCGAAGGAGGTGGGCCATCTCACCCATCAGAATGTGAGCCATACATACACAAAACGGGTAAAAGAGAAGACGATGATGTAGGCATGACTGTAACAATACCCAAAATGTTAAATTATCTATTCTATATATAATTGTAGGCTTGATAGGTGTTATTGGATCCTACTTTAGAGGGTACAACCCCCCTTCTTGTATCCCTCTCTCTTCTAATCTCAGTCCCTTCTCTCTCGACATTCTCTCCTAGCACTTAAACCTCTCGTCTTTCATGGCTTCTCCCCCTTGCTAGCTTATCTTAACACAAAATACAGGTCGAATGCCCTAAAACTCCATCTGTGTTCCAAGCTTGTCAAGGATAAGGCACCATCTTTAAAATTGTTTATTGAAACTCCACCTACATAGGTGAATCAGTTGCGGTCGTAATGGTGCGCCAGGTATACAAACACGCAGTATCAAACGTGCAGGTATTCGTAGAATTGTAGTTTCGCCAAGTTGCAAATGAGGCAAAGCCACTGGAGGTGAGACTTAAGGTGGTCTCCACGCTCAAAACCATGTTTACATGCGGCAGCAGTAGCAACAAGATCAGGTACAAGCGTACCGGTAACAACTGCCAACGAGAATAAGAGGAGACGCTGATGCCCAGGCACAAAATGGTGAGGATCATAAGAAGATGTTGTTACGTCATATGGCGGGTGTCTTTGGAAATGGCGTGATTTCCCTGCATTCATTTATACCCAGATACCTAGAGCCCTGGGAAGTGTTGACACGTGGGTGTGTAATTGGTTTGAGTTTTCCACCATACCCGTACGTGAAGAAGTGTTTTTTTGCCACACCACGACGTCAAGTTTCTTCCAGTTGCCGGCTCGTCGAGGCATTTCGAACAGCGGGTTTGTAATCACATCTTTTGTAGCTTACTTCGCCCCAGGATGTGCATTTGCAGGGGTTCGTACTGCTCCTTTCGTGTGTTCTTGTAGTAGGTTTTGTTCACTCGGTTCATACAGTAAGTTCGAAAAACGCAATAGCGAGCGCAACTCCACACCTTCTAAGGACGGAATGGGGGCTGCAATATTGCAGTGGTCCAGAGTGCTTGGTCCTCCCTCTATGCAACACAGCCCTCGCCACTTCGCGAGACCATCCGAGCTATTGACAGGCTGAATGAAACCCCCTCAGCCATGATGTGGCGTATGATCCTCGCTAGTGCTGGTAGCCCACTCGACTTGCATGGGCCATCGCGAGCCCTTAAGCCCTTCATTAGCTCGGATGGTCTGGACCGGGGCAAAGCAGCCTACTGCCATTGCATAGATGAAGACATAAATTCATTCGAATGGGGTGTTTGACATCTCAGGCAGGCTTGCACCCCTCGCTCGTAACGTTTGCAATGTTGGAAGGGGTAGAGTCTGTTTTAACTGAAAATAAGAGCATTCACCCTATTTTGTTTGTCTGGTACAATCTAGGTCATGGCAGGATATGGGTACACAATTTGACTATACTGCGGATCCCACCCACTATGCACAATTATCCTCCCACCCTCGCCTCCATTGCTTTCTGTCCAAGTCAAGAGTCATGACAACATACATCACCACCATTCAGCAGATCCTTATAACGGACATGGAGCCAGAAGCCATTGTGCGCAAAGACTGGAACGAAATCAATACCTGAGGCATGTGAGTGGTTGTGGCGACTTGTCGCCACATTCGGCTTTCTTACTACCTGGTTCAGGCGGTACCATCACAGTACGGTGTGTCATTCAGACCCATTCTTATTGTTTCTCCTCCCTTGTCCCCTCCTCATTGTCCCCTTTCCATCCCTTCACAATCCCCTAGGTTTTGCTCGCGTGGCTGTTTCCCCCATGCAGGGCATAGTGGATGGGCTGCAAGAGAGTGTCCTCGCATTCTCTCACGAGGTGGCGGGGACAACACCCAAGGGCGTGCTCGGCATGATGCTTGTAACTAAGTACTTTGACACTATGAAGCATATAGGGGCGTCGCCTAGGGGCAATACGGTGTTCATCCCATACTCGCCTTCTCAAATTGCTGATATTTCTGCCCAGATTCGGAATGGGATGCTGCAGGAAAACATCAAGCAGGAGTAGGTACTAGGAACAATGAAGATGTGATGTGTGGTAGATGCGAAAGCAGCTGTTGAACGTATGTTCCATCACGTGTAAATATGCATAGCTTTGTTGTATAACATGCCTTTAAATGAATTTTCCTTTCCTTCCATGGCGTTCAGTTACATAAAAAACGGTATTGAGTCTTCGGCTCTTTTTATTACCTACTTGCAATAGTAGATACGGGGGCTGCTTGTGTATACATGTCAACCTTGAAATGAGTGATGAAGTATCGTTGCACAAACCAAATAAAGAACCTACAATATGGACACCAGAGCTGGTTTTATGCCTTCCATAATATGAGGAAGATTGATGTGTTTTTTTTCAATAATTGAATTTCATAGAATTGACATCATATGATGCCCTGCTAGTACCATGGTGAGGTATTGGCAATATCGGAGATGTTTTTGGAGAAGTGTTTAGCTGGTAGACACTGGAGCTGGGGTGTTTCTGTTGTTTTGGTTGCATGACTTCCTCCCTTTGGTACTGCTGCTCCCACCTTACCTGAAATATCATCCAGGAGGGGAGGGGAGTGAAGCGAAGGGAGCATGCCACATGTGGCATCAATGTGAAGCCTGTTGATTGCGTCAACCAGCGATATTTCATACATCCCAGGGAGAAGCAAGCATGTCACATGTGGCGTCAATCCCGTTGGTTGCGTCAACCAGCGATATTTCAACGCTCGATATCCGCCACACAGCCAGTCGTCGATATTTATTCCTGGAGAACGGCAGCCACTTTGTCCGTGGACTCTGGAGATATACAATGTACAGCCTACCTATCAGCGTGGCCCACAGAGGACACGCGTAGAGCAAGGCATCGCAGACCAGTCGCATTTTGCGGAGCATAATACCCTACTGCCGTTGCTGCCCATCCCACAACAGTTGCGATGCGAGCGACCATGAGTTTCGAGTTCTTCAGCAACCATACGTCATCCTAGATTCCAAAAATCGCAACCACACTTCGCCATTTCCGCGAGTTCTTCTTGCCGCAATTGCCTCAACCCTGACCGTGAGGTCCACGCAATCGAATGATAGCGCTTATATCGTGTGGATCTTGAACAGCCTGGGTGGCTACACGTCAGACAAGGCCACAATCTTCTTCCTGAAGAAGAACGAGAAATGATTGCGCTGCTTCCAGCAACGACACTCCAGTCTCACAAAAAAGGAAATGACATAGGCTAGCCTGCGGTAATAACACACCCAGTATTTTCACCGGGGGTGCCGCCGAGAGGGTATTCACCCCCCGAAAGCATTCCTGAAGACCAGATCTAGATACCCTTGAAAAAACAAAATTTGCTTTAGTTTCTATACGAAACGTTTACTGCTTGATCTAGTGTAACTCGAGTCAGGAAACCCGACGTCAGCTTTGGCAGTGCTAAAAGTTTTGCCCGCGTGGAGTATGCCGCGCTTAGGCCGTAGGAACAAGGGAGTACAAAAATTCTGCTGCCGCCCAATTTCAGGGTGTGAAATCACCGCGGGCTAAGTGTATAGAACTCCTCTCTGACCGAACCAAGCCCCAAGTCCCACCAGCTTGGGCGAGTATTGGTGCAAGCTGCCCGAAAACGGAGGCTCGGCTAGAGCGATATGGGAGTTGGGCAAAGGGCAAGTTACATCAGATCAAACAGCTGGCCTGACTGGTTGCCTCTTGCGAGAACCACTCACAGCCACGAACAAGATGCTGCGGAGGTGAAGAGGTGCCCTGCCTGCCCTCCCCAGCCACGCGAGTGTTCGATGACGTTGCTCCGTTTCAACTCCCTCCAGTTGAATTGCTGCCAGCATCCATGTGACTTGCTGATGTGGCACCTTCATCCGTACACGTCCCCAACGGCGTCAAGGCTGCGGCGAGCCTGTCATCTGCGGGCAGCACATCGGCGAGTGCGCTGCAGCCACGCGAATGCATTTCGTTGCGAATTTCCTTGCGATTCAGCAGCAAATTGAGTTACAGCAAACCGCGAAACCTAGCCTGAAAGAAACCCAGAAAATCTGTCCCTGTGGGTGGCAGGTGCATCTCCCTCATTGCTTTGCGCCACGTGCGACCGCATTTGCCCCCCTCTGACATGTGGTCCTGCTCTGCCCTCGCTTCCTACTGCTGTACACCGTGGCAACTGACGAGTACCCAACGTATCATGAACGGGAGGTGCTCCAGGCGTGCCTGCACCACCATTCTGTCCCCAGACCATGCCTTGATATTCCCAGCAGTCGCGAGAGCCTCTCATGCGTGCCATCAGGCAGAGCGGAACTCGGTTCGGTTCGCTCTGGATTCGGGGCACAGCACGACGACCACAGATATTTTCGAGGAAGTGCGAGCGAATTGGGCTGGGTGTGTGTGTGGATCTTTTGCCTCCATTTGCCTCACTTCTGTTGGTTCTGCTCTGCTCACTTGTTTCTGTTCACTATTCAATGAATTTTTTGCCCCTGCCGCATTCCTGCCCCCACACCACATTTCTGCCCGCCTCACTCCTCCCCCCGCCTCATGATTCCTGCCCCTTCCTGCCTGTCTCCTGCCCCCATTTCTGCACCCAGTTCCTCCACAGCCGCAGACTCCCAACGAACCAACATCACGCCACTATTTCCTGCTCCACAAATCTCGCACCGTTCCCTCGACTCCACAACACGCCACCACAGCCTCTTCTTCCTCGGTCGCACCAGCTCAGCTTGCCTCTCGTCCATCACACAGCTCAGTTCCCTTTGGAGAATAAAGCCTGCAGCTTCGTAGTACTATTGTTCTAGAAGTGTTGTCTATTGGCTTTAGTTCTTCGACAGTTCGTTCCTTCAGTTTCCCGACAGTTAGTTCCTTGAAGATCCAGAATACGTTCCCGCTTCCCCTTGACAAGCCTCAGTATACATCAGCAAGCAATCATGGCAGCACTTCCAGCTGATTTCATACCTGCTGCGTTCATCCCGTCGAATATTTCCTCTTTCACTCGTCCTTCTCTCGCCATGGCGGCCCCTCCCGTGGCGACTGCGGCTGCTGCCGTCTGCGCCTTGTGCCCCGCGTCGGCGACCGTTCACTGCCCTGCGGACAGCGCGAATCTCTGCGCGTCGTGCGATCTCGCAGTGCACAGCGCAAACACCATCGTGCACCGACACGTGCGCACCGTCCTCTGCCGCTGCTGCGCCGCCCCCACCACCGTGCAGATCTGCGGCCTCCCCGCGTCTACTGCCGCCATGCCGCCTTGCTTCTGCGCCTCCTGTCTGCTCCCTCTGCTCTGGCCGTCGGCGCAACTTCCCGCGACAGGACCGTGCCCACCGCTAGTAGCAAACGCTGTGAACAACCAGACTTTGCCGGCTGGGACGACTTCCGGGTCTGAGCGCCTACTGCAGGGGTTTTTAAGCGCTGGGTCGACTTTCTCGTTCTCCACCACCACCGCTGCTGCTGCTCCCCCTCTCATGACCCATCTCCCTCGTCCCGGGTTCGTGACGCGTATCGGCGGTGGGCGCGTCCCGTCGGCAGTGGCCGCTGCGCAGCTTGACGATAATTCTCCCGTTAGCGTCCTCACGACGGAGTCTGACGTTTTCCGTCCGACGGAGCTCGATAGCCAGCAACAGTGGCGAAAGGCCTTCCAGCAAGAGCTCGTACATACAGTGCCGTCCCGTGGCATGCAGCAGGGCTCGTTTCGACCAGAGGGCTTGTCTCGGCCAGAGGGTTTGTCTCAGCCAGAGGAAGCCGAGTCGTTTCGAGCCTTCGAGCAACAGTCTTGGCAGGAGCAGGACGCCCAGCAGGAGCAGCACGATCACAGCCCGCTAACCCTCTCCCTCTTCCCTCTCGGCGCCGAGGGCGCCGCGTCTGCGGGCCGGGTGGCGCGGAGACTCTACACTGATGTCACGGACGAGAGCAAGTCGCGCGGCTCGTGCTGCGCGGTCCCGCCGCTGATCCCCGACGACGAGCCGCAGAGCAAGCGGCAGCGCTTGCAGGGAGGGGTTGGTGGCGACGAGTCAGCAGTAGCGCCGGCTCGCTTTTTCCCCGTTATAAGCGCGCCTTGGACCCAGGTCAACCAGGCCGATGCTGCAGCAGCGTATGCTGGGGCTGGTCTCGGAAAAAGGGCATACGATGCGTTCGAGAAGCTGCAATTTCCGTCAACTGCGCCGTCGATTGCGGCGCCGGCAACGGCGGAGCCCCTCGCGGCGGCAGCAGGGGGGGCGGAGTCCGCGCGGGGAAAGCTCGGCAAGACGGCTTCCGCGCGGCTGCGCCACGTGTTGCTGACGTGGCAGTCACGGCTGGGACTGAAAGTTCCCACGGTTCGCTCGTTGGCGTTCCACATGCTACAGCGGGTGCTGCTGCGGCTACAGCCGACGGACATGGCGGCGGAATCGCTTCGCGTGCTGCTGGCTGCGTGTCTGTGGGTCGCGGCTAAGAACGAGGAGAACCAGAAGAGTGTTCCGAAAGCGAAAGTGGTCGCTGCTGTAGCGAAGGTGCCTGTATCGCGTCTGACGGCGTGTGAGATCGAAGTGCTGAAGATGCTGGATTGGCAGCCGCAGAAGGGGTTCAACTACGCAAGTCAGGAGTTCTGATCGGTTTGGAAGGGTTTGTCTGTGGATGGAGGCCCTTCTTTCTCGGATGGATGATCCTGTCAAGGTGCCATTTTCACATCCTTGGCATCTCAGCTGGGAGCTAGGCCAAAATGAGTCGGTGTCTCCTAATCTGTTGCCTGTAACTTAGTAGCATGTAGTCGGCTCTGCTTGCTGCAGCAGTCTAGTCTTCTATAATGTTCTCATGTTTTGTCCATCCATACCCAGCATGTCTTGGTTAGTATCATAGTATGCAACTGAATGGATAACCTCCTAAATGCAGAAATGTCATGTAAGGTCCATCACTATGGTCTGCTTGCCGCAGCAAGTTGACTATGATAAGGAGGATGATTATGACTAGATTGTGCTTCTTGCTCTGTTTATGGAATATGCATGCCTAACTTGCTGTATGCAGTGCGCTTATATTTTCCTCTCCCAACCCGCGCATAACGCTAGCAACGGGTACAGTACACGGGGAATACCGAACTGTACCAAGGCAGCACAATCCAAACCGACCCGTTCCGACTGGATGAATTCACAACAGAACCACTATCAAATCTGAGGGGCCTGCTACATTTCTCAAAACAATGCCCGAGGGCGTGTCCAAAGCATTCGTCCGATTGCGGTTGAGTAAGAGGGAATGCTTTTCGCAAATTTCAAATAACATTGTAAAACGGTTCGGCAGGGAAGGCCCGAAAACCAGCGCTTAGGACACGCCCTGACTGCACCACATAACACACAGCAGTGTCAGGCAGTGCTCAACGGCTAGCGAATCAAAAGCGCCGGCAAGGCCAATTGCTAGCCAGATAAAACGCGCTGTCGGTCTGCGACACTCTCATACCACATACGCCACCACACACCAATGGCTTACCATGTCGCGAATCTCCCCCTCCCTGCTCCTCTTCCCGCGCTTTTCCCTCATTCTTCTCATTCCACTTTTTCCTCTCCATCGTCGCTCCGCGATCTCGCGGCTCGCGCCGTAGCGTCGAGCATCTCCGCACTTCCCGCTAATCTCCGCGTCCTACCGCCGGAGCTAGCGCATCTCGTGTTCTCCTTCCTCCCGCTTCCCCTCGAGTTCCCCGCGCTCGACGCCTTCGCTCGCACCGGTTTCTGGCAGCCAGAATCCCTCAGCCTCGCGAGCTTACATCTACCGCAATACCCTGCGAGTTTCCCGGCGCGATTTCCGCTGGAGAGGCTCGCTGCGTTCGCGTCGTCGCTGCGTCGCGTGAATCTGAGCGGCTGTCGCTGGCTCAGGGACCTCGAACCGCTCAGCGGTAAGTGCGCTGCTGCTCCCAAGAGCATGAGATTCCGAAGCTTGACGAACATGGTCCTTGGGAGGAAGGAAACTACGACCATTCTCAGTAGTTTCGCTCGTGCATGATCAACTCGTCCTTGTTGCTTCATTAATCCGCCCTTCATATTTGGCTCACACACGACCAATCAAATTTGCCATTTCCCCCTGCGCTTTGAATAGATTTCTCCCCTCCTTCCGTCCCTCTCTTCCCATCCACAGTTCTGCCTCGCCTCTCCTGCCTCGGGATTGCCGGCTGCACGTCTCTCCACCAATCAGCTCTCAGCATGCTCTGCTGTACGTTTCCCTCCAAAGTCTCCTTACAAAGTGTCTTGTACCTGTATCTACCACCTAAATCCATACTCCCCTATACATATACCTTGTAGCTGTATCTCGCGCCTAGATCTCAACTCCATTTCGGTGCATTGTCTTGTTCATCTTCACCTTGCCTTAGTGACCCCGCCTGGCAATATTTTCTCATTATTTTCCCTTTCTCCCTCTGTCGTTCCTCCCCCCGTCGCTCCTCCCACTGATCCTCCCTCTTTCTGCCCTACAACACACACAACCTCCCAGCCCAAAACATTCTCTTATTCCCCCTCGTGTCGTCCTGGCAGACCTCCCATCCCTCACTCTTTGACCTCAAATGACTTTTGAGTCGACTCAATAGTCATCCCGAAACGTTATCTAATCTTTCAACGTTTCTTCGTGGCAGATCTCCCATCCCTCACATGCCTTGACCTCTCTCGCAATCCTCAAGTCAACGACGGCACAGCCACTGCTGTCATTCCCTGTAAGGTGCTGCTGCCAGCCTGCCAGCCTGCCTTTGTAACTTGTGCTGTTTCCGTACAGCAGTCTGCTCGACGCTTGAAAGCATGTCATTACATCCCATGCCTCCATCTCTCATCCCAACGTGTCTCATGCCACAATCTATCCGTCATGCCTCCATCCATCCCTCATGCCGCCATGCCACAGGGTCCCCTCTCTCCGCCATCTCGACCTGAGCCACACCGCAGTCACCAGCCCTCATGACATCAGATCTCAACTCTCACCCCTCTCCATCCCTCCATGCCACAGGGTCCCCTCTCTCCGCCATCTCCACCTGAGCCACACTGCAGCCTGCCCGACTGATGACAGGATGTCTTTACATCTCATGTCACCATCTCATCCCCCCATCCCACATCCCATCCCACCATCTCCCATCCCTCCATCCCACAGGGATCCCCTCTCTCCGCCATCTCGACCTGAGCCACACTGCAGTCACCAGCGCTTTCCTTGACTCCCTCACCTACGGTGCGCGGCTGAAGGGGTGGAGGAATGATGCCGAGAAATCTTCCAGGAAGGCAGAAGCACGCAAGGCAGGTGGGTGGGAGGGCCAGGGAGTGGGGTGAGAAGAGTGGAAGGAGAGGGAATTGGCTGGCTTGGAGTACAGGACTGAAGCATCCGTCTTATTATTGAACTATCTCGCATCTATGCACCATGATTCTAATGATAAGTGTGTACTCCGGGTTTATGGGTACACCCTCTGCCTTTCTTTGCCTTTCTCTCGCTTTCTCTGGCTTCCAGCGAAGCGGCCATGGTGGGGGGCAGTTACGGACACTTATCAGTCTGAGGATGCACCTGCTACAGGCTGCTTGACCAAGCGGCCTCGTCCGAACCACGAGCAGCACCAACAGCTGCAGTTGCCACAAGAGCGGCAGCCGATGTCACAAGAGCACCAGCAGCAGCAGCAACAACAGAATTTGGAAGGGCAGCAGGTTGAAGAACAGTCGGAGTGGCCAGAGTGTCATCTGATTCACTTGAGGCTCCAAGGGACTGCAGTGGACAGGGCTGGAGCCAGTCACCTGCTAGGTGCGTCGTGAAGCAATGGGCTGTGAGCTTATGATCGCAGCAGCAAACGCATGTATATGCTCAGGTTTATGTCGGAGTGGACTGAGTGCCATCTCGTCCATTTGCAGCTCCTAGGGGCATCTTTCGACAAGATGTCACAAAACACCCATCTTTATTTGGATGAGGCCAAGATGGAGCCACGTCTTAATTGACTCATTTCCCAAACCCACCCACCCCGCTTATGCAGGCCTGAGTGCTACAGCACCCCGGGGCGGCATTTTCTGTCTCGACTTGAGAGACACCTCGGTGAAAGGCGATGTGCTGACCAAGCTGAGATGTGAGCTGGCGGCTGGATCTAGGCGCTGAATGTGTTAAACCCTGGGGTGTAGTGTAGAGTTGAGATGCTGACTGTGTAGAGTTCCGTCTGCTGATGCTGATGTTTCATCCACCGGGCGAGACTCCATCGCCCGTGCTGAAACGCGATGTGCTTTTTGAGTCGACTCAGAAATCGCCTGTGCTGAAAGGCGATGTGCTTTTTGAGTGGACTCAAAAATCGCCTGTGCTGAAAGGCGATGTGCTTTTTGAGTCGAGTCAAAAATCGCCTGTGCTGAAAGGCGATGTGCTTTTTGAGTCGACTAAAGAATCGCCTGTGCGGAAAGGCAATGAGCTTTTTGAGTGGACTAAAAAATCGCCTGTGCTGAAAGGCGATGTGCTTTTTGAGTCGACTAAAAATCGCCTGTGCTGAAAGGCGATGTGCTTTTTGAGTCGACTTAAAAATCGCCTGTGCTGAAAGGCGATGTGCTTTTTGAGTCGACTACAAAATCGCCTGTGCTGAAAGGCGATGTGCTTTTTGAGTCGACTAAAAAATCGCCTGTGGTGAAAGGCGATGTGTTGACCAAGCTGAGATGTGAGCTGGTCGCCAGTAGGAAGAGGGGGGGAAGTGGTGAATCGTTGAAGTCTGAGGTGCTGAGTTTCCTTTATTAGTTCTGATTTTTCTTGTTGATTCTGTTTTTCCATCCATCTCTCCATGTTCCCCTTCCGTCCTCTCTCTCTCTCGTCTGCCCTGACCCTTTTTTCTCCCCCTGCTTTCCCCCCTCCCACCGCCTTCCTCCTCTCGTCCCAGTTGCATCTCCCTTACCTCCCACCTCTCCCCTCAACCCTCTCCCCTCTCCCCGCTCCCCTCTCCCCTCTCCCCTCACCCCTCTCCCCTCTCCCTCTCCCCTCTCCCTCTCCCCTCTCCCCTCTCCCCTCTCCCCTCTCCCCTCTCCCCTCTCCCCTCTCCCCTCTCCCCTCTCCCCTCTCCCCTCTCCCCTCTCCCCTCTCCCCTCTCCCCTCTCCCCTCTCCCCTCTCTCTCTCGCCTCTCCCCTCTCCCCTCTCCCCTCTCTCTCTCGCCTTTCCCCTCTCCCCTCTCCCCTCTCCCTTACTCCCTCTTCCACCCAACAGCCACGTTCCACCTGCTCTCTCCACCCAACCAGCCTCGGCTACTCTGCCGAACCAATGCTCTTGCTCTCAACATCCTCCGAACCTACCCAGGCCCGGCGCCTGAGTCTAGTCACCGAACCAGCAGCTTCGATGACCGTCCCTTGTCAGGTGGTTGGGATACAAACGAAAGAGGGGGGGAGAGGGGCAGAGGGGGGGGAAGAAGTGCAAGAGGGGGAGGACGAGTGGAAAGTTGGGGAAGCGGCAGTGAAGGAGGAGGAGAGGGGGCATCAGCATCAGCAGCACCAGCGGCAGCACCAGCAGCAGCAGCAGCATCACCAAGAGAGGTGCATGAGTGGATGTGTGGGTGTCAGCTGACGGGAGCAAACACTCCTGCTGGAAAGCAGACCGGCACCTGCAGCAGCAAGAGTGGCAGCAACAGTAGCGGCAGTATTTGTAGAAGTGGTAGTAGGAGCAAAGGTAGTGTTTTAGTAGGACGCCCTATGGAGAGGTCCAACGTGGCGGCTCCTGGTTGGCAGGAGAGCTGGATGCATGACGGAGTGATGAGCTTCCTCTGTGCTCCTCCTTCTCCTCCGCCTCCTCTTCGTGCTCCTCCTCTTGCTCCACTTCCCCCTCCTCTGGCTTCGCGCACTCCACCTTCTCTTCTTCATCCTGCTCCTTGGTATTATCCGCACCCTTCCCTTCCGCCATTCCACTAACCTCCCCGCCTGCCTAGGTCAAGCATGCATGAATTGCTGAATTGCCGCAGAAAAGATACACCAGTAGTACATGAAATGTCAGCATATCGGTATACATATATGTAAATATGTAAGTAACGATGGCTGGAAGGATCAACATGTCACTTTATTGACGATGTATATATGTACAAAAGATACAAGTTAGAGGTAGTAGAACCAGACACCAAGCAGGAGAGAACTAAAATACGAATCTACAACCAAATCAGAAGTCATTCCCCAGGTATGCAAAATCAGCTACCGATGGAGGAGCAACTTCGGACGGGGCGGCGCTAGTGCCGTCGGAGAAATGAACCTGCGCACGCCTGCAGATTGTGCGGGCCTGCTCACGCTGATGGACGAGAGAAATGCGCTTGTAGAGATCGGTTTCAAATATGTGGAGTAGAAGGTCGGAAGACCCGCTGAAATCGCGAAGACGTGAATCACCACGACGGCTGCGGTCCTTGAGAAAGTCTTGGACGGTCTTCCCAAAGTACCCAAAAGTCTCAAGGACTTGGAGAAGAAGTTTGACATCAGGACGGGTGTGCAGCGACGGGGCGTAGAGAGTGGTCTTCTCAGTTTCGCGTGTAGCAGCGGCCGAACCAATGACCGTGGCAGCGTTGGAGTGGGGGAACCCCTGTTGAGGGTCAACCATAGAGATATCCAAAGCCAAGGTTGTACCCGACTGAACGTCTCGGCAGCTGACATCAGGACGCCGACCCGGAAGGAGATGCTGGTCTTCCAGCTGCGCAACAAAGCCGAGTTCCAGGGTGATACGATGCACCTCATGTTTGATGACATCATGTACCTTGGTCGGCTCATCATTTTTTGGGCAGCGGGGAGGGTGGGAATGGATGGAAGGGTCAGAGAACGGAGAGCCGCACGTGCAGGTTGCGGCAGTGGTGAGGTGTGGAATGGGGAGGCCGAGACGAATTGCAGCACTGATGCGCCACTCGGATTCGGACAGTAGCATATTCGAGGAGGAGGGTGCCCCCATAAGCCAGTCCCCAGCATGCGGGCCCTGAAGGGAGGTTAGTCGAGCCAAGCAGAGCAGAGAAGAAGCCGTAGCGTGCACCTTCTCAAGCTGGGTGGCCTCTAGCTGATGGGATAGGTGAGTGAAGAGCTTACGATGATAGCCTGACTGAAGGTGAGACCACGAGGGAAAACGACCGTAGACCTCTTGAGGAAGCATGGACATGGCGGAGGGGAAGAATTCATCAAGACGATGAATAGTATCGGAGGAGAGGAAGGGGGTGAAAAGCGACACGCCATCAGTGATGAAGTGAGAAGAAAGCAGTGGTAGCGATTGAGCGTAGATGCAAAGGTAACTGAGAGGAGCGGTGAGGGCGGAGGGACGAAGACCGAATGGGGAGGAAGGCTTGCTGATGGGCGATTTTGGTCTGCTTCGTCTCTGGAATCCGGTAACTGGGGCCAAAAAGTTGGGTGAAGTGATCCAAAAGAGCAGAATCCTAGGCAGCAAAAAGGTCGTGAATCTCGGGGAATGGAGAGATTGTTCGAAGGAGGAAGGAAGGACGGGGTGAAATGCAATGAGAGAGGATGCGAGAGGCAATCTGAGGGTCCTCGAGCTGGAGAAGAAGGGGAAGGGAGGTCGTGAATGAGTTGAGCTTGTCACGGACCTCCGAAATGATGTGGCCGCCAGAGCCAATTGGAACCACAACGACACTCATGCCGTTCGGAGCGATTGGAACTCAAAGAGGGGGGGCTCAATCTGGTGGAAGATCCAAAGGGCACCATACGGAGCACTTCGAAGGCTGGACAGCAAGGCCCAACGAGCGAAGGCGGTCCGTAAGTGCCGTGAAAGCCGTCGAGCTAGTTGAGGGTGGACCGACGAGGAAAGTTTCGTCGGCGTAAGAGGTGATGAAAATGGAAGGGAATTGCCGTTGGGTAGGGAGGATGGCAAGTTGTTGCGTGAGGGCGTACAGGAAGGGACCATAGGGGTCCCCTGGCGCACACCAGTGGCAGAGTGGAAGGAATGAATGGTGGGGCCATTGCGGAAGTGGAGGGGGAAAGAGGGGGCATAGAAGTGGTGGAAGAAGGGGATGAGGGAAGAGAAAGGGGAGGAGCGAAGGGCGTCGAACATGGCTATCCTATTGAATGAGTTGAAAGCATTGGCGACGTCGAGTTGGAGCACTGCCCAGTCAGGGTGTGAAGAAATGGCAGACTGCACCGCACGCGCCATTACTTCAATCCCAGCCAGAACTGCCACACCAAACTGAAGGCATGGAAGGAAGGTGTTCTGCATCTGTTGCTTGAACATGAGGGAAATGCAGCGGGAGAGGAGGCACGGGAGCACTTCCCCAATAGCAATTGGCTGGACTCTGCCATGAGGCTTCTGCAGGGCGACGAGAGAGGATGCCGTGTAGAAAGGGCGGACCAGGGTAGGTAGGTTGCCCTGCATTCAATTCTCGAAAAGGCAGAGGAGGGTGGGGAGGTGCTGCTGGTATGAGAGAAAAGTATCCCGAAGATGCTCAATGTACCAACCAGAAGGACCAGCAGCAGTTTCTCGAGGGGCAGAGCGTAAGGCAGAGTGAAGGACTAGGGCAGTGAGCTAAACATGTCACTGATGCATACATATCCCGATTTTCAAGTGCGCCCCTGGTGTGCGATTCTAGCCTGTGGTATCTAAGGCCTAGAAGTAATTATCTTGCTGTAAGGCTTATAAGGGGAGCAGCAATGTGTGAACATAAAGGAAGTGGAGAGGGTGAACGAAAGGCAAAATGAGGGGAGCAACGAGGAGTGAACATAAAGAAAGCGGAGAGGGTGAACGAAAGGCAAAATGAGGGGAGCAACGAGGAGTGAACATAAAGAAAGTGGAGAGGGTGAACGAAAGGCAAAATGAGGGGAGCAACGAGGAGTGAACATAAAGAAAGCGGAGAGGGTGAACGAAAGGCAAAATGAGGGGAGCAACGAGGAGTGAACATAAAGAAAGCGGAGAGGGTGAACGAAAGGCAAAATGAGGGGAGCAACGAGGAGTGAACATAAAGAAAGCGGAGAGGGTGAACGAAAGGCAAAATGAGGGGAGCAACGAGGAGTGAACATAAAGAAAGTGGAGAGGGTGAACGAAAGGCAAAATGAGGGGAGCAACGAGGAGTGAACATAAAGAAAGCGGAGAGGGTGAACGAAAGGCAAAATGAGGGGAGCAACAAGGAGTGAACATAAAGAAAGTGGAGAGAGAACAAAAACGGAACTCTATGTTGCTCTCATTGAGAGTTGAACTCAAGACCTCCCGCTTACTAAACGGGTGCTCTAACCAACTGAGCTATGAGAGCTGTGTACTGTATGTACAATGTTTTATCAGTTTGTTTTTTACTAACAGGCAACGAACACCACGGCGCACTTCTTCGACAGTGACCGCAATGGACGGAAGGCATCACCAGAGGTAGGCGTTATGGTAGGATGTGCGGAGCTCGTTAGGAGCTCGCTAGGAGCTCGTTATGAGTATGTTAGGATACTGTTTCGTAACGAAATGCAGTAGCATGCTCTCTTTGCCATGCCTCGTCACGCGTCCATGGCTGTGGTCCTGAGGACACTCCCAAGGAATGGCGCACGTGATCCCTGTTTACCCTCGTCTGAGCAAAGGCGAGGCGACTTTTGAGTCGACTCAAAGTCACGCGTCCGTCCTTGTGGTCCTGAGGACACTCTCAAGGAATGGCGCACGTGACCCCTGTTTACCCTCGTCGGAGCATAGACGCCATTGCACCCTCTTGGGGGAATACAGAAGTGCTTGTTCGTCGGCGAGTAGCGAAGAGTATTGAAACTAGGGGAATATGACTGTCCAACAATGTTTCTGACATTGTGTCAGTCATTATCGGAGACTCTATATGACACCCCATCTGACATTGCATCCTAGTTTCTGACACTGTAGTCACCGTGGTCATTGTGTCACTCATGCTCCCTGACATTGTACCTGACATTGTACCTGACGTTGTACCTGACGCTGTACCTGACACCGTGTCTGGCATTGAATCAAACATTGTGCCAGTCAACCATTATGCATGACGTTGCATCTGACATCGTACCTGACACAGTGTATGCCGTTGTGTCTGACATTGTGTCAGGCACTGCTTCGGACATTGGTATCTGACATCTGACGTGTCACTCATTTTATCTGACATTGTGCCAGTCATTGTCCCAGCTCTCCCCTCCCCCCTCAATGTCCCTTTCCCCGCGCACACTTCCCCCTTCCCCCCAGACATGGCTCCGCAGGCGGAGGTGCGGGGCGGCAGGAGGGGAATCTGTGGGGGCAGGCGCGGAGTGTTTTCATGAGCGCAATACTGGCGGAGCCACCCGCGGAGATACGGAGAGAAGGTGGGAAAGCGGAGTTGGGAAAGGGGAGAGGGGGAAGGGGGGTTGGTTCCAGGGGGGAAAGATACTGGGAGCAAGGGAGAAGTGTGTTCACGAGAGCAAAGTACCTCCCCTCTGCCTCGTCGCTCCTCTCTTCCATTCCCATCCTGCCAGTTCGACCCACAGCCAGCTTCAGCAGCAGCGAGGCGGTGATGGGAGCAGCAGCCCCCACCCCTTCCTCCCCTACGTTTCCCCTTTTTTTCCAGTCACCCGTCCCACAGCCAGCAGCAACAATGGGAGCAGCAGAGAAGCTGCTGTCTGGCAATGATATCCGCATCGTATGTATGCGTAAACCCCCCCCCCCCCCTCCCCTCCCCTCTCTCCACCCCCCTCTCTTCCTATTCCCCCCTCCTCCCCTCCTCTTCCTATTCCCCCCCTCCTCCCCTCCCCTCCTCTTCCTATCCTATTCCCCCCCTTCTCCCCTCCCCTCTCCCCTTCCCCCCCGCATTCCCACATTTTCCACAGTCACCCGTCCCTCAGCCAGGAACAATGAGGCGGTGATGGGAGCAGCAGAGAAGCTGCTGTCTGGCAATGACATCCGCATCGTTCGCAGGCGAGACTCCACTGCTGCTGCTGATGCTGCTGATGCAGCAGCAGGGGATAGTGGGGTGGGACAGGGCGGGGGGGGAAATGGCAGGGGGAGAGGCACCACGGGGGGTACGGGGAGGGGGTTGGGGGGAAGGGGAGGCGGGCAGGGGAAGGGGTGGGCGGCTTCTGCAGCAGCGGCGGGGAGAGGGGGAGGGGGGAAGGGGAGGGGAGGGGAGGGGTGAGTGAGGAGGAGAAGGAGGCGTTGTTTGCCATGGCAGCACGGCATGAGTGGATGTCGTATTTGAGGGAGGAGATCCTGCTGCTGCATGTGAGTGCTGCTTGTATCTGCAGATCCATTCCATGCAGGCTTTGTTTGCCTGACGTGCCTCAGGAGGGGAGGGGCGAGTGAGGAGGAGAAGGAGGCGCTGTTTGCCATGGCAGCACGGCATGAGTGGATGTCGTATCTGAGGGAGGAGATCCTGCTGCTGCATGTAAGATTTGATTTCGATCTACTTGCATAAGAATTTGCGGTGCTCTGTGTAAGATTCTGCTTCTCTTTTTAATACAAAATGACGTGTGTGCTCTTGTGTGTGGGGGGGGGTGGGCGTGCGTGTGTGTGTGCGTGGGCACGTGCAAGTGTGCGTACGTGTGTTTGTGTGTGTGCATGTGTGTGCATGTGTGTGTATGTGCGTGTGTGTGTGTGCATGTGGGCCTGCGTGTGTGTGCATGCGTGTGTGCATGTGTGTGCATGTGTGTGTGCATGTGTGTGCATGTGTGTGTGCATGTGTGTGTGCATGTGCGTGTGCATGTGTGTGTACATGTGTGTGCACTTGTGTGCATGTGTGTGTGCATGTGTGTGTGCATGTGTGTGCATGTGTGTGTGCATGTGTGTGTGCATGTGTGTGTGCATGTGTGTGTGCATGTGTGTGTGCATGTGTGTGCGCATGTGTGGGCATGTGTGTGTGCATGTGTGTGGGCATGTGTGTGTGCATGTGTGTGCATGTGTGTGCGCATGTGTGTGCGCATGTGTGTGCATGTGTGTGTGCATGTGTGTGCGCATGTGTGTGTGCATGTGTGTGCATGTGTGTGCGCATGTGTGTGTGCATGTGTGTGCGCATGTGTGTGTGCATGTGTGTGCATGTGTGTGTGCACGTGTGTGTGCATGTGTGTGTGCATGTGTGTGTGCATATGTGTGTGCATGTGTGTGTGCATGTGTATGTGTATGTGTGTGTGCATGTGTGTATGCATGTGTGTGCATGTGTGTATGCATGTGTGTGCATGTGTGTATGCATGTGTATGCATGTGTGTGCATGTGTGTGCATGTGTGTGCATGTGTGTGTCATGTGTGTATGCATGTGTGTGTGCATGTGTGTATGCATGTGTGTGCATGTGTGTGCATGTGTGTGCATGTGTGTGCATGTGTGTGCATGTGTGTGCATGTGTATGCATGTGTATGTATGTGTGTGCATGTCTGTGCATGTGTATGCATGTGTATGCATGTGTATGCATGTGAATGCATGCATGTGTGTGCATGTGTCTATGCAGATTGAGCGCCAGAACGAGCTTGTGGCAGCCCAGCAGAAGAAGAAGGGTGCTGAGAACCCGACTGCTGCTGCTGCTGGTGGGTGCTAGCTGCTGCTGTTGGTGGGTGCTAACGAGTACAGTCGCTCGGTCGCTGCCGCTGCTCCCGCGAAGACAGTACTCTTAGCGGTTCAAATCTCCTAACTAGTCGTTGAAAAGCAGCAGCTCAAAACCACTCCAGGTTTCCCTTTCCTGCCTCGAATCCTCCCACCCACTCCCTGTTTTTGAGGCGCCTCAAAGCTGCCTTGAATCCTCCCACCCACTCCCTGTTCCTTCAAAAGCCACTCCCCTCTTCCTTTCCCCCATTGCAGCAGCTGCCAGCACAAGGAGCGTTTGGGCCCCGACCAACGACCCAGCAGCCATGCTACAGGCGAAGCTGGATGTCGAAATGCCGCAGTTCAAAGCCCGCCCCCCTGCTGCTGCTGCCGCCGCTGCTGCTGCTGCCAAGGGGGAGCTGACCCGTCAGAAGAGCCCCACCCCTGAGCGCACAGGGGAAACTCTGTATGATAATAAGGCGGTTTTGAAAGTATCCCAGTCAACTCGGGTGTATGGTCGGCCAGCGATGGAGGGGCGGAGGGTGGGCGGGGTGGGGAGTGATGAAGAGGGGGGAATTGGCGAGGAGGATGGGGGGGGTTCTGCTGGCGGTGCTGCTGCTGATGGCGGTGTTATGGATGCTAAGGGAACGGCTTTTGCTGTTGCTGCTGCGTTGGCTGCTGCTGGTGACCGTGAAGATGCTGAGGCTGCTACTGTGGCTGACCCATCTGGTAAACCCTCTCCCCCTCCCATCCCCCCACCCTTCCCACCTCCCATCTCCCTCCTTGTCTTGTCCCTTCCACCATGATTTTTTTTAAGAGTTCTCGAATAACCCCCATAACCCCCATATCTCCCATAACCCCCATAACCCCCATAACCCCCATTTCCCCCATTTCCCCCATATCCCCCATTTCCCCCATTTCCCCCATATCCCCCATTTCCCCCGTTCCTCCATTTCCCCCGTTTCCCCCATTTCCCCCATTTCCCCCGTTTCCCCATTCCCCCGTTCCCCCATTTCCCCCTTCCCCCATTCCCCCATTCCCCCATACCCCCATTCCCCCATTTCCCCGTTTCCTCCCTCTCACTGTCTCTGCAGCTCGCCGTGCTTCGAGTGGGGCGAGGGCAGCCAAGGCAGCAGGGGGGGTGGATGCATTTGTTTGTACCTCATCTCTTTTGTGCACCCCCGCTCTCATTCCCCTTCCCCGCTCCTCTCCTTTGCCCCTTCAGCTCACTGTGCATTGAGCGGGGAGAGGGCAGCCAAGGCAGCAGCGGAGGCGGCGACAACGGGTGGGCAGAGGATGCTTCGCGTGTGAGAGAGGATGAAACGCATCATCCCCAACAGGACAGGCCTAGTACCCTTGTACCCTTCCACCCTATTCCCCTTCCCTCCTCCCCGCCCGGCATCCACCCCACCTTCTTCCACCCCTGCCTCCCCCCCTCTTGCTCCCCCTCCCTTCCCCCATGTCTCCTCAGCTCGCCGTGCGTCCAGTGGGGAGAGGGCAGCCAAGGCAGCAGCGGAGGCGGCGACAACGGGTGGGCAGAGGATGCTGCGCGTGTGGGAGCGGATGAAACGCATCATCCCCAGCAACCCCTCCTCTGCCGCCGCTGCTGCCTCCGCTGATGCTGCTGCCGGTCTTGATACCACTGGCAGTGGCAAGTCAGCCTCACTCGAGTTTCCTTTGGAGGTAGGGTGGTCTCTGAGTCGACTCATGGACTGCTGCCTCTGCTGCTGCCTCTGCTGCTGCTGCTGCTGCTGCTGCTGGCGGTGGTGATGCCACTGGTGGTAGCAAGTCGGCCTCACTCGAGTTCCCTCTGGAGGTGGGTCAAGACTCAGGGTGCAGAGGATGCTTCGCGTGTGGGAGAGGATGGAACGCATCACCCCCAACAACCCCTCCTCTGCCGCCGCTGTTGCCTCCGCTGATGCTGCTGCTGCTGCCGGTGGTGATGCCGCTGGTTGTAGCAAGCTGGTAGTTAAAAAACAAAAAGCTACTCAGAAGTTGCCGCTGCCACCTATGGTGCTGCTGCTGCTGCTGCAGGCGGTGGTGATATTGCTGGTGGTAGCAGCCCCGCTTCACATGAGTTCCCTCTGGAGGTGGGTCAGGGTTTGACTTCAGGGGAGGAGGGAGAGGATGAAGCGAATCAACCCATCTTCAGGATGAGTTCCATGTTGCACTCATGTGATTACATGATCTCCCACTCCTCCCTCCTCCTTGCATCCCCTTTCCTCCTCCCCACCCCTACCAGCCCTCCCATCGCAGCCATCTGAGTGTTACGAGTCTATTTTTGAGTCGACTCAAAAATAGACTCATAGCACACGGATCCGCCCCCACTCCTCCTCCCTGGTCCCCATTTTCCTCTCCCCCCACCCTTCTGCCAGGCCTCCTGTCACAGCCATCTGAGCCAGGCTCTCCTGGCGGGGCTTATTCCCGCCGACCAGTGAGAGCGCACCTGAACTGCCGTGTTACTCATAGGGTTACTTCAACCTCTCCCTCCTCCCCTCTCCTCTCCCCGCCCCCCTCCACCCACCCACTGCTACCAGCCCTCCCATCGAAGCCATCTGAGCCAGTCTCTCCTGGCTGGACTCATTCCCACTGACCAGAGGGGACCCTCCTGGATCGCGATGGCGTGCTCCGACCCTGAGGTACGGTATGCTCCGACCCTGAGGTACGGTATGCTCCGACCCTGAGGTACGGCGCGCTCTGACCCTGACGTATGGGATGCTTCGAACCTGAAGAATACCATCTATGAGCCTGTGGTGTGGCATGTGAATTTCACACCAAAGCGACTAACCTTCCCAGTGTAAGGGCACCTCGTCAAGGGCCCGGCCTTCTCCCCTTGCCCAGCTTGTCCCGTGCCCAGCTTGTCCCTTGCCCAGCTTGTCCCTTGCCCAGCTTGTCCCTTGCCCTGCTTGTCCCTTGCTTTGTCTGAGTCTCTGCTACCCCTGCCTGGACGACTCGGTCCATAGCACCAGCTGCACACTGCCTAGACCTTTCCTCGCTTCATCTACCATCCCCCCTGCTGCTCTCTGTCCTCTCCCTTCTTCCCCCCCGACACCAACAGGACGACCAGGTCAATCGCACAAGCTGCGATGTATTTTGTTTTTGGCTGCTGAACTAAGGTGACTTTGGAGTCGACTCAAAAGTCACCTCGTGTCAATCGCACAAGCTACGCGCTGCTGAACCTCTTCCTTGCTTCTTTTTCTTCGCCTTGCCTCTCCTTCCTCTCCTTGTGCTCCTTCCTCCCAGGACGACCTGGTCAACCGCACCAGCTACACACTGCTGAAAGAACGAGCTGCCTCCGCACCTCCCACTCTGTACGAACCCTCAGCCGTATGACATTGTAACGAGGTGAATTTTGAGTCGACTCAAAAGTTGCCTCCGAACCAGAACTCTTTCTTGCATTGCTCACTGCATTTCTTGCTTTCTCACTCTTTCCTCCCTCCTGCACCCCCCCCTCTTTCCACCCCTCCCCTCTCCACTCTGCTCACCCCTCCCCACTCCAACCCCCTCTCTACTCCCGTCCCCTCTCCCCTCCTCGCTCCCCTCTCGCTCCCCTTCACACCCTGCCTTCATCACTCCCTCCCCTCCCCCCACAGAGAGGTGTACCATGACACGTGTGTGTGTGTTCTTGTGGGGTGTCAAGCATCTTGTGCCTCTCCCGTCCCCTTCCCTCCCCCCTTTCTTCCCTCTCCCTCATTCCACCCACAGAGGTGTTTACCATGACACGTTGTGTGTGGGTGTGCTCGTGCCTCTCCTGCTCCCTCCCCCCTCTCTTCTCCCTCATTCCACCCACAGAGAGGTGTACCGTGACACGCTGTGTGTGGTGCTCGAGTGGAGGGAGAAGGAAGCTCAAGCCTCTCAGCTGAAGCAGCAGCAGGAGCAGGAGGAGAAGGGGCAGGGTGAGGGGCAGGAGGGTTTTTCGGAGAGCACCCAGGAGTCACAGGAAGCAGCTCCGAGCAGGGCAGCATCTGTCCCCTCTATAGCGTTCTCCCCTAAGCGCCCTCCTGCTGGTGTTGCTGCTGAGGCTGTTGCGGCGCTGATGGCTGCTGCAGCTGCTAGAGAGGCCGCAGCAGGAGCAGGAACGGGCACTGCTGCAGCTGGCGCTGGTGTTGATTGCGTTACAGACGGTGGTGATGCTGGCGCTGCTGCTGCTGCAGAAGTGGTTGCTGCTGGTGCTGCTGCTGCTGCTGCTGCTGCTGCTGCTGATGGTGGCTGTGTGGTTGTGGTGGGAGTGGAGGATGGATTGAGTGAGGAGGATGCAGCTCTGCACCAGTCGCTACTGAACGTCATCAAAGCATACTCCGTGAGTGAAGGAGTGTGTGACAGGCTTCTTTAAGCTAAGAGCCAGATGGATCTGGTTTTATTATTATTATTATTATTTATTTACCAATTCAACTCGACTGGAAAAACGTCATGGCCTGAATACCTCCACCACACTTCCCATTCGCCGCTCTCTCCTTCCCCTCCCCCTCTCCCCCCACTTCTCCCCAGGTGTTTGACCCCGACACGTGGTACTGCAGTGGCATGGGGTGGATTGCGCTCACACTGCTCTCGCTCATGGCGGAGGAGGATGCGTTCCTCACCCTCGTCTTCCTCATGCACCGCTGCGGGCTGCGAGGGCTCTTCGCCCCCAACATGCATCAGGTACGGGTGGTTGCGAGGGCTCTTTGCCCCTAACATTCACCAGGTACGGGTGGTTGCGAGGGCTCTTCGCCCCCGACATGCATCAGGTACGGGTGGTTGCGAGGGCTCTTCGCCCCCAACATGCACCAGGTACAGCCTACAGGTGGTTGCGAGGGCTCTTTGCCCCCAACATGCACCAGGTACGGGTGGTTGCGAGGGCTCTTCGCACATAATATGCACCAGGTAGAGCTCTTTGCCCCTAATATGCAGCAGGTAGGTAGGTGGAGAGAAAGAGTTGGATCATCAATGATCGGACCCCTTGAGAGAGGTGGAATGGGGGCAGGGCAGAGGAGGATGCGTTCCTCACCCTCGCCTTCCCCATGCACCGCTGCGGCCTCAGGGAGCTGCTCGCACCTAATATGCACCAGGTAGAGCTCTTTGCATCTAACATGCACCAGGTAGAGGTCTTTGCACGTAATATGCACCAGGTAGAGCTCTCTGCACCTAATATGCACCAGGTAGAGCTCTTTGCATCTATGCACCAGGTAGAGCTCTTTGCATCTATGCACCAGGTAGAGCTCTTTGCACCTAATATGCACCAGGTAGAGCTCTTTGCCCCTAATATGCACCCGGTATAGCTCTTTGCACCTAATATGCACCAGGTAGAGCTCTTTGCACCTAATATGCACCAGGTAGAGCTCTTTGTGCTCAACATGCCCAGGTAGGGGTGAGAGGGAGAGGGAGAGGGAGAGGGAGAGAGAGAGGTGGATCCTCGCAAAGACTGTGCGCCAGTAGGGCTATCCTCCGTTATCTGGCTTCGTTGCAGCCCTCTCAAAAGACGCTCTTTCGTCCCCATCTTCCATCCATAACCTCTCGTTTTGAGGCGCCTCAAAATTCGCGTGATAGGAGTCTAGTTTTGAGGCGCCTCAAAATTCGCGTGATAGGAGTCTAGTTTTGAGGCGCCTCAAAATTCGCGTGATAGGAGTCTAGTTTTGAGGCGCCTCAAAATTCGCGTGATAGGAGTCTAGTTTTGAGGCGCCTCAAAATTCGCGTGATAGGAGTCTAGTTTTGAGGCGCCTCAAAATTCGCGTGATAGGAGTCTAGTTTTGAGGCGCCTCAAAATTCGCGTGATAGGAGTCTAGTTTTGAGGCGCCTCAAAACTAGAGCCCTCTCAAAAGACGCTCTTTCGTCCCCATCTTCCATCCATAACCTCTCCCCCATCACAGCAGACCACGCGCCTCCCCCAGCTCTCTCAATTCCTCTCGAAGTCGCTCGATCAGAGCCGTTTTTGCAGGGTGTTTTTGAGAAAAAAAATTATCGCTGTTTCAGAGCCGTTTTCCAGCACGCTCCTTATCCCCCCTTGTTCCCCTTCCCCCCCTCGGAGCAGACCGCGCGCCTCCCCCAGCTTCTCAATTCCTCGCTGTCGCTGCTTCCGAGCCATTTTGCAACACACTCCTTGTCCCCCCTTGTTCCCCTCCCCGCCCTCTACAGCTGACCACGCGTCTCTCCCAGTTCTCTCAGTTCCTCGCCGAGTCAACGCTTCGCCTGCACTCCTCGTTTGATGACCTCTCTCCCCCCCATGCTTCCAATTTCTCCTCCTTGTCCCCCTGTGTTCCCGTGGCCCCCCTGCAGCTCACCACGCACCTCTCTCAGCTCTCTCAGTTCCTCGCCGAGTCGACGCCTCTCCTGCACTCCTCCTTCGAGGACCTTCCAAAGAGTCAACGCCTCGCGCCATGCGCCTCTCTCAGTTCCTCAAAGAGAACTGACCATGCGCCTCTCTCAGTTCCTCAAAGAGTCAACGCCTCGCTGTTTCTCACCATTGCGCAACACACTCCTTCCACCATGCTCCTTGTCCCCCCGTGTTCCCGTGCCCCCCCTGCAGCTGACCACGCACCTCTCTCAGCTCTCTCAGTTCCTCGCCGAGTCAACGTCTCGCCTGCACTCCTTCTTTGAGGACCTTCCACCCCCCCACACATCCAATAACTCCCTGCCTTCCCCTTGCCCACGTGTTCCCTTGCCCCTCCTGCAGCTCACCACGCGCCTCTCCCAGCTCTCTCAGTTCCTCGCCGAGTCGACGCCTCGCTGTTTTCACCATTGCACTACACACTCCTTCCACCGTGCTCCTTCTTCCCCCATGTCCCCCTTGTTCTCTTGTTCCCTTGCCCCCCCTCGCAGCTCACCACGCGTCTCTCTCAGCTCTCTCAGTTCCTCGCTGAGTCGACGCCTCGCCTGCACTCCTTCTTTGAGGACTTGCAGCTCAAACCGGTGGGTTGACTTGAGTTGAGTTGTGTTGAATTGCGTTGAATTGAGTTGAATTGTGTTGAATTGCTTTGACTTGTGTTGAGTTGTGTTGAATTGCCTCGCCTGCACTCCTTGTTTGAGGACCTGCAGCTCAAACCGGTAAGCCCGTGGGCTTGAGTTGACTTGCATTGAACTGCCGGCATTGACTTGACAGCCTTGACTCCTAGTTTGTGAACCGGCCATTGATATTATTTTTTAACCTAGTTTCCTCCTGCAGCTAAACCTAGTGAGTCAGACATCCTTTGACTTTTGACTTCTGTTGACTTCGGTTTGACTATTTTCGGCTTCTGTTGACTTTGGTTTCACTTCTGCTGACTTCGGTTTGACTTCTGTTGACTTAGTTTGACTTCTGTTGAACTTACACCCCGTCTTCTGCCCCCTCCTCATTGGGTCTCCCTCACTTCTGCCCTTTGTGTGTGTGTTCGACACAACCACTCTTTCCCCCCACCTATTCAGTTCGAAGCACATGCTCCCTTCCCCCTTCTCCCCTCCTCCTTTGCCCCATCAGAGCATGCACGCGGCGGGCTGGCTTCTCTCCCTCTTCGTGAGGAGTCTATTTTTGAGGCGCCTCAAAAATAGGCTTCTCTCCCTCTTCGTGCGCCACAGCCCCTTGCCCCTCGCCCCTTCCCCCCTGCCCCATACCCCATCTCCCCATCAGATCATGTATGCGGCGGACTGGCTTCTTTCCCTCTTCGCGCGCCACATGCCCCAGTATCTCGTGCACCGCGTCTTTGACATCGTGCTTGGTGCGTGCCTTTTGCTCACTACATGCCGCATCCCTTAGTCCATGACCCCAACCCTAACATGCCCCAGTTACCAGTATCTTGTGCACGGCGTCTTTGACATCGTGCTCGGTAGTAAGTACTATGATGTGATTGCTGGTGCTGTGGTACTATGCTCAGTAGGTGCATCAAACTCAGGTGGTGGCTTGTGCTTTTCCAATTAGCATTAAAGCCAGTACTGCAGGTGAGTACGCTCAGTCAGTACATGCCTTGTTAGAATATTCTGTTGGATTTCCGCTTGCTCAGTGTGTGCTGTGCACACACACATGCATACCTGATGGTGAATGTGCTCACGTGTGTTTCCCCTCCCCCTCTCCCCCCCCCCCGCCCCTTTTTTTTCTGCGTGTATGTGTTTTTAACTTCGCACATGCACATATGCAGCTGAGAAGACCATATCAGTAGTGTTCAAGCTGGCTGTCGTGCTGCTGCAGGTATGCAGTCACACGCACACATGTGAGGCATGCATGGCACATGAACGCATGGCACATGAACGCAACATGCATGCTCACCGTATCACCAGCTGAGAAGACCATGTCAGTTGGGTTCAAGCTGGCTATTGTGCTGCTGCAGGTATGAAGCCAAATGAATATCATATGCACACAAACAAATGGACAAGTGCAGCCGCACATACGAAGCGCACGTATCCATGGGCAGCACCCTTGGCACCCGAACTCAACCACCCATGGCCGACCACCCATCCCTGACCACCTATGGCTGATCCTCAGAAGACCATGTCTGTTGTGGTTAAGTTGGGCATGGCGCTGCTGCAGTCATGCAGCATATGCACTATCGCATCAGCACAATGGCACCACATACACATTTGTCTCACCCACACCCTCTCCCCCTCCGCTCCCGCCAGGTTACCCGGCGTCAGATGATGCTGTGGCCAGAGCTCAACTGCTGCCTGCGCTTTGGAATGCATGTATCTTTCTCCCATTTCCCTCTCCACCTCTCCCCCTTCTCTCCCCCTTCTCTCCTGTCAGGTTACCCGGCGTCAACTGATGCTGTGTCCGGAGTTCGACTACTGCCTGCACTTCCTTCACTCCGAATTGCCACTGGAGCTCAATGTGCGTGAGTAGGGTACCCGGTTGGTTGCATGACGTACAAGAGGTCAGTCAGATGCGCGCGCGTGAAGTTTTGAGGCGCCTCAAAACAAGGTACCCGGTTGCATGACATACATGAGGTCAGTCGGATGTGCGTGGGTGTAGCAACCGCCAATCGGTGGGTGCAATATCAATCCTACTGGTTGAGGCGCCTCAGCAGTAGGATCTGGCATACGTCCTCTTGTCTCTCTCAAGCGGTCCGTTTTTTGCTGGAACCCTGGGTACAAGCTAGGCATGTAGGGTGACAACGGGGCAAGGACTGCCCTCAAAGTTCACCTCTCTCTCGCACCGACTGGCCTCACAGGTATGACCTTGCAGATCGTCACCCCCCCACTCTCCCCACCCCTCCCCTCTCTTTCCCCCCCTTTTCTCCCCCTCCCCCCTGCTCTCCCTTCCCCAGCGACTCCCTGGAGGAGCTCATCTGCAAGGCCCTGAGGGTGCGCCTGAGGGTGGCCCCCTGAGGGTGCGCCTGCCCTTGACTCTCTTCTCCGTCCCACACGCCACACCTCCCCAAACCCCCCCCGCCTCGTCCGCTCTTCTTCCCCTCGTCCGCTCTTCTTCCCCTCGTCCGCTCTTCTTCCCCTCGTCCGCTCTTCTTCCCCTCGTCCGCTCTTCTTCCCCTCGTCCGCTCTTCTTCCCCTCGTCCGCTCTTCTTCCCCTCGTCCCATCTCTCCCCTTTTTGTCTCTCACCTCCCCCCTGACCGGGATGTTGAGGAGCTCATCAGCAAGTCCCTGAGGGTGACTGTTCCTTCTCCCTTCCATCGCGCTCTCTCTTTCCGTATCTCTGTCTCCCCTGCTCTCCTCCACTCCCCCCCCCCCCCCCCTTTTTCTCTGCCTTCCCCGCTCTCCCTCCCCCAGCTCCTCCCTGACCGGGATGTGGAGGAGCTCATCAGCAAGGCCCTGAGGGTGCGCCTGCCCTTCGAGAGTGTGCTGCGGCTGGAGGCAGGTGAGAGCTGGGGGAGGTGAGGACTGGGGGAGGGGGGAACTGAGGAAGGCACCATCTGCAAAGCTCTATGAGTGCTCCTTCCGTTTGGCCCTCCCTGTTGAGTTCACGGTGCGGCTTGAGGTAGGTGAGACCTGGGGGAGGGTGAGACCTTGGGGGGGTTGCTCGAAAGCAGCCGTCTCAGAAGCAGTCTCAGTTTTGAGGCGCCTCAAAAGCGCTCTCCACCTCCACAGCACGACCAACTAGCGAGGGACAGACAGCAGAGGCAATCAACCGTCCATGCCTCCTCTCTTTCTTTCCTGCTCCCCAACCCCCTTTCCCCTCCAACCATCCCGCGGCCAGAGTACGACCAGCTACCAGGGGAAGCGGCGGTGGCAGCACAAGAGGTGCAGGCAGCAGCAGAGGCATGGTTGACCTTGTCTTCTCCCCACCGTCTTTCTCCCCACCGTCTTTCTCTCCCCCACTCCCCCTTTCCTTTCACCAGAGTACGATCAACTGGCGGGGGAAGCGGCGGTGGCAGCACAAGAGGTGCAGGCAGCAGCAGAGGCGAGTGAGGCTGCTGCAGCGTCATGGGAACGAGACAGGCAGGAGCTAGAAGGGGAGCTGCTGAGGGCTCTGGAGGTGAGCTGCTGAGAGCTCTAGAGGTAATTCCATCAGGGCGAATAGGCGGAGGGGTGCGTGAAACTGCGCTGCTGCGGTGTCGTGGGAGAGAGACAGGCAGGAGCTGGAGGGGGGGCTGCTGAGGGCTCTGGAGGTGAGATACCTGGGGGTTGGGGATTGGTTATTCAGGGCATGTAGCGGTGTGGTGGCTGGCGGCTGCTGCTTCATGGGAGCGAGACAGGCAGGAGCTGGAGGGGGAGCTGCCGAGGGCTCTAGAGGTGAGATACCTGGGGGTTGGGGGTTGGTTATGCAGGGCATGTGAGGAGAGGCGAGTGAGGCTGCTGGAGCGTCATGGGAGAGAGACAGGCAGGAGCTGGAAGGGGTGCTGCTGAGATCTCTGGAGGTTATTGACATTACTGTATATCGTGCCTGTCGCACTTGAGGACGGGCTCTGGAGGTAATTTGACATTACTGTCTACCGTGCATGTCGCACTTAAAGGCACCGCGTGAGAAAGACAGGCAGGGGCTGGAAGGGGAGCTGCTGAGTCATCTAGGGGTTGGAGGTAAGTTACTCAGGGCATGGGGTGAGGCTGCTGCTGCTGCTTCATGGGGGAGAGACACAGGCAGGAGTGCTGGAAGGGGTGCTGCTGAGCTGTCTCTCAGCCCTCTTCGCTCACTTCAAGGCCCTGCAAGCTGGAGGTCTGCGCTGTGTGGTTCCTCGACTTACTTGCATCCAGCCTAGGTTTGAGGCGCCTCAAAACTAGACTCTTGGCTCACTTCAAGGCCCTGGCCCAGGCTGTGTGGTTCCTCGACTTACCTTCATCCTGCCTAGGTTTGAGGCGCCTCAAAACTAGACCCTCAATTTTTTTGAGGCACCTCAAAACTAGACGCTTGGCTCACTTCAAGGCCCTACAAGCTGGAGGCCCGGGTGTGTGGTTCCTCGACTTACCTGCATCCAGCCTAGGTTTGAGGCGCCTCAAAACTAGACTCTTGGCTCACTTCGAGGTCCTGCAGGCTGGAGGCCCGGGCTGTGTGGTTCCTCCACTTACCTGCATCCAGCCTCAAAACCCCCTCTTCCCCGCCCACCCCTCCCTACTCCCTTACCTCGCCTGAACCCCCATCAGTTGCCGGACTGCTCTCAGTCGTACGTCTCCTGGCCCTATGCGCTCACCTCAAGGCCCTGCAGGCCTGGTGTGTTTGGTGGTGCTTTCAAATACCTGCATCCAACCTGTACAACCCCCCCCCCCAACGCCTTTTTTTGCCCCAAAACAGCTGCTGGACTGTTCTCAGTCGTACGTCTCGGCCTGTTTCACTAATTTGCAGGCCCCGTGTGCTGTATGCCGTGTGCTGTGTCCCTTGTGCTGTATGCTGTGTGCTGTGTCCCTTGTGCTGTATGCCGTGTGCTGTATGCCGTGTGCTGTGTCCCTTGTGCTGTATGCCGTGTGCTGTGTCCCTTGTGCTGTATGCCGTGTGCTGTATGCCGTGTGCTGTATGCCGTGTGCTGTATGCCGTGTGCTGTATGCCGTGTGCTGTGTCCCTTGTGCTGTATGCCGTGTGCTGTATGCCGTGTGCTGTATGCCGTGTGCTGTGTCCCTTGTGCTGTATGCCTTGTGCTGTATGCCGCGTGCTGCATGCCGTGTGCTGTGTCCCTTGTGCTGTATGCCGTGTGCTGTGTCCCTTGTGCTGTATGCCGTGTGCTGTGCCCCTTGTGCTGTATGCCGTGTGCTGTGTCCCTTGTGCTGTATGCCGTGTGCTGTATTATGCCGTGTGCTGTATGCCGTGTGCTATATGCCGTGTGCTGTGTCCCTTGTGCTGTATGCCGTGTGCTGTATGCCGTGTGCTATATGCCGTGTGCTGTGTCCCTTGTGCTGTATGCCGTGTGCTGTATGCCGTGTGCTGTATGCCGTGTGCTGTGTCCCTTGTGTTGTATGCCGTGTGCTGTATGCCGAGTGCTGTATGCCGTGTGCTGTGTCCCTTGTGCTGTATGCCGTGTGCTGTGTCCCTTGTGCTGTATGCCGTGTGCTGTGTCCCTTGTGCTGTGTGCCGTGTGCTGCCCTGAACCACCTGCATCCTCCCCTCCCGCTCTCCCCGCGCTTTCTCTTTCCTTGCCCTGTAACAGCTGCTGGACTGCTCTCAGTCGTATGTCTCGGCGCTCTTCTCTCACTTCAAAGCCCTGCAGGCCCGTGCTGCTCTCACCCGACAAATGAGCGCTGCTGCTGCTGCTGCTGCGGCTGGTACCACGATTGATGCTGAAGCTGCTGCTTCTACCACTGTTGATGCTGGTGCTCATGCGTCTGCTGCTGCTGCTGGGTCTTCCGAGTCTCCTGCCACAGCCGAGATTGCTGAGTCTGCCGAAACTACTGCAGTTGAGTCTACCGAACCTGCTGCTTCTGCTGGGTCTGCTGCGGAGACTGCCGAGCCTGGTGCTGCAGAGACTGCCGAACCTGTTGCTGCGCAGACCGCCGAACCTGTTGTTGCAGAGACCGCCGAACCTGTTGCTGTGGAGACCACCGAGCTTGTTGCCGCGGAGACCACCGAGCCTGTTGCCGCAGAGACCGCCGAGCCTGTTGCTGCGGAGACCGCCGAACCTGCTGCCGCGGAGACCGCCGAGCCTGCTGCTGCGGAGACCGCCGAACCTGCTGCTGCAGAGGCACCTGTTGCTGTGGAGGCCGCCCAACCTGTTGCTGCGGCCACCACCAAGCCTGTTGCCGCGGAGACCGCCCAACCTGCTGCTGCAGATACCGCCGAGCCTGCTACCGCGGAGACCGCCGAACCTGCTACTGCAGATACCGCTGAGCCTGCTGCTGCAGAGACCGCCGAACCCGCTGCTGCAGAGACTGCCGAACCTGTTGTTGCAGAGGCTGCCGAACCTGCTGCTGCAGAGACCGCCGAGCCTGCTGCTGCGGATACCGTCGAACCTGCTGCTGCAGAGACCGCCGAACCTGCTGCTGCGGAGACTGCCGATCCTGCTGATGCGGAGGCTGCGGGACCCGCTGCTGCAGAGACCGCCGAACCTGCTGCTGCAGAGACCGCTGAACCTGCTGCTGTGGATATTGCCGAGCCTGCTGCAGAGACCGCCGAGCCTGCTGCTGCGGAGACCGCCGGACCTGTTTCTGCAGAGACCGCCGGACCTATTGCTGTAGAGACTGCTGAACCTATTGTTGCAGAGGCTGCCGAACCTGTTGCTGCGGAGACAGCGGAACCTGTTGCTGCAGAGGCCGCCGAACCTGTTGCTGCAGAGGCCACCGAGCCTGTTGCTGTGGAGACCGCCGAACCTGTTGCTGCGGAGACCGCCGAACCTGTTGCTGCGGAGACCGCCGAACCTGTTGCTGTGGTGACAGCGGAACCTGTTGCTGCAGAGGCCACCGAACCTGCTGCTGCGGAGACTGCCGAACCTGTTGCCGCGGAGCCCGCCAAACCTGTTGCTGCAGAGGCCACCGAACCTGCCATTGAGAGTGCTTTTTCTAATGCCGTGGAGACCCCTCCAGCATCTCTTGAGGTGGAAGCTCAGCAAACGGACTCTGCCCCTGTTGCCGAACCTGCCCCTCAAACCGAACCCGCCCCTCAATCCGAACCTGCCCCTCAAACCGAACCTGCCCCTCACACTGACCCTGCCGCTCACACAAATTCGGTTTCAGCTTCACCAGTCTCCACGTCCTTTTCCCTGCCTGACCTCCCGCCTCTCCCCGAACCTCCAACTCCTCCCGAACCTGCCCAGCCTCAGCCGTTGGTGGTCCGGATTCCGGGCTTGGAGCCCGGAGCTGACATCAGCAGCATGTCCACTGCCGCTTTGCTGAGTGCTGTAGCGATACTCAGGAAGCAAAGGGCAGCAGCAGAGTCGGCGCTTATGGCGGCAGAGCAGCGGCTTATGGAGAGTATAAGGAGTGACAACGAGGCGATAGATGCTTGTCTGAGGGCGCAGGCGATGAGGGCGAGGAAGAGGCAGCTGACAGGGAGGAAGGGAAGTGGCTCTGCTGTGGGGTGCTGAGAATTTTGCGCAAGTATTGGGAGTAGGACCATGTGGGGATACTTGTGGATGCTTTTGTGAGGCTCTAGGCTATGAGGGCGAGGAAGAGGCAGCTGACAGGACGGAAGGGAAGTGGCTCTGCTGTGGGGTGCTGAGAACTGTACAGATGAGAGCCACACGTGCTAAAATATGCACAAGTGCTGCGAGTCGGATGCTGAGGGAGTCGGTCTCGATGGAGAGAGGAGGGTTTAGGTGTGACCACTGACCATGTGGGGATGCTGGTTCTGGTGGATGCTTGTCAGGGGGCGCAGGCTATGTGACGGCGAGGAAGAAGACGCTACTGTAAGGGAGAGCGGGCAGTGGCTCTGCTGCGTGTGTGAATCTGCTTGTGTAAAATACAATGATCCATCCTTGGGTGCTGGAGCTCTGTAAAACTCAGCTGTAGCGTGTTTGCTAGAATTTACGTTACTTATCTATTCACAGTTTCCTGATCAGATGTCAGGAGACGTGAGACCACATTGCCAAGTACCCACCCCCAAGAGGGCACTGGATCAGCTATGCTGGTGCAACTGTGTCCGTAGCCAAATTCCAGCTGGCAGAGAGGTGCGAAGCCAAAAGGAACACAGCGAAAAGTAAGGGGTGCTCCGAGAATCGAACTCGGGACCTCTCGCACCCGAAGCGAGAATCATACCACTAGACCAAGCACCCGATGACTTACTCTCTTCTAAAATTAATTTATCCAATTTACACAAATGTTATGCTGCTTCTCGTTTTGTCTTCACCCTGAAGCTTCTTTCATAGTACTAAGCGATCTGACATCAGACGATGAAGCGACGAGCGAGCAGTAAGAGCGGCCCTCGCGCGCGTAAGAAACGCGACCAGGGAGAGGCGGTCGATCCGCTTCTTCTCGCCTTCAGGTACTTCTGCTCCCTCCTCCGTTGGCTCCTTCGTGCCTTGCGCTTTCACCCTTCAGGCATTTCGACCATTTCTTTCAGCCGAGGACTGTCGCAGGTGTTGATTCCAATGTCACCCTGGTTGCTGCTGCTCGCAGGGAAATATCAGCCACCGTTACAGTCACATCCAAGCACCGCGACATCGCATTCCGCCTGTCGTCTCCCGTCTGCCATGGCTGCCGGGTCAACTCTAAGGATAACCCTAACTGCTTCTGTGGCCTTGCGCCGCTTCCCGGAACCTTCCGAAAGCGCGGATTATGGCGGAATATCTCCGCTTCCAATCTTATCGGGGATTCCGACGATCTTTCCGCGGAGCTTCGCGAATCCACGTCATCCCCAGTAGGACTGACCAATCTCGGCGCGACCTGCTACATCAACAGCATCCTCCAGTGCTTGTATCGAATCCCGGGTTTCCTGCGCGGATTCTTCGCCACGGATGACGTCACGCTACGTCAGCACCCGGTCCTCCTAGAGCTCGCTCGGATTTTCGTCAGCCTGACGGCCGGCTGCCGGTCAGTGGTGAATCCGTCTAAACTGACGGACGTGCTTCAGTTAGACAGCGACGTGCAGCAGGACGGTCAAGAGTTCATGAAACTCTTCCTCTCCCTCCTCGAATCCCTCCTCTCCTCCTCCCTTGGTTCCTCCTCCCTCGCCTCCTCCTCCCTCCCCTCCTCCTCCCTCCTCTCCTCCTCCTCCCCCCCCGTTTCTGCCCCTGCATCCGCCACGTGTGCTGCTAATGGAGCAGCCAATCCCGTGCTGCCACGTGACTTTCTGGCGCACTTGTTCCGAGGGACTTACTCCTACGTGACCACGTGAGTGGGACTTATTTGCCGGGGGCGATCCTCGTCACTCTGTATGATGAGTGTGGTACGTTTGCCTAGTCATGTTAATACCGCCATCAAAAGTACCCTCCTCTTTTTCTTCACACACCATCGTCCCACCCCCCCCCCTCTCTTCATCCCCCTCCATTCTTCTTCCTCCCTCTCCCCACTGCTGGCACGCGGCCAGTTGCTGCGAGTGCGGGCAGGCCTCGGCGTCCTCCTCCCGCCTCGTCTCCTTCTACGAGCTCGAGCTGCCCCTGCAACCAGACGACCGTCCCACATCCATGCACGCCACGACTCGCCCCCCTTCTCAAGCAAAGAAACCCCGGAAGGCCAAGGCCAATGGGGGGGACGGAGGGGGAGGGGAGACGCCTGCTGCTGGCGTATCCGTGTTGCGCTGTCTGGAGCGTTACACTGCAGAGGAGCGGCTGGAGGGTGGTAACCAGATGTGCTGCGAGAACTGTAACCGCAAGACGGATGCCAGCAGGAGGGTGTGCGTCCGCAGTGTGCCACCTGTGTTGAACCTACACCTCATGCGATTCGTGTTCGATGCAAAGGTATGTACATACCGTGGATCAGCAGGTTTTGTTTTACCATTTTTCCCCCTACTTGTTCTTTTATTATTTTGCTGGGCCTACAGGTACAACAAAGTTTGCCATGACAAGGGTTTACAGAAGTTCTCTTAGATAGAGCTGTGCTTTGGGTTTCAAGTTCTCTGTTTGCCGTGCTTTTGTTCTTTTTTACTTGTTTTCTCTCTCGTTTTCGGGTGCTGATCTTTCACGTCTCCTTTATCCAGACCATGAGCAAGAAGAAAGTGACAGCAGGGGTCCGCATTCCTCTGGCCCTCAACCTCTCCCCGTTTGTGCAACAACAAAATGAGCCCTCGAGGGAACCGAGTCAGCTTGAAGCCGATGCGGAGAAGCAAGGTGGGGAGAAGCAAGGTGGGGAGAAGCAGGGCAGCAGGGGAGGAGGGGATAGAGGGGAGGAGTGGAGGCAGTGGCGAGGGGGAAGGAGACGAGCAGCCACAGCGAGGGGCAGAGGAGGAGGGAGAAGCAGTGGTGACGGTGAAGAGGAGAACGCAAGAAGACTGGAAGCAGAAGGTGTTAGTTTTGAGGCGCCTCAAAACGCAGCTAGTGGTGACAGAGGAGGAGGGAGAAGTGGCGTTGATGGTGCAGAGGAGAACGGAAGTAGACCGGAAGCTGAAGGAGAAGGGGCAGAGAGAAGAGAGGAAGAGGGACCAGAGCCTCTTGCTAATTCCCACTTAGTAGCAGAGCCTCTTAAGTACCGTTTACTGGCGATTCTGCTGCACAAGGGCAGCCAGGCGTCGTGCGGGCACTATGTGGCGCATGTCAGAGACACGAGGTCTGGGGAGTGGTGGCTGTATAACGACGAGGAGGTGGCGTGCCTTGGACGACACGCCATGGGGGAAGATACGCGTGGTAAGGATTGCAAGGGGGAGGATAAGGGGGGTAAAAAGCCGGATCGAAAGTCAGCTGGAAAAGCGATGGGGCAAGGGGGGCAAGAGGCAAGAGGAGCTGATGCGGCTGATGCGGCTGATGCGGCTGATGTGGCTGATAGGAATCATGGGGCGGCTTCTGATGTCTGTGACTTGGATCAGATTCCGGAGGTAGTGGACGCCAGGGATGGTGGTTCTTTTCCAGTGGAGGTAATTGTAGGGAAAGGCAGCGGCGGTGGTGACTGTATGGAGGTTGACTGTATCGAGTACGAGCAAGGCAGGTCAGAGCGTGACTGTATCGACGCGGAATCTGGCGAGGAGGCAAAGAAGACGAGAACCAAGACATTGTTTAAGGTTCTGGGCTTGGCTGACCAACCGTCACTGGGCAGTGCTGCTCGCCCCGCCCCACTTTTGAGTCGACTCAAAAGTGCTGCTCACCCCGCCCCACTTTTGAGTCGACTCAAAAGTGCGGCTCACCCCGCCCCACTGGGCCAAGACAGGAGCAGAGCAGGGGGCAGGCCAGGGCTTGACTCAGCGTCCGACTGCCCTGGCAAGGCACCTGTGAGGCAACTGCGGTCCAAGACCCACACCCGGCCCTCTGCATTGACCAGACTGCCAGGGATCGTGAAGCGGGAAGCTTTTGAGTCGACTCAAAGGCAGCTGCTGTCCGAATCCCAGGCCCGGCCCTCTGCATTGGCCAGACTGCCAGAGGGGGTGAAGCGGGAAGCTGGTTGTGATTCTAAACTGGGTGCAGCATGTGAGTCTAACGAGGGCATGGCATGTGGCTCCAAGCAGGGTGCGGGATGTGATAACAAGGAGGGGATGACGTGCGATTCAGGTCAGGTAGAGCTAAATTTGGGTGCTGACAGGAAAGGGGGGAGGGTGTTGAATGGTGGTGAGGGGGAGGGTGAGGGGGAGGAGGTGACGTCAGCAGATGCATACATGCTGATATACGTGCGCGAGGGGTTTGGCGAGGGAGAGGGGGAGCGGGTGCGGCTGAGTGAGCTCATTGATTTTATAGAGGCGGCTGGTGCAGCAGGTGCAGGTGGTATCAAGTGTGATGTGACTGACTCAGCTGCTGGGGAAGCACGTGAAACATCTGCTGAAAAACCTGATGCGGCCATTAAAGCACCTGAGACAGCAGTAGAAGCACCTGATGCAGCTGTGCAAGCACCTGAAGCAACTGCAGAAACAGCCAGTGAGAAAAAGCATGGCATAATGGGAGGTGATTGTGTGCGGTTGCCCCGGTTTCTCCTAGACGAGGTGACTGAAGCGAATGCTGCATTCTGGCAGCAGTGCGCGGACCAACGGAGGTGGGAGAAAGAGAGGAGGAAGAGAATCGAGGAGAGGAGGAGTGAGGTGCGGAATGTGCTTTCTCTGATGCCTGTTGGGAGACAAGAGGTGGGCATGGACGAGAAGAAGGTCGAGAAGAAGGAAGAGCAAGAGGAGGGAGGAGGTTTTTTCTGGATCTGTACAGAATGGCTCAAGGCGTGGGCTGATGACGACAACTCCCCGTAAGTCACACTCCCAAATTCCCCACACTCCCACACCCCCACACTCCCACACCCCCACACTCCCACACCCCCACACTCCCACATTCCCACATCCCCACATCCCCACACCAGCACGCACACCCCCACCCACACCTCCACGCCTCCACCTATTGCCGCCCATTGTATCGAAGCCCCGAATTCCTTCCGTCCCTTTTTTTCTGCCCCCGCGGTGCCCCTCCTCGCCTTTCTTCCTTCCCTTGCTGCAGATGCCCCATTGACAACAGTGCACTGCTGTGCGCTCACGGGTTGGTGCCACGAGCCAGTCTGCCTCTGATGAAACGGATCTCGCCAGTTGCGTGGGCCGTGCTGCTGTCCCAGGTGCAGAGTCTATTTTTTATGCATGGGCCATGCGCTGTCTCAGGTGCTGTCTCAGGTGCTGTCTCAGGTGCCACGAGCCAGTCTGCCTCTGATGAAACGGATCTCGCCTGCTGCATGGGCCGTGCTGCTGTCCCAGGTGTGTGTGCCTCTCACTCTCTGTCTGTGAGCAAGTGTGGATCACATTATCAGCCTCTTGTGTGCTGCACGTCATTCCAAGGTGCCTCGAGACAGCCTGCCTCTCATGAAGCAGATATTGGGGGGGGCGTGGGCCGTGCTGCTGTCCCAGGTGCGTGTGCCTCTGTCGGTGTCTGTGCTCTAGTATGTAGCACAGTAGGCAAATCTCTGTGTAGCCCATGGGTTGGTGCCACGAGCAAGTCTGTCCTTGAGGAAGCAGATATGGGGGGAGGGGAGGGGGGAGGGGGCGTGGGCCGTGCTGCTGTCCCAGGTGTGTGTGGTTGGGCTTTCACTCTCTCTCACCTCTTGCGCATCGATAGGGATTTGTGAAGGGTTGCTTGCTTAAGCGTAATTGTTTTCCTTTCCTGATTCCTTTTGTTTTTGTTTATTTCTGTTCCCGGTTAATTGCAGTACGGCGGCGGCCCCTCTTTATTCTGGGAAGCGTGCTTTGAGGCGCCTCAAAAATCCCTCTTTATTCCGGGAAGCGTGCTGCACGGAATGCCTCGTTGCAGTGCAGAGGCGACTGCAACAGTCTCTGCACAATCCTCCTTGTCCTCGTTCCTCCCCTCACTTCCCTCCTTCCCTATCCCCGCGCAGTATGGCGGTGGCCCCTCTTTATCCCAGGAGGCGTGCTGCACGGAGTGCCTCGTTGCAGAGGCGTTCGCAACAGTCTCTTCTCGGAGCTACAGGGAGGAGAAGGCGCGAGTGCGGCTGCTGGTGGAGGGGAATTTGAAAGGCAAGGGCCTAGAAGGGGCCGGATACTATGTCTCCAAGCCTTGGTAAGTGCCGAGAAGGATATATTAATATATATATTCATATTTTTTTGTATGTGTATAGGGATGGGGTTTTAATGAGGCCTTCTCAATGGTCTCTTTCTGGAGCTACCGCGAGGAGAGGGCGCGAGTGTGGCTGCTGGTCGAGGGGAATGTGAAGGGAAGAGGCCTAGAAGGGCTTGGATATTACACTTCTAAGCCGTGGTAAGTGCGTAGAAGGATACTTGGTGACGAGGAATTTATGAGGTTTCCTCGGCGGCAACTAGTAGGACGGGGAGAGGTGGCTTTGAAGGAGAAAGGATCTTTTGTGTCGGTTGTGTCAAAAACATGTTTGAATCCCCCCCCCTTCTTCCGCCTTGTTCCCCACCCGCACTCAGGCTCAACAACTGGCTGAGACGAACGAAAGGGGATGCCCCTACTGCAGCTGACAGCAACCCCCTGGGTGGCCTTATTTGTCCGCATCTGGGGCTGATGCCTGAAGCTGGAGGGGGGGAGGCGAGGAGGGCCGTTGTGAGTGGGGAGGTCTGGGGGTGGCTGAAACGGTGGGCTGAGGAGGGGAGGAGGAGGAGAGAGGAGGAAGAGAGCGTGAAGGAGGAGGAGAGAGTGAAGGAGGGAGAAGAAAGTGTGAAGGAGGAAGTAGAGAGTGTGAAGGTTCAGGGGAGTGTGAGAGACGAGGAGAGAAGCTCAAGAGAAGGATCGGGAGAGGAGAGAGCAAGAGAGGGGATGGAGGCCAAGGGGGAGGAGATGGCAGAGGGAAAGGGTGAGCGGGAAAACCGAGGAGGAGCGGGAGGTTCGATAGGAGAGGGACAGGCGCTAGCAAGCGGTGATAGTGGTGCAGATGGTGCTGCGGATGGTGCTGGGGGTAGGGCTGATGGTGCTGATGGTGCTGATGGTGCTGATGTTGATGCTGATGTGGTGATGCTAAACGGTCAGAAGGCTGAATACTGTGTGGTTGAGCTTCCCGCCGCCACACCTGAGTGCCCAGCATGCCTGGCGGCAGCAGCAGAGGCAGCAGAGCGGGCAGATGCGCTGAGCTCCGTTCAGCAGCAGCAGAGGCAGCAGTTCCTCCGCCTCCACTCCAACCGCCCCCTCCCCCTCTCTCTTCCCCCCGTCCCCCCTGCCCATCCCTCCTCTCCCATCTCCTCCCACCCCTCCTCTCCCATCTCCGCCCATCCCTCCTCTCCCATCTCCTCCCACCCCTCCTCTCCTCTGCCCTCCCCCACCTCCTTCCATTCCTCCTCTCCCTCCCCCTCTTCTCCACCCCACTCCATGCAAAGAAAAAAGCCGGAACAAGAGGAGTACCCCTACGTGCTCCTTCCATCGTCCTGGCTTGCCCTGTGGCGCTCCTTCCTGTCCGCAACTGCAGCTATGGCTGCCCATCCCCCGCCCAGGCTGGAGGGAGCGCTGAGCGGGTTGCAGTGCAGGGAGCATGAGCAGCTGGTTGTTGCCCCCCCTGGGATTGCCAACAGGAAGGGGCAGCTGGTGCAAGCACACCCTGACTCGGTGAGTCATGGACAGGCGAGCACTGAGCGGCATACGGTGAAGGGAGCATGAGCAGCTGGTTGTTGCCCTGCCGGGGTTTGCCAACAGGAAGGGGCAGCTGGTGCAAGCACAGCCGGAGTCGGTAAGTTGCAGTCTCATGTCACCTGCCCAACTGCTGCAGAAAGCAGTGTGTGAGAGCGCTAAGCAGGATGCATTGCAAAGGGAACGGGGAGCTGGTTGTTGCCCCACCGCGGATTGCCAACAGGAAGGGGCAGCTGCTTCAAGCACAGCCAGAATCGGTAAGTTTGTGTCCTCATAGGACCACCTCCCAGGCCGCTGCAGCAGGTTGACTTTTGAGTCGACTCAAAAGTCACCTAGTTTGCATCCTCATAGCACCACCTCCCAGGCTGCTGCAGCAAGCAAGAGAGCACTGAGCGGCATGCAGTGCACCTTGCACGGGCAGCTGGTTGTTTCCCCCCCCCGCCGGGGATCACCAGCAGGAAGGGACAGCTACTTCAAACACACCCGGAATTTGTAACTTGCACCTAGTTTTTCTTAAAGAGTTCTGACAAAAGATCCCATTTTTAAACGTATCAGTAAAAATAATCATCTCGTCCATGCCATGTTTCACTGCCTTTTAAGTAAACCAGGATCCCTTCGCTATTGTCCCCCAATTGGAGTGCAGCGATCTGAGCGCCCATGATTGCCGGGCTCACTAAAAGAATCCCTTTTCATATTCCAATCTTCCTCTCTGTTGGTGACAACCCAGGATCCTTTCACTATAGTCACCCAGTCAGAGTGGGACGAGCTGAGCAGCCAGTGGGGCGGCACTCCCTCCTCTGCCATCCGTGCACGCATCAAATCAAATCCACCTTCTAACAGCCTGCCAACTATGTCCATTTCTTCTAAGAACCACTCTGTCAGTGCAAGGAGCCATCCCTCCGCCTCTGCCGGTCACTACTGCCTGGAGACCATCCCTCGTTTGTGCCCCATCTGCTACAAGAACCCCGCGGAAATCGCAGAGGAGGCGGAGAGAGCAATGGTTGCACAGTTGAAGCGGCCGGATTACAAGGAGGAGGAAATTGTGGTGGAGCTGGTTAACGGGTCCGAGCCTCCCCCGTCTGTTGTTGCGTCAACCTATGGCTGCCCGCCGATTGCTGTGCCTGCTTCATCTGCTGCTGCTGCTGCTGGTAGTGCTGGTGCTGGGTCCCTAATCTCTAGCAGTGCTGGTGCTGGCGCTCCCAGTGGCAGTGCTGCCAGTAAGCTCCCAACTGTAAAGCCCACTCCACCACTGAGGGCTGTGGGGCTGGAGATGCCGTACAAGCGACCTCTGAGAACCGGGGGAGGCCGGGTGGTGATGCGGGTGTCAGGCGAAACGACCCTGCAGCAACTGAAGCTGCAGATATGGGAAGCCCTCGGAGTGGTTCCGGAGAATCAACGGCTCGGATTCGGCACCACCGAGATCACAAAGCTCAAAGGAAACACCGAGATTACAGAGCATACAGAGACTGCAGATATTGCACAGAAAACAGAGGTTACAGAGGTTACCGAGGTTACAGAGGTTACAGAGGTTACCGAGGTTACAGAGGTTACAGAGGTTACTGCACTGGATGAGAGGGAAAGGGTTGGTGAGGCGGCTCGAGAGCGCATTGGAGCTGGCCGCATGGGGGTTGTCGCAGGGGATGGGGATGAGAGCATGACTCTGGCACAAGCTGGGGTTTTTGCCGGTGCTCGGCTGTGGCTGGTGGATACTAAAAAGCATAAGGAGAGAGACATTGCAGGTGATTGGGCGGAGGAGTTGGTGTGGACTGGTATCTTAGTCAAATCACTCCCAAATCTCTCTCATTCCTTCCCCAGTCTCTTCCATTCACCCTCATACCCCGTCTTCTCCCCCCCCCCCCTTCCCCTCCCCCCTCCCCCCTCCCCCCTCCCCCCCTGCCCACAACCTCTCCCTCCCCCCTTATTTATCCTCAATGCCCATTCCCACTTCCTCCTCACTCTTCCCCCTGCCGTCCGTTTCTCTTCAGAGGAGCTCCCTGTTGAGATGGAAACGCACAAGGAGGAGGCAGGCTTCAAAGGCACGGGATTGGCAAGCAGCTTCCCTATAGCAGGTGTCGCAACAGTTGTAGCAGAAGCCTCTGACTCCGGTGTATAAGGAAGATGTTGCTTAACCTTAAGCGAATATAGTGGATGCATTTTCAGAAGCGTTTCTACCGGCTAGTGTAGTGGAATATATTAGAGGCGTTTTGGTTTAGCCTTGCATACTCGTAGTGAATTCTTGCGTTCCTCATAGGTGTAATCTGGACTTTATTTTACTTACGTTGATACTGACGACGATCATTAATACAACCGTGGAATTTGTATCGAGTTCAAATCTCAGTGACCTATTTTTCTGACACCTGATCTCTATGACCAGATTCGCTGCGGGAAAAGGCTAGGTAGAAATAATAACTGCACGAAGGATTATTCAGGTCCTTCGATCGCATCCGTCGACTTGGCCTTGATTCAGACCCGACGGTTGCAGGCCGTCCAACGGCTGCCGACCGAGCAGAACTTAATCCAACCTCCGCGGCATCCCATTTCGAGCTCGATTCGTAGAAAAAAACCTAATTTTACGATCATCCGATTTTTAGCTCGGCTGGTCAGCAGCGTCAGCTTTTTTTCTATTTTTGTTTAACTCAAAAGGCAGGTCGGCTGGTGAGCAGCATCGGCGCCATGGCAGCAGCGGGGACGCAGATCATCGAGTCGGGTCACGCGGACGCGATTCACGACGTGCAGATGGACTACTACGGCAAGCGACTGGCGACGGCGTCGTCCGATCGCTCGATTCGCATCTTCGCCGTCGCAGGCGACCACCACTCGCACCTCGCGGATCTGATTGGTCAGTTCACCGTTGACGGTGCTGCAATCAACATTGCGTTCTATGTTTTTTCAACGTGATGCGAAGCAAAGGCGTTCTTTTTGCATCATACCTTACGCTTTATCAATTTCCTGGCGTAGTACGCAAGCGTTTGCGTTTCAGTCGATTTTAAAGTGTCATTATTGGCGTTCGGAACCATGTTTGATTCGGAACCATTTTTGGTTCGGAACCGTGTCATTACTGTGTCACTATTGAACCCTTCTCCCCGCAGCTCACGAGGGACCCGTTTGGCAGGTGGCCTGGGCTCAATTGGAGATAGTGAATATCTCATTCATACTTATCGCATTCCGTTCTGGTCTTGTTCTGGCTCCTCTTCTGGCTCCTGTTCAATCCTGCTGTTCTGCAGCTCACGAGGGACCCGTTTGGCAGGTGGCCTGGGCTCACCCCAAGTTCGGGTCGATCCTCGCGTCGTGCTCGTACGACCGCAAAGTGATCATTTGGAAAGAGACCAGCGAGAACCAGTGGATCAAGGTGCGTTAGAGGCATAAACATACGAGGTAATGGCCTAGGTTCACCCGAGTTCGGGTCCATCCTCGCGTCATGCTCGTACGACCGCAAAGTGATAAACTGGAAAGAGACCAGCGAGAACCAGTGGATCAAAGTGCGAGCCGATGGGTTAACTTCAATTTTTTTCGAGTTTAGGTGCGAGTCAGTGGATCAAGGAGCGTCAGTGGATCAAGGAGCGTCAGTGGATCAAGGAGCGTCAGTGGATCAAGGAGGGAACCGATGGGTTACGGTAGAGAGGAGATCAGTGGCAGTGGGAGAGATTAAAGACGCATGCTGGGTTAGGTGGATGATGATGGAGCCTCATAGAGCAATTCAGGAAGCCATTGCCTCAGAGAAACACTGGTTTGATCCCGGGAATAAGTGATGACAGCGCAGCGATTAATTTTGCCCGGTCTCTCTTTTGGGATGTCTCTCGTGCTCATCCTCAAGCCATCCTTATCTTATGCCCTCATTCCGCTTTCTTAGCTCACGAGGGTTCGGTCCTCCTCCGACTTTCCCCTGCTCCTCCTCTCCCCTTCTACCTTGTTTCCCCCCACCCCACCCTCTCCCCCACCCTCCCTTTCTCCCAAATTTAAATGCGGGAATTCACAGACGACGAGGGGTCGGTAATTTCTTTGCTTTTCGCACTTCCCTTTCTCCTCCACCCACCATCAACCCCCCTCTCCCCACCCCAGGCGCAGGTATTTTCGGACCACAAGGGATCGGTGAAAAGCGTCAGCTGGGGCTTCACTCCTTTGCTGCTTACTCATTCTCTTTCCACATTCCTGTATGACTCCCTCTTAACCCCTCCCCACCCCGTGCTCCCCACCCCCTTATCCCCACCCCCTGCTCCCCACCCCCTGCTCCCCACCCCCTTCTCCCCACCCCCTTCTCCCCACCCCCTTCTCCCCACCCCTTCTCCCCACCCCCTTCTCCCCACCCCTTCTCCCCAACCCTTCTCCCCACCCCTTCTCCCCACCCCCTTCTCCCCACCCCCTGCTCCCCAACCCAGGCGCAGGTGTTTTCGGATCACGAGGGGTCGGTCAACAGCATCAGCTGGGCGCCTCACGAGTACGGGCTGGTCCTCGCATGCGCCTCGTCCGACGGCTCCATCTCCATCCTCACCCACCGCGCCGACGGTGGCTGGGACGCGTCCCGTATCCCCCAAGCCCATCCTGTGGGGGTCACTTCCGTCTCCTGGGCTCCTGCCTCCATTCCCGGGGGTTTTCTGGGGACTGGCCCGAATCCCGTGCTGCGGTTTGTGTCGGGCGGGTGCGACAATATGGTGAAGATTTGGCGGTATTCGAGCGAGGGAGGGGGAGGGTGGAGGCTGGACGGCGCACCGCCCGGCTTGGCTCGGCACACGGATTGGGTTCGGGATGTAGCTTGGGCACCGAACCTGGGCCTGCCGAGGAGTACAATCGCCAGTGCCTCACAGGTGGGTGGGTTGACTAGGGAAAAGAATGGAGTTTGTTGGCCTTGCTGCCATGGGACTGTTAGCATAGTGGGTGTGCTATAGTTCACTACATTCTACGTGCCTGTGAAGGGTCTCGCTTTCAGAATTTCCTGCTTCTACATGGGCAAGTGCTTCCTCCTTTCTGTCCATTGACTTCTTAATGCATTTCCTGTATTGCACCCTTTATCCCTTTCTCTACAGGATGGCACTGTACTGATCTGGACCCAGCCCAGCGAGGCAGACCCTTGGAAACCGCTGCTGCTGCAAGACTTCAAGGTGCCTGTATGGAGGGTCAGCTGGTCCCTGACAGGAAACATTCTCGCTGTATCGGATGCAAATAACAATGTGTCGCTCTGGAAGGAGGCTGCGGACGGCCAATGGTCGCAAGTCTCCACTATCCAACAACCATAGAGAAGATACTCATATTACCGTAGCATCCAAACAAGATTGAGTTGATAGTTTGTCAAGGGATGAAGAACTTAATTTACATTTTCAAATAGTCTTAACATTCTCACTATGATAAGAATAGGAACGTAATGTCGAAATTATATATTTCCCCTTACAGCTTGCATGTATGTTTTATGTTCCTTATAACGTCTTGTACACAAGCTTCCAATCACTCATCAGCATTTTTGTCTCCATTCTCTTGGAGAGCCACTGTGTTGGCCCTCGAAATTGTCCCTATCGCGTGGTTTGGGCGGTCGAAACAACGGAGCTCCCACCTGAAGATTGCACAGTGCTGCATCAAGCAACTGTTTGCTTGATATGGACGAAGGGGTTCGGCTGGAAAACACTGTTCAGGTGTTTCCCTCTCAACACGCGGTTCAAGATTCGATACAAGGCTCGGTAGACGACAAATATACTTCCCGTCCTCGACCCAGCTGTGTGTCCCTCGTTTCCCTTGTCACGTCAAACCCAGGGAAAACGTTCTTTCGTTTCCCCTGACCCAAATCCTGACCACACCACTACCTGGGGACCGGGGAGGTCCAGTGAGTGAGAGAGGAGGAAGCTTGGGCAGCGGGCAGTCTAACATGGTCCTGTTGGGAGAAACGGAGCAGCTCCAATCGCGAACTACCAACCAGGAACAACGTCCCTTCGACGCCCCCCCCCCCACCCCGCACGCACACACCACCACCACTCTCCAAGACACCCCTTCTCCCCTCCCTCCCCTCTCCCCCACTCCACCACCGCCTAGCTTCGCAGCATTCTTGTTCCTTGGGTTGTTGTCACACTCGTTTTGGTTCCTTGCTCAATCCTCCCATCCCCCATGGTTCCTCTGGTTGTTTGAGAATCCCTTCTACGATTTCAGCAGGCGCCACGTAACGCTGCACGGGGTTGTCTAAGAAGTGCTGTAGTGTGGACCGCATAGTCACCGCCACTTATCGGCAGTAATTAGTCAGCGCGTGCTAGGGCTAGGTGCAATCTGCACGAGAGCTGTTTATTCTTGAAACGCATCGTTACATATTTCCGTCGTTCCCCGTAAGCTCGTCAAAATGTTCGACAATGGCGAATCTCTGTGGTCGTTCATTACAATCATAGTGTGCATAGCGTTTACTGTACTCGCGTTCCTCTGGATGCACTTCTGCTACTTCCCGGGCGGCTACAAACGGAGCGAGGTCATGGACATGGGCGAGTACGCAATGATAGTTGCCGCCCAGCGGCTAAACAAGCTCGAGGATAAATCCAAGGAAGGCCAGCCGGAAGACGCGGACGAGTTGTACTACGAGCGGAATCCCGGCGAAATGGACGGCGAGGGAGGCGGAGACTGGCAGAGCCAGGCGGATGCTGACGTGGAGCAACCTGGGGAGTATTACGAGGAGGAGGAGACGCCGCGATACGACGTGAGTTTAGGAACTCGGGGTGTTCGCTTGCGGCGAGACTAGCCGCTCGACGTAGGTCCGCTGGTGCTCGCTTGCGGTTGACTCTGGGAAAGTCAGCCCCGGATATTAGACCCTTCAGTCAGTGATGTAACCCAACGTTGAGGTTAGGACGCAGCTAGCCTCATAAGCCGATCAGTAGTAAGGGGATTACGTTGGCCTTCGCAGATATGACGGTTTGTCGAGTCGACCTGTCTGATTCGTCAAAGCCCCGGAATCTGGTAAGGGTTGGGTTCGACCTTGTGGGCTGGGGATTGATAATGCGAGTAGCTGTAAGGATCGTCGTTGACTAAGGGTTGGATTCGACCTGTTGGACTTAGTTAAGCGAGTGCTTTTTGTCCTAGTGCTTCTTCCCCATCTCCCGTTCCACACGTTCCCTCTTCCCCCGCTTACTTTCCTCCTCCCACCTTCCCCTCCCGTGTTTATCTTTTTCTCGCCTCCTTTTCGCAGCCATCGGTAACCACCCCCTCGTCGCAACCATCAGCCGGGGATCGCGACACCGCCAGCTACCGGGACGACCGGAGCGATTCGACGTACGCCGCCTCAACACCGCACTCGGGCGGCTATTACTACTGAGACGCCCGCCCGGCTGTTTTCCTGCTGCCCGCCCCAGTCTCCTCTTTCGTCGGCTATCCATGTTACCAGCGTCAAGGTCGTCGAGCTCGTTAGCTGCTGGTCGGATTCGAGCTGTAACGGAGCTCCTAAACTGCAGCAAAACAGCCCTCAATTTAACGAGCTGTTACGAGCATCTCTCTGGGCAACTTACCTTCCCTTCCATGTATCTGCTACCCGGCCCAAGTCAGCTGGCATTCAAGACACTGAAGCAGGCTTTCAGGCTCTCAACCAGTACAATGCTTGATATGATTGCTGTAATTCTTTCTTTGATTGTATAACGCGACAAGTCTGCTTGTGGTTGTTTGTGGCGAGACATTGGAGATGGTAGTCGGGTCGGGTACTACGAACCTCATAAGCGAGGAGTAAGGGGATTACGACGAACCATGGCTTTCAATCCCAAACCATTCAGCATTTCGGCTTTCATCTGATCTGAACAGGAAGGACCACTTCGAGGAATAGGTGCTGTCCCTGTCCGGCACTACCCACTGAAGCGGTTCCAAAAAGGATTTGAGTTTCCCACGCTTGAGATTTCCACGAAGTATTATTTCTGCTAGAAACACTCTAAACACCTAGCACAATCAACTGTGGTGTGCAAGGCATGGTACAGAAGTTCCATTCCATCCATCCCTGCCCTGCACCTCCTTTCTGCAAGTTACAACATGGTACCGCTGGACAGAATTTCCCTCATGAATCCTCCCTGAGACGCACTGACCACCACCACTGCCAGTATTTTCAGCAGCAGGCTCGCCTTCACCACCATGGCTGTGCCCAGTTCGCCCTCCACCAGTTGCACCTCCCCCTCCTCACACCAAACCAGCCACCTCCTCCTCCCTCTCCTCTACTGCCAGCACTTTCAGCAGCAGGCTCGCTTTCACCATAGCCGGGCCCAGTTCGCCCTCCACCAGTTGCACCTCCCCCTCGCTCAGCCCCCTCCCAGCCTCATCCACAGCCCCCCTGAACGCCCTCATGGGATCCCCTACACTGGGGGGATACTCCTGGAAGAAGCTCACAGCCTTGGCGGCTCGCAGGGCGGGCAGGCACTCAACTGCCTTGGCTCCGATGCGCATGCCGTTGGTGAGGTGGGTGACCAGGAGGGTGAACGTGTGCGCGAAGAGCCGGAGGCGAGCGGCGTCGGTGAGGGAAATGGTTGCGGAAGCGTCACTGGTGGTGTTGCTGCCACTGCTGCTGCTTGAGGATGTGAGGGAGAGGAAGGATGGTGTGGGTGAATCCCTCTCCTTTTGCTCCTTGCCGTTGGGTGAGATGGAGACGGATGCTTTCTGGCCGAGCTGCTCGATTAATCTGACGTAGGCTATGGTCTCGGTGGTGGGCGATGCAGGCACTGCCGCTTCTGCTGCTGGTGCCTCTCCTCCTCCTGCTGCTGCTGCTGCTGCTCCTCCAGCTCCTGCCGCTGCTGCCGCCGCCGCTGCTGCTCCCGTGGCAGCACTCGCGTTAGAGAGAGCGGTAATATCGCTCCTTAGAGCCTCGCTTCGCGACAACCCTACTGCCGGGCCCACCAAGCTCAAAGCCCTCATGGCTCCTGACGCTTCCTCCCCTTCCCCCCCAGTTTCCCCGCCGATTCTTCCGCCAAGGGCTGCTAGAACAGCCTTATCAAGAGCTTCGTGAACGTGACTCTGATCCACTAGGTACTGCCCGAACCTCTTCGCTCCGAACCTCCACCGGTCGAACGACGGCAGGGGCGGTTCCCCCTTCGCCCGTGCGACTGCCAGTTTCCCCTGCGACTCGAGAACCTGCAGGTGCCTCACCAGGCGTTCGTACAGGCCTACCTGCGGCGCGGGTGGGTCTCCCTCTGCGACTTGCTGCCGAAGCTGTTGGCCAGCTTCGGCCCGAGCCTCGTAGCCTTGAGAGGTGGTGCCGGCCGTGAAGCTTTTCACCTTGAGATTGCCGATTTCGTCCGGACCTAATTCCGCACCTGCTGCCGAACCTGCAGCTTCCCAACCTTCCACCCGGACGAAGTCCACTCGGCCCTTCGCTGCCGCGCGCTGGTCGATCAGCGGATGGCCACGTGTCGGCGCCGGATCGGATGACGACTTCTTCTCCAATCGCTGTACGAGACGCGTGATCTTCGGATCTTCTGGCGCGACGGACTGTCCAGATGGTTTCGACCCATTTTCCCGCGGTTTCTTGGCCCCGCCTAAAGACTTCCCCTTGGATTTAGCGGAAGCTTTATCTGACGGGCCGGACCCAAATCCCTTACCCGACCTGCCCGCTGCTGCTGTGATTCTGCCCGAGCGAATTTTACTGCTCGAAAATGCGACTTTGGTCGAGTCTGAATCATAATGAAGAAATTTGTTATTGGGACGCAAAACGTGATGAGGACGGGGGAATTTGAGGAGCAATGCCGCCATGACAGGAAATCTCTTGTGAACCGAACAGGCGGCGGATTGCAAGGAGAGACAGGAAGAGGGACAAGGAGATGGTGACCGAGAAGTCGCTAGTTCGCCGTGGCGCCACGCCACGAAAATGAGTTGAGTCTGAAATGAGAGGGAGTGGGAGTGAGGTCTAGAATCCACACCAGACCTTGGAGTTTGCGCCTCTAGACGACACGCAGAATAACCTGGTCGGGCGAAATTGGCGAAGTCCTATCGAGGTTTGTGATCTCGCAGGCACGGAATCCGACAGTGAAAAATTACTTCAGCGCAAACCGCTCTGACAGATGGACGGAGATGGAAGGACTAGGGGATTCCCAGTCGAACCTAGACATAGGTTTTTTGTCGCTGCGGCCAGGTACTAGGTGCATGTACAAGTACATTCGAGCAGCCTGTAACAAATTGCTGTTGCAAATTTTAGTTCCGCTTATGGTTATACATCACTTCATACTCCACATCAGGGCCCAAAATATCCGGGTAAAATGCCCTGATTACTCTGATTTTCAGGGTAGTTTTTCGAGCTAGACTGATTTTTCAGGGTTTCCGATTTTCCAACCCTGATTCAAAAAGTGTAGCAATTTTCTTACCCTTCGAAAACCAGGGTTTGCGACCCTCCAGCCCTGATGAAGCAGGGCAGCAAGGCAACTACCCTTAATGCGCTGTCTGGCCAGCCAAAATCAGCGCCAGATGCGTGCTGGAGACTGTGTAGGCGCTAACTGGCCCTTCGCCGAAATCAAGGCTCGATGCGTGCTGGGGGCTGTGTGAGGGCGCTAACTGGCCCTTAGCCAAAATCAGCGCTCAGCGCTCGATGTGTGCTGGGGTGGGGACTGTGTGAGGGAGGGTGCTGATTGGCCCTTAGCCAAATTTCCTCCGAAATTGACTGGAGGAGGTGTGAGGGGACCGATTGTATTAAACAGTGAAATTGATAATTGAGAGGAAGAGAGTACACAAACATATACCTAACAGTTGTACTCTCTAGAAGATGACCCTATACAGTCTATACAAGCATGATAACTAAACATGTTTGACACACCCCCTGGACTGCATAGGGGAATGTTCTAGACAAGCAGCTCAGGGTGGCACTACTAGTCCAGCCTCTGAGACAAGGGTCTAAAAGACCAGTCAGAAGGAGTACAGGCAAGGCAAGAACTAGTACAGGGCGGCACTACTAGTCCAACCACTGTAAGAGGACACAAGTCCAGTCTGAGTGTACACACAGATATATATAGGACAGTACAAAGTCAAGGCCCGAGTAAGTGAGAGACTACAGGAACCAGACCAAGCTGTACACAGTGCCGCTGATGATCTTTAGGCGCAAGCGCCTTCGTAAAGATATCAGCTGTGTTGGCACCGGAGGCTAAGTGTACTACGCGAGCCTGGCGACGCTGCTGTAGCTCACGCAGGAGGAAGTACCGCAGCTGGATGTGCTTCGCTCTGCCCTCGAGTCGAGGCTCCTGACACAGGAGGATCATGGCCCTGTTGTCAGCGTACAGGACCGGGGCAGAGCTAGGCCGCTCACCTAAGTCAGTGAGCAAGAAGGTCAGCCAGCGGAGCTCCTGTGCCGCCATGGCACCGGCGTAGATCTCGGCCTCACAGCTGGACTGGGCAACAGACGAAGAGCGGGTAGCTCTCCACGAGACAGCACCTGAGCCAAGGCTAAAGCAGTAGCCCTGGGAAGACCTGAGCGTCTCCGCGTCGTCTGCCCAAGAAGCGTCTGTGTGTCCAGTAAGGACCACTGGCCTGCGTCCGCCTAGCACTAACCCCATGCCCGATGTACTTGCAAGATAACGCAAAACCCTCTTAGCGGCAGACCAGTGCTGAGGTCGGTGTCTGCCTGTGGCCACGAACCGAGCCAGGATGCTGAGAGGGTATGCGAGATCTGGGCGAGTGCAAGTCATAAGGTACATGAGGCAACCCACTAGCTCAGCGTAAGGACCACTGGGATCTACCGACTCCTCAGGAACTGGAGCGGAGAGTCTGTGGTCCAGAGGAAGAGGGGTGGGCTGTGCGGAGGAGAACTGAAGGCCGAACCTCTGAAGGACCTGGCGCACCAAGTGTGACTGAGTCAGGGTGATGGTGCGCGCGGCTCTGTCCCTGGAGATCTGCAAGCCAAGGTAACGGCGCAGCTCTCCAAGGTCAGTGCAGGTGTGTCTCTTCAGCAGCTCTGCCTTCACGGAGGCCAGTGCGTCCCTGTCAGCAGTGGCAAAGACCAGGTCGTCTACGTAGACAAGGATGTAGAACGGAGTCGAGCCAGCACGAACGAAGAGCGAGGGGTCTGCAGAGGACGGAAAGAACTGCAGGTCAGCAAGGGTAGCACGCAAAGTGTCGTGCCACTCACGAGGCGCCTGGCGCAGGCCGTAGACTGGCCGCCGCAGAAGCCACTGGGTCCCAGGGGGGAAGGTGCCAGTAAAGCCCTGAGGGCGACGCAGGTAGACCTGCTCGTGAAGGCTGCCCTGAAGAAAGGCAGTGGAGAAGTCGAGGGAGTGAAGCTCGTAGTCACGCTGAGCCGCTACGTGTAGCAGAACCCGAAGAGTAGTCATCTTCGGGGTAGGAGCGAAAGTCTGAAAGAAGTCCACCCCCTCGCGCTGACTGAAGCCTCTAGCCACGTAGCGCGCCTTGAACACAGGCGGCTCTCCAGGAGGGCGCTTCACCTTGAAGAGCCAGCGGCCATCGACCACGTTCACCCCAGGTGGGGGAACTGCGTCGACGAAGGTGCCGGTGGATCTCCAAGATGCCATCTCCTGCCCCATGGCAGCTATCCACTGAGAGGCCCAGGGTCCCGAAACCGCCTCAGCGTAAGTACGAGGGGTCGGGATGTCGAAAGCGTCTGGGTCACCCTCAGGGACTAGCAGCATGGAACAGAGATGGGGAGCAGCCTCGGACAGGAAAGCAAGCTCAAACTGGCGGTCCTCTAGGACGTCACTGCCGAGGGCAGGAGCACCCCCGACAGACGGAGGACAGGCAGGGTCAGAGACCAGAGCGGTGGCGTAGTCAAGGCGGCGGGTAGAGGCGAAGTCAGCGACCGCAGCGACGAGGGCGTCAAGACTCGACACTGGAACAGACGGGTCGGTAACAAGAGAGGCAAGGACCCGAGGAACAAGAGGACGAGCGGCACGAAAGTAGTCGGACAGAGGAGGAGACGCAACGACAAGAGAAGACGGAGGAGGAGACGGGAGGAGGGGAGGACGAGACGGGTGGGAACGGAGCAACATAGGGTGAGAGCGCGGGACAGGGGAGACAGGACGAGCACGAGCGGGGCGGCGAGACCAGACGTGTGAGGGCGGCGTCGGGTCAGGAGACAGAGGAGGGGACACAGGAGGGGAACGGGGGGGAAGACGAGCCGGGGACGAGTCTGGCAGAGGGAACACGGGGCCGTAGACGGGAAGAGGGGGAGACGGCAGGAGAGGAACAGGCGCAGTGTCAGGAGACGGGAGGCCGAGCAGACGGAGGGCGGTCACAGGCGGGGACTGCTGCTGCGGCGACACAACACCAACACCAGGGCCACAAGCGGCGCGACGGCTACCTCCCGAACCCTCCAAACCTGCACCCCCAGAAGGGACACCCCCAGAGTCCACAAACGGCGGCAGGGACGACAGCGGCGGCGGCGGCGGCGGCTGCAGCGACGGCTGCAACGGCGGCGGCGGTGGAGACGACGGCTGCAGCAGGTGCGGCGACGGCGGCTGCGGAGGCGGGGGAGGAGGAGACACCGGGGGAGGGACAGACGGCGAGGACTGCGCCGGAGGACTACCAGAGTCAGAAGACTCGTCGACCGGGACGACCGACGGGAGGGGGGTGACGTGAGACACACCAGAGGGGGCCGGACGGGGGGGCGGCGGGGGGGGGGGGGAGGGGCAGGGACCACCGGGGAAGGAGGGACCAGGAACAGGGGGGGAGTAACCGGGGGACCACGGTGAGGGAAGCGGCGGTAGAAGGAGACGGACTCGTCAAAGGTGACGTCACGAGAGTGAAAGAAGCGGTGGGACGGCGGGTGGTAGAAGTGCCAGTCGGACGCGTCAAGGGGGAAACCGAGGAAGACGCAGGGGAGGGTGCGGGCAGTGAGCTTGTCCGTGCCAGAGGCACGGACGTGGGCAAGGCAGCCCCAGACGTGGAACGCAGACGCGTCACCAGGGGACCCGGTCCACAGAAGGGTCGGCGAAACCTGCGGCCGCTGGGGGTGCGGCCACAGGTTAAGCTGGTGAGCGGCGTAGCGCACGGCGAACGGCCACAGAAAATGGGGTGCACCGGCGTGGATCATGGAGGTGCGAGCCACCTCCATGACCAAACCGATGCGTCGCTCAGCGACCCCATTCTGCTGCGGGGAGTCCGGCAGGGTAAACGTCTGGGTGATGCCCTCCGCACGACAGAAGCGACCAAGGACACCTGAGGCAAACTCGCCACCCCGGTCGGAGTGGAGGCGCAAGGCAGGGAGACCGCGGTGGACACGAGCAGAGACAAGCCAGGGGATGAGAACGTCAGGCACGTCGGCCTTCCGCTCCAGGGGGAAGACGGTGGTGTAGCGCGTGAAGTCGTCGACAAGCACTAGGAAGAAGCGCTCGCGACGCGGCCCATGGACCGGGGCTGGGCCCCAGACGTCCATGTGCAGAGTCTGCAGTGGTGCGGTGGTAGGGGGAAAAGAGGAGGAGTGAGGGGCACGGCGGAGCCGGCCCTCGACACAAGGCGTGCACGGTGGGGCGGGGGAGGAGGGAAACTCGGGGAACGAACCGGGGAGACCAAGGACGAGACCGTGCTGGGACATGTGACGCAGACGTGGGAGTGCAGGGTGACCAAGGCGGTGGTGCCAAAGGAGAGTCGGGTGAGTGAGGGACCGACAGGAGCACGCGGCAGCAACCTGGGTGGACGCAACTACCGGGGGGGAAGACCCAGCCGGGGACGTCGCGGTGTCAAGAGTGAACAGGCCGGACACCGGGTCCCGGGGGAAAGTGGTAAGGGGGGCACCAGTGGCGGCCTCGGTACAGACAGCATACCGCTCGTGACCAGGGAACGTAGTGGTGACGCCAAGGTCCTGGAGGCAGCCGACACCAACTAGGTTCCTGGAGAACGAGGGGATATGCAGACCGGTGAGCGAACCTGAAGGAACCGCCGGACAGGGAAGGGAGGTGGAACTGCGGGCAACGACGGGACCACCGGAGGGGTCAGCAAGAGTAACGGCAGCGGGAACAGGCAGCGGCGTCAGCGTCGTGGAGTCGCGGAAGAAACACCGGGAGGCGCCAGAGTCCAAGGTGAAGGAAAGCGCAGCAGTCGCGTGAGGCGGCAGTGAAGCGGTGGAAGCACCAAGGCTAAGCAAAGCAGGAGATCCTACGCCTGACGCAGCAGGGGAGTCTACGCTAGGCACCGCTACACTAGGCAACACGGGGTAATAAGAGGGAAGCACACTAGAGTCATCAGCATACATCACATGCAAGGCTGCTACAATGGCATCCATGTCCAAGTCAAAAATCCTAATGCTACGCCTAAGCAAGCTGTGCCAGTCCGGGAGGTCGGGCGCCGGGCCAAAGCGCTGGCGGAACAGGTCGTCCAGACGACGAAAACAGCGAGGAGTGGAATGACCGATCTTACCGCAAACGAAACCGCGGCGAGGACCGGTCTGGATCTGGTACTGACAGGGCCCGCCTCCAGAACCACCACCCGGTGCACCACCACGCGCACGACCACCACCAGCTCCAGGCCACCCAGGTGGGAGAGCACTCGCCGGCCTCGTCTGCGGCGGCTGCTGCGGCTGCTGCGGCTGCGGCGACTGCTGCTGCTGCAACGGTGGAGGCAGCGGGGCAGCTGGACCGGGCAGGGTCCCCACGTCCGCACCGGCACCGGACGACCCGCCTCCACCACTACCCCCACCCGCACCCCCGCCGCCTCCGCCGCTCCCAACCTTGGGGCGGCGGCCCTTCGCCGAGCGGGACTGCACTGCAGCAGCAGTCTCAGCCACAGCGACAGAGCCGTCGGAGAAGGTACACTGAGCGGGGGCACAACCCTGAAAGATAGGGACCGGTACTGTACCGCTCGCCTGGGCTATGGAGCGGTGACGAGTCTCTATGGCAGTCAGGGTGTCAACAAAGTCGGTGAGGGTGAGAGCAGCAGGATGGATGCTAAGAAACTGGTCGCGGGCGGCGGCAAGGCGGTCAGGGAGGCGGGTGGCAAGGAGGTAGAGGGTGGAGGTCATGGGAGGCTGGTGGACTCTAAGCTGTGCATCAGTGCAGGCAGCGCGCCAGGCCTCATCTATCGAGCGCAGGTGGGCAGCGAGGTCAGAGACAGTGGGGAAAGACGCCAGGTCAGGAAAGAGCAGGGGGAGGATCAGGCGACCCACTGAGGCAGCAGGAGGGGTAGAATAGCGCTTGATGACAGCATCGAGGTAGGCCTGGGCGGTAGTAATGGTTCTAAAGCGAGGGCGCTCAGGGGGGGGGAGGGCATTGCTAATGGCGAGCTGAGCAAGGGCATCGCGGGAAAGCCAGACAGAGCGGGCAAGGGCAGCAGCGGCAGCGGACTCGCGCTCAGCGGGCGTGGGATCAGCGGGCAGCACAGCAGGGGGGTCAGGGCAGGGGAGCATACCGTCTAGGTGTGCAGAAAGCGGGTGGCCGTCCTGCCGCTGGCCAGTGAGGTGGCGGCGAAGGTCAGCCAACCACGCCTCGAACTCCAGAGGCTGACCCTCAGCATCAAAACGAAGCTCAGCAGCCATGAGGGGCAGTGGAGGACAGTGCAGTGCAATGCAGTGCGGTGCAGTGCGGTGCAGTACGGTCCAGTGCGATGCAGTGCGGGCGGTGCGGTCCAGTGAGGTGCAATGCGGTGCAAGGCGGGGCAGGAAAGTGAAGGAGGGTGCAAAGTGGTGCGGGAAACGGGGGACAGTACCAGGAAGTATGGAGGGCCGGGGCAGGCGCGTCAGGGCCGGGCAGGCACGACAAGGCCGGGCGGCGGCGACGGGGCCGGGCGGCTGCGACGGGGCCGGGCGGCGGCGACAGGGCCGGGCGGCAGCGACAAGGCCGGGCGGCTGCGACGTGGCCGGGCGGCGGCGACGGGGCCGGGCGGCAGCGACAAGGCCGGGCGGCTGCGACGTGGCCGGGCGGCTGCGACGGGGCCGGGCGGCGGCGACGGGGCCGGGCGGCAGCGACAAGGCCGGGCGGCTGCGACGTGGCCGGGCGGCTGCGACGGGGCCGGGCGGCTGCGACGGGGCCGGGCGGCAGGGACGGGGCCGGGCAGGACACAGCAGGGCCGGGCAGGGGCGACGGGGCCGAGCGGCTGCGACGGGGCCGGGCGGCAGCGACAAGGTCGGGCGGCAGGGACGGGGCCCGGGCAGGACACAGCAGGGCCAGGCAGGGGCGACGGGGCCGGGCGGGCGAGCAGGGGCCGGGCAGGGCGACAGGGGCCGGGCAGCCGCGACAGGGGCCGGGCGGGCGCCACGTGGCCGAGAGGCCGCGACGGGGCCGAGCAGGGGCGACGGGGCCGAGCAGGGGCGACGGGGCCGAGCAGGGGCGACAGGGCCCAGGAGGGGCTCGACGGGGCCCAGGAGGGTAGCTACGGGCCCAGGAGGGGCGCTACGGGCCCAGGAGGGGCGCTACGAGCCCAGGAGGGGCGCTACGGGCCCTGGTAGGGGCGCGAGGGGGGGGCCTGGGAGGGGCGCGACGGGGCGTGGCGGGGCGCTACAAAGCCCAGGTAGGGGCGCGACGGGGCCTGGGGGGAGCGCAATGGGGCCCAGGAGGGGCGCTACCGGGGCCTGGGAGGAGCGCGACTGGGCTAGGGAGGGGCGCGACGGGGCCTGGGAGGAGCGCAATGGGGCCCAGGAGGGGCGCTACGGGGCCTGGGAGGAGATTGTACCTTCAAATGTTTCTGCCGATGTGTGCTGGAGGGTCTGTGTGAAACGTTCATTGGCCCTGCCACGCCCCTCCAATCCAATTTCGCCCCCCACGCACAATTCGCTTGAGTCGCAATTTCGTCAAACGTGTCGAACTATACATTTCGTCAAGTCAGCAACATACATAGCCCAAGCTCCTGTCCATCCGAAGTTCAAAACAGTTTCGCTATTGTAGTCAATGGCTTTAAATTGCAATGCAGTGGCAATGAAGAACAGGGTGGTTTTATATATACCCTGTGTAAACAGTGCTGCAAAAAATTTACCCTGAAAAATCAGACTACCCTGAGTTAGGTACCCTGTGTGACAGGGTGTTTCGGTTGGGCCACCCTGTTTTCAAAGGGCAGCCCAAAACCAATTTTGGGCCCTGCTCCACATTACTACCATCACCCCATCATTGAGCCAAAGAGAGAGGCGTGAAGAATCTGGCTGTCGTGGCTGATTGACGCAGTCTTCCAAAGGCGAAGGAACTGTGCACGACAGGCAAGGGGAACGTGGAGAAAAAGAGAGACAGAGATGGAGGTGGAGTAAGGAGATGGGGACGGACGGAATACGAGGGAAGTGGTTGCGAGGGAGGGGCCTAAATAACGCATGGATAGATCGGAACTTGAAGCAACATAAACGTGGGGGGATAGATAAAGCTCACCTCCGCAAGTCGGGAATGGCTTAGGTACAGGGGTCGACCACGACGCATGAAGGCATCATCCTGGAACAATGTAAATACGTAGTAATGTGAAGGAGAAACATGCATTATACAAGCTCAGGAAAACCAGCATAATACCGTATTAGCCCGGATAGAAGACCCCCTAATAATAGAAGGCCTTGGGTCTTCTATTGGGTGTCTATCTTGTGGTAACCCTGTTCTTTACCCCTAGGTCTAAGGCCCTTTGGATTATCTCTATGTGATAAGACCCATGGGTCTTCTATCCGGGCTAATACGGTTATACAAGCAAGGATTGTAAGGGATCAACAGAGTACCACAACAATCTCATGAGTTAAGCCTTGGATGGCAGTTGAAAAAATCAAAATCGTGGAGCAGGGGAGTGGGAAAGTAGAATCTAAAATGCTGAGAATCATGAGCTTAATTTTGTGCCTTATAAAGCCAGCATTCAAGTACCAGTTGGAAGGGCTCACCTCCCCATGCGAGTCGAGATAGATGGAGAGGCCGACACATATATGGACCCCATGTATCAGCACCAGCTGCGTCGATCGCATCACAAGGAACAAACCCGTGCCTCCGTTCTCTGTGCGTAAGGGCAGAAGGGTTAACAGAGAGAATGTGAAGGAAGGGAGGGGCTGAAATACATATGGACGCCATGTATCATCACCAGTTGTGTCGATCGCATCACCAGGGACAAACCCGTTCCTCCGTTCTCTGCATGTGGGGGCAGATGGGTGCATGGACAGAATGAGACGAAAGGGGTCGATACATACACATGTAAGCCATGTATCAGCACCAGCTGCATCGACTGCATCACCAGAAACAGACCCGTGACTCCGTTCTCTGCGCGTAACGCTAGAAGGGGGGATGAACGCAGAAACATGTGGCGCAGAAGAAACATATGAAAAGGTTGGAGCTTTTCGCAGGAGAATCCAGGCTACCCTAATGCACCCAAACAGTCTTGAACTTTACGCATGTAGCACATCCCATTTCGACGTTGTCTGTAGCACATCCCATCCCTACGTTGTCTGTACCACATCCCATCCCTACGCTGTCTGTATCACATCCCATCCCTATGTTGTCTGTATCACATCCCATCCCTATGTTGTGTGTAGCACATCCCATCCCTACATTGCCTGCAGCACACATCGATGACCATAATTCTGTACCAAATCCATACCTCTCGGCGCGTGTCTGTAGCACTCCCCGCGGCCGTCCGGATGGCAGCAGGAGACGGAGTTGTAGCAGAGGATCTCGTCTGTAGCACACACCTACAGCCATACTTCTGTACCAAACCCCTACCTCTCAGCGCGTGTCTGTAGCACTCCCTGCGGCCGTCTGGGCGGCAGCAGGCGGAGTTGTAGCAGAGGATCTCGTCTGCAGCACACACCTACAGCCAGACTTCTGTACCAAACCCCTCTCTCTCAGCGCGTGTCTTTAGAACTCCCCGCGGCCGTCTGGGCGGCAGCAGGCGGAGTTGTATCAGAGGATCTCGTCTGTAGCACACACCTACAGCCAGACTTCTGTACCTAACCCCTACCTCTCAGCGCGTGTCTGTAGCACTCCCCGCGGCCGTCTGGGCGGCAGCAGGAGGAGTTGTAGCAGAGCAGCTCCCCGCAGCACAGGCAGATGGCGGGGTTAGGCGGCTCCGCCCCGCAATTCTTGCACGTCTTCTTCATTGTGGCAAGCAGAAGGTCCTGAGAGAGCGGGGGGAGAAGGGGGTCCGGAGAGGGAGTAGGTGCAGGAGCAGCAGGAGTTGTAGCAGAGCAGCTCCGCACACACAGGCAGATGGCCGGGTTAGGGGGCTCTGTGCCACAATTCTTGCACGTCTTCTTCATGGTGGATAGAAGCAGGTCCTGGGGGAATGGAGCAAAGGGGGGAAGGGGGAGGGGGGGGGGGGGGGGGGGGGCTCGACAGGCAGATGGCGGGGTTAGGGGGCTCCGTGCCACAGTTGTTGCACGTCTTCTTCACGGTGGATAGAAGCAGGCCCTGGGGGAGTGGGGGGGTGGGGGGGGTCAGAGAGGAAAGACAGACAGACAGCAGGGTTAGGGGGCTCCGTGCCACAGTTGTTGCACGTCTTCTTCATGGCAAGGTTTGAGGGGGGGGGGAAGGAGGGATTGCAGGGCTGACCAGCAGTTTTGCCACAGATGAAGAAAAGTGAGGCGGCTGAATCTGAGACCTCTGCAAAGTCTTCACGGAAAGCAGAGTCCAGCAAGATATTTCCAGGTGATTAAATTATCAGATTGGTAGATGGAGTGGTATTACCTGGTAAATCTCCGGCAACGGGTAAAACGATGGCTCGGTGGGAGCTCTGACCAGCCGGGGTGGTTCCTGCATGAGTAAGGATGTGAGAGACATTCGCACACATAGAGAGATATGGATGCATAGAAATATTAACATAGAGGAATAAGCCCATGTAGAGACGTGAACGCGAAGAGTTATGCACACATACAGATATGCAAAGAAAGTGATTGGCACACACACCGTTATGTGAAGGCGGGCGAATGGAATGATGCCGATACGGTATGTACATGAAAGGCTACATGTAACGTTACAGACGGATGCTCCATGTTTTGAGGCGCCTCAAAAATCGTTTCATTTCACGCGGATTTTATATGGGGAATATTTTCATTGCATGGAGATGTGCACATAACCTTCAAAAGTTACTTGTGCGAGCCAAGTTACCAAGGCTTATCGACAGTTCGGAAGAAGACCCTCCTGAAGGCTGACACCTGCAACCTCGGGGTTTTACCCACTGCTGTGTTGGCGAATGCCCATTGATAGGCAATCTGGGTGGTTGATAATCTTGAGAATTGTTTTCGAGGGTGTGGGTTATTACTTAGCTCATGCCTAGGCCTGTGATCTCTTATGTCCAGTAGCACTGTAGCACTGATGAAGGCTCAGCGGGTTTGATCCCCGTAAGCCGAAACATGTTTGCGACCTGGTAATTTTGAGTGAAGGGCTTTTCGAGCAAATCTCTTGCCTAGGATTTTTTACTCTTGTTCTTTCTGCTCCTCGACTAACTTTGCACTGCTGCTCTTCCCAGGACCATGAGTGACATGAAAGGTTACATGTACCACTACAGACGGATGCTCCATGTTGCAACAGGTATGCACTCACCGAGGGGAGCTTCCATGATGCAAACATGTGATGGAGGTGCGAGGATGATGCTGCAGATAGTGGTATGACAGTACCCACCACGAGTACCGCACAGTACCCACAAGTACCGCACAGTACCCACGAGTGCTGCACAGTACCCACCAGTACCGCACAGTATCCACGAGTGCCGCACAGTACCCACGAGTACCACACAGTACCCATGAGTGCCGCACAGTATCCATGAGTCACAGCGGTATGGAGGGTGGTACAAGCTCACCGAGGGGAGGTTCCATGAGGCAAACATGTGATGGAGGTGCGAGGATGATGCTGCAGAGATGCAAGGAGGGGAGAATGGGCATGGGGGGAGAACGTCACACAAAAGGAAGCGGAGCAAAGGCGGACTCTACGGGACACCTTTGCCACAGAAGGTGGGTTTCGAACGAAATGTGTTTTGCTTTTGAGAATTCTCAAAAACAAAACACATCTTCGCGGAAGGTGGGTTTTGAACGAAAATGGGCAAGCGATGGAAAATGGGCAAGCGATGGAAAATGGGCAAGCGATGGAAACTGGGCAAGCGATGGAAACTATATGCTCACAAAGCGTATCAAGGAAGTTTTAGTTTAAAAAAGCCATGGACTGGGCTAACCTCCATTGCTGGCAGACGCCATGAGGCGAAGCACAGAGGCCACAGGCGGGAGGGCAAGGGAGCGACGCAGCCAATCAGAGAGCAGAATCTGGGGATCTGTGGGTTGAGGGCGGTTGAGGGCAAGCAAGAATCGCAGAAAAAACAAGAAAAAAAATACGAGTCTTCACGCCAGTAGCTACTTATCTCGCCCATCACTGATTATCAACGGAAGTGAAAAAAACTGTGGACTTTCGGGTCAAGGGTGTTAGAATATACCATTCAATTTATCCTACATAGTTTCTTATACTTGGGTATCCATAACCAAGTTGGGCTATCTAGGGGTGTAGATAAATGTTGGGGTAAGATATTCAACCAATCCTTGACCCCAACTATCGAGGTGTTCAATCTTGTTGGTCTTCCACCAACATTATTGGCTCCTCAATTATTGGTGGTCCAACCTTCCCAACCATCATTGGTCCAACCAATAATGGTTGAGTTGGTCAAACACCTCTTGACCTAAGATTGGCTCCCTAGGTATATGACTATGTACCACCTCCCTCTATAGTCAATTCTTCTCTTTACAGTTTCTAACAAAAGTTTCACAGTGGGCAACAGAGCTGGAGAGTAGAACTGTCTCTAGGGCAGCTAGGGCAACTAGGGCAGGCTGGGCAGCTAGGGCAGCTAGGGCAGCTAGGGCAGCTAGGGCAGCTAGGGCAGCTAGGGCAGCTAGGGCAGCTAGGGCAGGCTGGGCAGCTAGGGCAGCTAGGGCAGCTAGGGCAGCTAGGGGAGCTAGGGCAGCTAGGGCAGCTAGGGCAGCTAGGGCAGCTAGGGCAGCTAGGGCAGCTAGGGCAGCTAGGGCAGCTAGGGCAGCTAGGGCAGGCTGGGCAGCTAGGCCAGCTAGGGCAGGCTGGGCAGCTAGGCCAGCTAGGGCAGCTAGGGCGGGCTGGGCAGCTAAGGCAGCACGCTAGAAAGTTCATCCTTAACCCTCATCTTGACAAGCGAGCTCATTGGCAGCAAGTGAGGAGTAGGGGAAGCTGTGCCAGTAGCAGCAGCAAAGAGATGCGATACAAGGTCTCTCTATAGAACTTCTATCGCGAGCTGATCGGCAGCAAGCGAGAAGGATCTGTAGATGTGGTGCCAGCAGCAGCAGCAGCAGCAGAGAGACGTGATACAAGGTTCACCCTTCACCCTCATTTTGAGACGTCTCAGGAGCAGCAGCAACAAAGCACGTGAGGTTATTGAGTCAATCGCTTTTCCATCCCTTACTTGGATTCGTGATCGCTCTGACACGGCTATCCACAAGCGGTGGCTCTCTGAGCGGCATGATGCCAAGGTAGTGAATCTGGTTATAGCGAGTACGGACGGGAGGAATGGATGAGAGGGGAGGAAAGGAGGTGAAAGGAGGGAGGGAGGGAGTAGAGTGGGGAGGAAGTGGTAGTGAATGGTAAGTGGGTTTTGATTCGACTCAAAATTCAGAGGAAAGGAGGCGATGGGAGAGGAGGGAGGGAGGGAGGGAGGGAGGGAGGGAGGGAGGGAGGGGAGGGAGGGAGGGAGTAGAGTGGAGAGGAAATGGTAGTGAAAGGTTAGTGGGTTTATGCAGTAAAGGAAACTAGGATGTGGTTTGAACCAGAATACATGGGGATTAGTCGCAAAAAATCAACGTATTCTTGTGACAAAAATACATGATTAGCCACAAGAGGGGGATTCTTCAAGGGGGCACACAGGCGGACAGCTAGAATGGGACACACAGGCAGGCAGTGAGAATGGGGCATACAAGTATCTTTGTCCAATAACGGCGAGAAACAAGCCTGAAGAGACGGCACGAGGCACAGGCACATTAATAAAACAGCACACCCTACCAGAATGTAGGCTCGGCGGAGGTACGGCAGGCAGCAGGCCTGGACAGCCAAGTCAACCCACTCCTCATACGCACGTTCGGAACAGACCGAGAGAGCAGCAGCAGCAGCAGCGGCAGCAGAAACAGGAGAAGGCCTCGGGAACATCCCCAAGAAAGGAACAGAGGTGGTGGAGGAGGAGGAGGGACGAGAGGGGGCAGAGGAATGAGAGGAGGAAGAAGAGGAGGAGCGGAGGAGGGAGGAGGGAAGGAGGGCGGCGAGCACTTGGGCGATGGCCACACAGAATGAGACAAGAAGGATGGCGTGAGTCGTGGCGGCAGATGGGCGGGGCTGCTTGGACTGTTGTGGAATGGTGGGGATTGGAGCAGAAAAGATGAAAGAAAACGAGAAGGACATTTCAGAAGGAGATCAATCCCAGCCAAGCAACTCTCCGATGGTAAGGATTTTTCACCTTCCCAAGCAACTCTCCGATGGTAAGGATTTTTCACCTTCCCAAGCAACTCTCCGATGGTAAGGATTTTTCACCTTCCCAAGCAACTCTCCGATGGTAAGGATTTTTCACCTTCCCAAGCAACTCTCCGATGGTAAGGATATTTCACCTTCCCAAGCAGCTCTCCGATGGTAAGGATTTTTCACCTTCCCAAGCAGCTCTCCGATGGTAAGGATTTTTCACCTTCCCAAGCAGCTCTCCGATGGTAAGGATTTTTCACCTTCCCAAGCAGCTCTCCGATGATAAGGATATTTCACCTTCCCTGGCGACCCTCACCTGAATCATCGCCAGCAGCACAGCAAAGGGGTCAGCAGCCAGCACAGGCTGCGACAGCAGTCCCAACAACACACTCCACCCGGGATCCGTACCCAAATCCTCCCGCTCCTCCTCCTCCCCCTCCTCCTCCTCATCCTCCTCCGCATCCTCCTCCTCCCCCTCCGCTGTCAACTCCCGCAATTCAGCCATCATCTCAGCAGGCGAGATCCCCTCTGCTAGGAGCGCCTGTATGAGCTCTGGGGGGAGGGCCATGCCTGGCGCTGGCCCTCTGATCCCCCTGCCTGCTCCCCTGCCTCCTCCTCTGCCTCCTCCTCTGAGTGCTCCCCTTGCTGCCCCTTGCCGGGCTGCTCCAAGTCTCACCCCTGCTGCCCTAGATCCCCCCCGTGCTCCTACTCCCCTTTCTCCCCTTCCTCCCCTTGTTCTCACCATTCCCAATGCTCGCCTTGCCGCGGCTTCCCCTGCTGTTCTTGCTGCTGCTCTTGCGCGTCCTGCTGCTGCTGCTGTTGCTGCTGCTGCCTCGGCTGCTAAGGCGGTTTGCACTTGCCTTCTCCTTATACCCAGCTCCTGTGTGCCGGCAGCAGCAGTTGCAGCAGCAGCAGCTGTAGCAACAGCAGCAGGTGCAGGAGGAGGAGCAGGGGGAGCAGGAGCAGGAGCAGTAGCAGCAGACCCAGCAGCAGTGCCCTCCGCTGGAGCAGTATCAGCAGCAGCATCAGCAGCTACAGGCACGGACCCAACTCCCCCTCCCTCCTCTGCAGTCTCCTCCTCCTCCTCCATCTCTTCCCACTCCTCACCACTCTCCACCTCTTCCCACTCCTCCTCACTCTCCTCCTCTTCCTCCTCCTCGTCCTCCTCTTCCTCCTCCTCATCACTAAGAGCCCCGAAAAGTCCCATGGGCAACCTCCCTCCTCTTCCTCTCAACCCTCCTCCACCGCCTCCTCCTCCTCCACCCGCACTCGCCTCTCCCCCTGCCTCCATCCCACCAAACCGAATCATAGCCTCTTGAACATTCAGTGGAATGACCAGAGCCTGCTGCGCCTCAAGATCGCTCGCTCCTGTCAGGTTGCTCGCTCCTGTCACCTCTTGCACTTCCTCCCACTCGAACGAATCACCCTCTTCCTGTTCCCCTTCCTCCGTCATCCCCTCCGCACCCCCGCCGCTTCTCATTTCCACATCCTCTGCCTGACTTGGACTCCCAGACTGACTCCCGCTCCTCTCCTCCCCGCCTTCTCTCCTATGATCAACCCCTCCCCGCCTCCCACTCTCTCCCCCATTCCCTCCTTTCCGCTTCCCAGTTTTCCCCTCCCCCCGTCCCTCCTTGGGTGCTTCTGCATCCTCCTCTTGTTCAATTTGCAACCACTTGAACAGATTCGAGCACTGGTGATCCACCACAGGGGCTGGTGGGTGGGTGGGTGGGTGGGTAGAAGAAGCAGACAGGTCATTCGCTCTCTTGAGCATCTACTTCAGCCCATTTGCGAGCACCTGAGCAGACTCGAGCTGCTCGTGGTTATATCGCATATCGCAATATATCGCAGGGGGGAACCCGCGATATAAACGCGATATAGAAATATAGCGCGATTTACATCACATCGCAACGTGCGATATTTTTCTGGAAAATATAATATCGCTATTGCATTTTTGCGATATATGAGATAGTATATCGCGCGATGCGATGCGATATAACCATCTCGAGTCGAGCATCACCAAGCGACCACAGAGCTGGAGACCTGGGATCCCACTAACGAGCACACCCGTACCTACCTGCAGCCATGATGGTGCTGGTGAGCAGAGCCAGATGCGCCAGCCTCTAATCTCATGCCCCTTGTCCGACCGCTCTACCAGCGAAACGGGAAGGACATCCCCCTCCTATACCCCTACCTGCAGCCATGATGGTGCTGGTGAGCAGAGCCAGCCAGATGCGCCAGTCCATACAGAGCCATCTCATGCCCCTTGTCTGACACATGCACCCCTCGCCCGCACATGCATGCGTCACATCCGCTACTGCTGCCACTAAGGAGCGCACCCCTATCTGCAGCCATGCTAGTGCTGGTGAGCAGGGCCAGTGAGAGCACCTCCCCCCCACCTACCTGCAGCCATGATGGTGTTGGTAAGTAGAGCCAGATGCGCCAGTCCATCCAGAGCCATCTCATGCCCCTTGTCCGACCCCTCGCCAGCACATGCACGCGCCACATCCGCTGCTGACGATGCTTCGACTCCTGCCATTGCCCCAGAGCCAGCTGTAGCGGCTGTAGCAGCTGTAGCGGCTGTAGCGGCTGTAGCGGCTGTAGAAGTGAGCATGGCTTGCAGGGCGGCGTGTCTTGTCTCGACCTCGTGGTGGATGATGTTGAGGGCAAGCAACTCCCACGCAGACTGTTATGGAGGTAGATTAGAGGGAGAGAAGAAGGGTGGGTCCAGTTGGGAGATGAAAGATAGAGCAAGAGAGGGCGTCTCGTCTTGACCTCATGGTGGACGATGCTGAGGGCAAGCAGCTCCCATGCAGACTGACGGGGGATGGAGGGATGGGGTGGGAGAGAGAACCACAGGGTGGTTGGGCCGTTAGGGATGGGGTGGGAACGAGAGGAAGAGCAAGGAGGCCCTAATATTTTAGAGCTTTCAGAAATACCCTGCCACGGATGGGCATCGATACTCAAGGATGCCCATCGATGAGAAATACCCATCGATGCGCAAACTCAAGGATGCCCAATGCCCATCGATGCCTCAAGGGAGCAAGGCGGCGGTGTCTTGCGTCGACCTCATGGTGGACGATGCTGAGAGGGTAAGCAGCCCCCATGCGGACGGGCGGGAATGGCAGCCAGGGGAAAAAAGACTGCCAGGAAAAGCAGGTCCCCATGTCGCTTTCATGCGGACGGGCGGGAATGGGAGGATGGGAGGATGGGAGGATGAGAGGATGAGAGGATGGGAGGATGAGAGGATGAGAGGATGAGAGGGAACCATAGGGTGGGAGAGAGAGTCAACGGGTGGGTGGAGCTGGTTAGGGGAGGAGAGGAAGAGAAGGGGGGCTTGGCGATGTCGCAAGGGAGCAAGGCGGCGGTGTCTTGTGTTGGCCTCGTGGTGAACGATGTTGAGAGGGTGAGCAGCCCCCATGCGGACTGTAACGGGGAAAAGGATGGAGGAGAGAACCAGATGGGGCGAGATAGCGGACAAGGGGGTGCAAGGGGGTGCAAGGGGGTGCAAGGGGGTGCAAGGGGGTGCAAGGGGTGCAAGGGGGTGCAAGGGGTGCAAGGGGTGCAAGGGGGTGCAAGGGGGTGCAAGGGGTGCAAGGGGTGCAAGGGGGTGCAAGGGGTGCAAGGGGTGCAAGGGGTGCAAGGGGGTGCAAGGGGGTGCAAGGCGATGCCGTGTGGCGACCTCGTGGTGAACGATGCTGAGGGCAAGCAGCCCCCATGCGGACGGAGGGGGGATGGAAGGAAGGGTGGGAGGGAGAACCAGAGGGTGGGGTCGGTCAGGAGAGGAGAGGGGGAGCAAGGGAGCAGGCCGATACCTCAACGGAGCAAGGCGAATGCAAAGGCACGAGGCACATGAGGGGAGTGCAGAGGCACGAGGCACATGACAGAGGCACATGGCAGAGGCACATGGCAGAGGCACACGAGGGAGGCACATGGCAGAGGCACATGGCAGAGGCACACGAGGGAGGCACATGGCAGAGGCACATGCGTACCTTCCATGAGGCACATGAGGGAAGTGCACAGGCAGGCATGAGGCACATGACAAGAGGCACATGGCAGACGCACATGCGTACCTTCCAGACGTATCCAGGAGAGGTTGAACGAGAGGGCAGGTGGCGAATCATGGAGTTCTGGTGCACAGGGGGGGAGGATGGGGGGAGCAGAGGAGCAGTCAGGAGTAGCAGAAGAAAAGGGATAGTCAGAATGACATGTGCGCAACTTGAAGAAAACACTTTTGAGGCGCTTTAAAAAATCCAAAGCTCCAAAACATTTCCGAGGCGCCCGAAGTCCACCACACGTGCTGCTCCTTGCGTGTTCCATATACTCTCAGAGCAATGCGTACTGGATACTCTCACACTCACTCACATAGAAACTGACCTGGCAGGAAAATATTTCTGAGGTGCCTCAAAAATAGACACCACACCAGCTGCTCCTTGCATGTTCCATATACTCTCGGAGCAATGCATACTGGATACTCTCACACTCACTCACATAGAAACTGACCTGGCAGGAAAATATTTCTGAGGTGCCTCAAAAATAGACACCACACCAGCTGCTCCTTGCATGTTCCATATACTCTCGGAGCAATGCATACTGGATACTCTCACACTCACAAGGTGACTTTTGAGTCGACTCAAAGTCACCTGCCCTGCGTACTGGATACTCTCACCCTGACTCGCATAGTTACTGACCTGGCAGGAGAATATCACAAGGAAGCCGCTCAGCGCGCTGTTGTTTGTCCAGAACCGGGTCCACCACACCTGCTCCTCCTCCTCCCACCGGCCCTCCTCACTCTCCTCGTCCAGACACCTCTTCACCCCTCTCAACCGCTCCAAAACCCTCTGAAGGGCCTGAATTTCTCGTTCCTCTTTCCTTGTCTTCTTTCCAAAAGAGCCCGCACCAGCAACGGCAACACCAGCACCACCAGCACCAGCACCACCAGCAGCATCAGCCCCAACAGCAGCGCCACCCGCAGCAGAAGTCACGTTTCTAGGCGCCTCAAAGCGCAGTGGGGGGTTGGCGAGGGGCAGAGTCATCCTGACGTCTGGCAGCAGCAGGTTGCCGAGGCGGCGGCACACAGGGCAGAGGAACTCCTCTTGTTGCAGATCTATGAGGCCCCGGCCTGGCAGGGGAAAGGGGGGAGACAGGGCAGGACACAGGCCCATGGCCATCCTTCCAAGCCAGCAGCACCAGCACCAGCACAACAAGCAGCAGCAGAAGTCAACTTTTGAGGCGCCTCAAAGCGTGGTGGCGGGTTGGCGAGGGGCAGAGTCATCCTAACGTCTGGCAGCAGCAGGTTGCCGAGGCGGCGGCACACGGGGCGTAGGAACTCCTCCTGCTGCAAACCAATGAGCCCCCGGCCTGATGTCATTCAGAGGACGGGGGGGAAGGGGAACACATGGCAGAGGGGCAGGGGGCAGAGTCATCCTGACGTCTGGCAGCAGCAGGTTGCCGGGGCGGCAGCACAAAGGGCACAGAAACTCCTCCTGCTGCAGATCAATGAGCCCCCGGCCTGCAGAGAGGAGATGAGGGGAGAAAGGGCAGGAAAGAGTAACACGGCCATCTCTTCAGGCCTGCGCATGTGGCACACGGGGCACAGGAACCCCCCCTGCCCTTGAGTCGACTCAAAAGCATGTGGCACATGGAGCACAGGAACCCCCCCTACTTTTGAGTCGACTCAAAAGCATGTGGCACACGGAGCACAGGAACCCCCCCTGCTTTTGAGTCGACTCAAAAGCATGTGGCACACGGAGCACAGGAACCCCCCCTGCTTTGAGTCGACTCAAAATCATGCGGCACACGGAGCACAGGAACCCCCCCTGCTTTTGAGTCGACTCAAAAGCATGTGGCACACGGAGCACAGGAACCCCCCCTGCTTTTGAGTCGAATCAAAAGCATGTGGCACACGGAGCACAGGAACCCCCCCTGCTTTTTGAGTCGACTCAAAAGCATGCGGCACACGGAGCACAGGAACCCCCCCTGCTTTTGAGTCGACTCAAAAGCATGTGGCACACAGGGCACAGGAACCCCCCCTGCTGCAGAGATATCAACCCACAGCTTGGTGTCGTTCAGAGGGACGGGGAAAGCATAGATCAGAGGAGCAGATGACAGGGGGACAGCTAGCTAGCCAGCCTACCTTCGTATGGTCGGTCTGCTTGGTCCCTCTCTACCAATGCCGACATGTACTGGCTGTAGCACTTAAAGTGCATCTGCCACAACGCACACCGGGACAGGGGTCAACAAGCAACAAGAAATCAGGTGGGGAAATTTTGAGGCGCCTCAAAAATGGTCAACAAGCAACAAGAAATCAGGTGGGAAAATTGCTTTAAAGAGCATCTGCTAGAGAAGTGAAAAGCGAGGAGAGCTGAGTTGAGTTGATTCATTATTGACGGTTGTAGCACGGCATTCAAAGTACATTTGCCACAACGCACAGTCCAGCAATCGTTAGCAGCAAGCGTTAGTACGAAAAAGCCAGCAGAACAGGGAGAGCTGGAGAGTTGGACGCAAAGAGTGTACAACGAGAGGCCACTGAGCATTGTAGACAGTGCTGGAGGTTACACCACAGAAGCAGCGACTGAGCATCGATTGCATTTGGTTTTTTAGAATTCTCAAAGGCCAGCAAAACGGGGAGCTGGAGAGTTGGAAGCAAAGAGTATACAGTCCTGCAAGTTACATTTTTTAGTCGACTCAAAAATCGACTCATTACACAAGAGTATACAGTCCTGCAAGTTACACCACAGAAGCAGTGACTGAAGCAGTGACTGAAGCAGTGACTGAAGCAGTGACTGAAGCAGTGACTGAACATCGATTGCACTGCACCTGGCCTGTGAGTCGACTCAAAAGTCAGCTCGTTACACCACAGAAGCAGCGGCTGAGCATCGATTGCACTGCACCTGGCCTGCCACTACAGAGAAGCCACCTGAAGAGACCAGGGTTGCACCTGAAGTCAACCGAGACCCACCTGATGGCCGCAGCACCAGATATGAGACGTGCTTGCGTATCCAGAGATCCCTCCACGGCCCACCTGCCCCTCCGCTGCATATTGGTGTTGTGAACGCTAATGAACGAACCAAACCGAGAGCCCCACCCACCTGATGGCCGCAGCATCGGATGTGAGCTGTGACTTGCGTGTCCAACGACCCTTTCACCTGCACCCCCACTGTATGTTCGTGTTGAATGCCATGACCCACCTCAACTGCTGATTAGCGAACTGAGGACCCCCACCCACCTGATGGCCGCAGCACCGGATGTGAGATGTGACTTGCGTATCCAGAGATCCCTCCACCTGCACCCCCACTGTGCATTCCGAGTCTCCTGCATTACTCGCATTCCCTGCAGCAGGCTGCACTGCCGTAGACCCCTGCACTACCGCTGATGCTGCTGCTGCTGCTGCTGCTGCTGCTGCCTGCCCCTTCAGGTTCATCCCCGTCTCTGCTGCTACAGAAGCAGCAGCAGCAGCAGAAGAAGAACCCTCCTGTTTCTGAGTCGGCTCAGAAGCAGAAGCAGCACCAGACCCCTCCTTCGGCTCCTTTAACTGCTCCATTGCCTGTTTCGCGGAGAGGCCTGCTGCTGCCGCTGCTTTTTTGGATGGTCGCAGCAGCAGAGGCGGAGGCTGCAGGGGGGTCAAGGAGAGTGCATCAGCAACCGTAGTAGCAGCAGCCGGCATAGAAGCAGTAGGTGCAGGTGCAGTGGAGGGGGCGGTGAGGGGCAGGGCGCGGGAGTGCATGATGGCTGGCAGCTTGTAGGGCTGCGCCAGCGCCACCCACCCGATGGGCGCTGATGGTGTGGGGCGGCACTGCAGAGGGAGAGGAGGGGAGGAGAGAAACGAGGGGTGATCACCATATGTAGGGCTGGGCTGGAGAGCCACTCACCCGATGGGCGCTGATGGTGTGGGGCGGCACTGGAATGCAGAGGGGGATGTGGGGAATGGAGAGGGGGAAGTGGGGAATGCAGAGGGGGAAGTGGGGAATGCAGAGGGGGAAGTGGGGAATGCAGAGGGGGAAGTGGGGAATGCAGAGGGGGAAGTGGGGAATGCAGAGGGGGAAGTGGGGAATGCAGAGGGGGAAGTGGGGAATGCAGAGGGGGAAGTGGGGAATGCAGAGGGGGAAGTGGGGAATGCAGAGGGGGAAGTGGGGAATGCAGAGGGGGAAGTGGGGAATGCAGAGGGGGAAGTGGGGAATGCAGAGGGGGAAGTGGGGAATGCAGAGGGGGAAGTGGGGAATGCAGAGGGGGAAGTGGGGAATGCAGAGGGGGAAGTGGGGAATGCAGAGGGGGAAGTGGGGAATGCAGAGGGGGAAGTGGGGAATGCAGAGGGGGAAGTGGGGAATGCAGAGGGGAAGTGGGGAATGCAGAGGGGGAAGTGGGGAATGCAGAGGGGGAAGTGGGGAATGGAGAGGGTAGGAGACAGACAGGGTTGGGATGGAAGCAAGGAGCTGAGTGCGGAGTGCATGATGGCTGGTAGCCTGGTAGCCTGGTAGCCTGGTAGCTTCAGCTGCGTTAGCGCCACCACCCACCTCTGAGGTAGCCCTAAAGGTAGAATAGAGTGCATGCTCACCTCAGCATGGCAGAAGCCGCATAGCTCTGGCTCAGCAGATGTGAAGGCAGCAAGAGACCCCGGTGCAATCCTCGCCTTTCTCGAATCACCGCCGCCTGCCGCTGCTGCTGCCGCTGCTCCTGCTGCTGCTATACCCACCCCCTCATCACCCCCACCCTCTACCAGCTTCCCCTTCCCCTTCTCCGCCCCTCCCACCCCTCCCACACCTCCCAGACCCATACTGCTCCGACCCCTATCCTCACCCCCCCCTGCCCCTCTATCCACCTCCATCGCATCCCCATCCGCCTCCCCTTCCCTCCCTCCCTCTCCCTCCCCCCGTGCCTGCCCCCTCTTCCGGCTTCTACCAGCCACCCCCCCTGCCTCCCTCCCTCCGCCATCCATCTCACCCCCCTCCAATCCTTCCCTCCTTTCCGCATCAACAGCCATGCTTTCCCCTGCCCTGTGCACTTCTCCTGCCCCTCCAACCCCTTCCTCGGCTGCTGTTGCTGCAGCTGCTGTGGCTTTCCTGGCTGCTGCCCCTGCCCCTGCCCCTGCCGGTGCAGCATCTCTTGCCTCCTTCTTTCCCTCCTCCATCTCATCATCATCACCATCCATATCCAGCATCTTGGCAAAGGCGCTCTGCCTGCATACAGAAATGCACGGGTACATGGCACGAGAAAGGATAAGTACTCGGTGCTACTTCCAAGGCTCCCTTCCTCCACTCCTCCCCTCGTCCCCTCAACACTGGGATCCGTGCATGGAACATGGACATAAGCAGATCAAATGCACATCCATGTTGCAAGCAAGCAAGCAGCCTGTCCCAACGTCCAAGGTTGCATGCATCCCATCGTGCATGATTCCACAACCCACTTCGCATTTGAGTCAACTCAAAAGCTGTCCCAACGTCCAAGGTTGCATGCATCCCATCGTGCATGATTCCACAACCCACTTCGCAGCGAACTGGGCCATGATGACCGCTTGCCGCCGCCTCTTCTGCTGCTGCTACTCCTGCCATATTAGGCAGAGTATCACATACCCCACAGCTCTACCCTGTCCCTGTTGTAATATATCTATATAAACAACATACATAGGCTAGAATAGGGGGTGTAGCCTTTTCACTTATTCGGGGGTTGTTGGTGGGGTTCACCAACCACATTTTGGGTTGGTCAAGACTGGATTTGGTCCTTGAACCTTTGGTTGGATTTTTTCAACCAAATGGTCCCAAGTCTCATCCAATCAGCAACCACCACACTTTGGGGTAGCTTCCCCTCCAAACAATTTCTCCATGGGCCACAATTGTAGCCAATGGGAGTAGCTTCCCTTCCAACCTTCCCTTTGCTCCTTGCTTGTAACATAGAGCCTCTTGGCTCCCTTCCTAATTCATTCCTTTTCTCTCCAAAGTGTAGTTCTTTCAGTCCCATCCCATCCCATCCCATCCCATCTCATCCCACGACTCACTTAGCAGCGAATTGGGCCATGATGGCAGCCTGCCGCTGCCTCTTCTTCTGCCGCTTCTGCTCCTCCGACCCCATCCCTCCCTCCAGGCGACCTCGACACCCCCCCTCAACCAAACCCATCCCATCCCATCCCATCCCACGACTCACTTAGCAGCGAATTGGGCCATGATGGCAGCCTGCCTTTGCCTCTTCTGCTGCCGCTTCTGCTCCTCCGACCCCATCCCCCCTCCAGGCGACCTCGACACTCCTGCTGCTCCCCCGCCCGCTCCCCCTCCTGCTGGCGTGCCTGCGCCAGCTGTTTCTCCTGCTGCTGCTCCACGCCCAGGTTGCTCTGCCTTGGACTGGCGCAAGGGATGGAGAGAGAAAAAGAGGACTTTGCAGGAAATCCTTCACCTCTCACACCATGGCTCAAGCCCCAACATCCGCATCGTACCATCAGTCCTTGCTGCACCATTCTCACCACTCCCTTTGCTTGCAACTTATGGAATTCTTGTCTATCCTTTTTCCATTTAAAAAACTTCTCACCTCGCCCTTTGCCTCATGTGGTTGCAAGTTGAGTCTGCCTACGAGAGTCAAGATCACGTGTTCTACGGCGTCCTTGAGACCTGATGACGTTTGAAGGGCCTCACTCCAGTTCTTAGAACAGCGTTCTCACCTCGCCCTTTGCCTCGTGAGGTCGCAGGTTGAGTCTGCCTACGAGAGACGAAATCACATGTTCGATGGCGTCCTTGAGACCTGCCACTCAGAAAACGGAGAGGTGAGGATGGTGGGAAGAGAGCGGGGAGGAGAGGGCAAAGACATGGGAGCAGGGAGGAGAGAGTGCTCAGGCTGAGTCTGCCTATGAGAGACGAGACCACGTGTTCTATGGCGTCCTTGAGACCTGCCATTCAGAACGGGAGAGGAAATATGAAACGAACGGGGGGGGGGACGGAACGGGAGGAGAGGGGAGGGGATGGGAAGAGAGGGGACGGGATGGGAGGAGAGGGGACGGGATGGGAGGAGAGGGGACGGGATGGGAGGAGAGGGGACGGGATGGGAGGTGAGGGGACGGGATGGGAGGTGAGGGGACGGGATGGGAGGAGAGGGGACGGGATGGGAGGAGAGGGGACGGGATGGGAGGAGAGGGGACGGGATGGGAGGAGAGGGGACGGGATGGGAGGAGAGGGGACGGGATGGGAGGAGAGGGGACGGGATGGGAGGAGAGGGGACGGGATGGGAGGAGAGGGGACGGGATGGGAGGAGAGGGGACGGGATGGGAGGAGAGGGGACGGGATGGGAGGTGAGGGGACGGGATGGGAGGTGAGGGGACGGGATGGGAGGTGAGGGGACGGGATGGGAGGAGAGGGGACGGGATGGGAGGTGAGGGGACGGGATGGGAGGTGAGGGAACGGGACGGGAGGTGAGGGAACGGGACGGGAGGTGAGGGCAAGGAATAGGGGCGAGAAATCAGGTTGAGTTTGCCTATGAGAGACGAGACCACATGCTCTCTATAGCGTCCTTCGGTCCTGCATGGGATAAAAACTCGTCAAAAAGAAAACGGGGGAGAAGAAAGAAGCACGGAGAAGAAAAGAAAAGAAACGAAAAGAAAAGAAAAGAAAGGAAGAAAGAAAACTACAAAAATATCTCAACCAGCAGCACGCATCCATAGCAACCATACTCACGAGGGTTATCCGTCTTCGGTAGTATGCTCTTAAGGGAGACAAACACATTGGGGAGGGAGTCAAAAGGCGATGCCCGTCCCTTGGCCTTTGCGTCCGCCACTCCCCGGGCCTCTCCACCAAAGGGTAAGCATGATATGACTGCTGCTGCTACCTCGTCCCCTGCTGCTGGTACCGCTGCCAAGGGAGATGGTAAGCAGCCAGTACCAGCGGTTGCTGCTGCTGCTGCAGAGTCAGAGTCACCAGCAGCAGCATCGGCACCATCAACATCACCACCAGCAGCAGCACCAGCAGCAGCAACAGGGAGGGGAGCAGTAGCAGCAGCGTCATCGAGGCTTCGGGCGATGTCAAGGGAGTGGCGGGAGGGGGAGGTGCGAGAGGGGGAGTGGCGGGAGGGGGAGCGCTGGGAGGGGGAGGAGGAGGAGCGGAAGAGGTCGAGGGAGGAGCGCGAGGGGGATTGCGAGCGGAGCTTGTTGAAACTCTTGGAAATGCCCTCCAGCCAACGAGGCGAGCAGCTCACACAGGCCACATCGTCATCTGGGGGAAGAAGAAGAATGGGCGTGAGGGAGGGGGATGGAGTGGATAGAGAAGGAAGGGAAGGGGACAGAGCATGGGGACAAGGGGGGGAGGGAAAAGGACAGAGACGGGTGAGAGGGAGTGTGGGAGAGAGGAAGAAGAGGAAATCAGATGGAAGGAGCGGAAGAGTTCGAGGGAGGAGCGCGAGGGGGACTGCGAGCGGAGCTTGTTGAAATTCTTGGAAATGCCCTCCAGCCAGCGAGGCGAGCAGCTCACACACGCCACATCGTCGTCTGGGGGACGATGGGAGGGGAGGGCAAGCAAGCGAGACCACAACTGAGAAGGGGGGGGGGAGAGGACAGGAAATGCCCTCCAGGCTCCAGCCAATGAGGCGAGCAGACAAGATGGATGGGGAAAGAGCCATTCGAAGGCTTGCTGATCGATCGCCGAGTTTTGAGGCGCCTCAAAACGAGGGGAGGGGGGCGGAAAGGGGGGGGAGTGGGGGGGAGAGGGGGGGGAGACAAGACGGATGGGGACCGAGCCATTCGAAGGCTTGCTGATCGCCTTCGAGCCAGCGAGGGGAGTAGCAGCTCACACAAGCTGCATCGACTTCTGGGGGAGAAGGGAGGGAGTGGGGAGGATGGGGAAGGGGAAGGAGGGGAGTGAGTAGGAATATGGGGAGGATGGAGAAGGAGAAGGGGTGGGTGAGAAGCATCAAGCAGCACAGAAAGCTAGTTTTGAAGCGTGTCAACAATAGAAGGGGAAGGGGTGGGTAACATCAAGCAGCAGCACAGAAGGCCTTTTACCCAATCAGACCTTATCACTCTGAACTGAATGTCTACCATCGCCAGCAGAGACAGTCGGAGCGGGTTAGAAAGAACTCACCACACACTCACCACCCGCACCAGCAGATGCAGCAGTCAAGCATCTGACTGCCTGCAGCCGCTCACCCTGCCCTCTGCTCCCACTCCTCTCTCCAGCACCCGACTGACTACCTCCAGCTAGGCATGAGCAAACGGCCCGGACGGGCCGGGCCGGCTCAGACAAAGCCAGAATTTTCCCGGGCCGGGCCGACACTCTGAAGGGTCCCGGCCTGTTCGGGCCGGTCCAGTATGGCCCGCCAGGCCGGGCCGGGCCGCCGACCCGACGAGGTCATTCAAGTCGGGCCGGCATTGTCAGGCTGGTTGACCCAAATTCGGCCCGTCTTGAGGGTGACTCAAAAATCACCCTGCAGCCACTCACCCTGCCGGGCCTGCTCTCTGTTCCCCCACAGCATCACTCCGGCACCGGACTGCTTGCATTGCAGCCACTCCAAACCCCCCCACTCACCCTCCCACTGTCCCTGTTCCCACATAAACCATCGGACACAATCACAATCACAAAAAGAAAACGCACCATCATCAGCAGAAGCAGCAGCCCGGCACCTGACCGTCTGCAACCGCTCCGAATCCCCCCACTCGCCCTCCCCACCGCCCCCACTGTCGCCACTGCCGCTGCTCCCACTGCTGCCAGGCGTCTTGGGATGCAGGGGCGGTCGGGAGGGGGAGGAGATGGGGGAACCAAGTACCATGGCCTCCCTCCACACCCAACTGGGAGCCGACCTGAAAGGGGAGCAGGGGGGATGATATTGGGGGGAAAAAAGAGAGGAGGAGAAGGGGGGAAGGGATGCAGGGGTCGTCGGGAGGGGAGGGGGGGGAGGGAGAGCCAAGTACCAGAGCCTCCCTCCACACATAACTGGGTCAGAACTGAAAGCGGAGCAGGGGAATGATATTGGGGGGCAAGCAGGCTGGTGGAGAGGGGAGCAAGAGAGAGAGGGAGAGGAGACGCGAGTGCCCAGCACGATAGCCTCCCTCCACACCCAACTGGGCCCGGATCTGAATGCAGGAAGGGGGAAAGGGGCAAGAGGAGGAGCAGAAAGGAGGCAAGAGGAGAAGGCACAAGAAGGTGGCAGCATAAGGGGGCAACGGGGGTAAGGGAGGGAGGTCATGTGCCAGGTGGGAGGGGTAGGGAAGAAGAAGGGAGGCGGGAGGCGGGAGGGGAAGGGAACGGCTAGCAAGAGCACAAACAGCCGTCCCACCCACCTGCCATCTTTAACAGCCAGGGTCACGAGCTGGGTAGCAAGAAGCGCAATGGTTTCCGCATGAGTGCGGTGGGCAGGGTTGCGCAATGAGAGCAGGTTGGAGGCACATGCTACAGCACAGAGCACATGCCACAAGGCACTTGCGATGCGACAGTCCACCCACCTAGCATCAGTAGCAGCAACGGTCACGAGCTGGGTGGCCAGAATCGCAATAGTTTCTGCTTGAGTGCGGTGGGCCGGGCTGGGCGAAGAGAGCAGGTGAGAGGCACATCCCACAGCACGCCTACCTGGCATCAGTAGCAGCCACAGTCACTAGTTGTGTGGCCAAGAGAGCAATGGTTTCCGCTTGAGTGCGGTGGGCCGGGTTGGGCGAAGAGAGCAAGTGAGAGGCGCATGCCACAGCACAACGCACCACAATGTGACATGGCTGGAGGGAAAGGGGAAGGGGTGGGGCAAGTGTTGGAAGGGAAGGGAAGGGAAGGAAGAGTTGGAAGGAAGGGAAGGGGAGGGGTGGGGCAATTGTTGGAAGGAAAGGGAAGGGAAGGAAGAGTTGGGAGGAAGAAGAGGGGAACGGGATGCATAGCCTCTTCCCTGCGTGAGGAGTCTATTTTTGAGGCGCCTCAAAAATAGGCTCCTCGCGGAAGGGAAGGAGTCGCTGGGAGGAAGTGTAAGAAATAGAGTTGAAAATGATTGATTAGGTAAGGAGCCCAAGGCTCTATAAGTACATGGCAAGGTGAGAGTGAATGGATGAAGGGGGAATTGGAGGGAATCCCCATTGGGATCTCCGGAATCTCCAATTGGGTAATTGGAGATTGGGGGGATCACAATTGGGTGAGGTTGGGATTTGTGAGTACACTCCAACCCACTAAAACATTCATAACCTAAACTAGGATATAAAAGTACAAATACAAAAGTGGTATTTGCAGTCTATTTCTAACAGGAAGAAGAGGGGAGCATTTTTTAGGCGCCTCAAAAATAGACTCCTCACGCAGGAAGAAGAGGGGACCGGGGTGGATAGCCTCTTCCCTAGGCTGCTGGGTTTTGCAGGGTGTTTTTGAGAATTCTCAAAAACACGGTGCATAGCCTATTCCCTAGGCTGCTGGGCAAGAGCGCAGGTGAGAGGCGCATGGCACAGCACAGCACAGCGCATCACAATGTGACATGGCTGGAGGGGAAGAGGAGGAGAAGGGGAGCGAAGGGGAGGGCAGAGCAGGTCTCAAAGCTGCCAGGAGAGCAGGTGAGAGGCGCATGCCACAGTTAAGGGGAAAGGTGGATGGGGATGCGGCTTCGATGGCACATCCAGCGAAGGGTGCTAGCTACCAGCGTGAGATGGGGATGGATGTACCACCCGCAGTGTGAGATGGGGATGGATGTACCACCCGCAGTGGGAGATGGGGATGGATGTACCACCCGCAGTGTGAGATGGGGATGGATGTACCTACCCGCAGTGGGAGATGGGGATGGATGTACCACCCGCAGTGGGAGATGGGGATGGATGTACCACCCGCAGTGCGAGATGGGGATGGATGTACCACCCGCAGTGTGAGATGGGGATGGATGTACCACCCGCAGTGGGAGATGGGGATGGATGTACCATCCGCAGTGGGAGATGGGGATGGATGTACCACCCGCAGTGGGAGATGGGGATGGATGTACCACCCGCAGTGGGAGATGGGGATGGATGTACCACCCGCAGTGTGAGATGGGGATGAGTGTACCACCCACAGACTTTTGAGTTGACTCAAAAGTCAGACTTTGGAGTCGACCCAAAGGTGAGAGGCACATGCCACGGTGAAGGGGAATGGTGGATGGGGATGCGCGTTGGTTGGTACATCCAGTGAAGGGTGCCACCAGCGTGAGATGGGGATGGATGGATGTACCACCCCGTAGTCGAGTATGTTACAGCATGAGCCTGTAACAGCTTCAATTTTAAGAATACCTGAATTAATTATAAAATCCTTTTTGTGACATATGTATGTATAATGTACCCACCCACCTCAGCATGGGCCATGTCTGGCAGCCTATCGAACAGCGCCATGTGTCGCTGCGGACACTTGTGGCACGGCCACACAGTGGCAAGCAAGGAACCATGGGTGCGAGCAGTAGGTAGGATGTACCTCCGTGTGGGCCATGTCTGGCAGCCTATCAAATGGCGCCATGTGTCGCTGCGGACACTTCACTCGCCAGAAGGGAACCTTGGGCGCAAGCCTCTCTGCTCGCTCCTGCGCACATGCAAGCGCGCACATGGGGGGAAGGAGAGGGCGGGGGCGGAGGGGGGGGGGAGGGAGGGGGGAGAATTGGGGGAAGAGTGGGTAAAATGCCATTTGAGTTGACTCAACATGTGCTGCTGCAGACACTTGACTCGCCAGAAGGGCACCTCGGGCGCTAGCCTCTAAGCACTCTCCTGTATGGAGGCATGCACACAGGAGGGGTGGGGTGGGGGGGAGGGGAGAAGTGGGGGAAGCGCGGGTCAAACTCCCACCAACTCCGATATTTCTTAGATCACTTCCCGCTTCCCCCATCCCCAACGTTACCTGTTCCCCCCGCACCCACCTGCGCTTCCTCTAGTTCAGAGAGCAATAAGTGCGGGAAGAGTGGGTCAAACTCCCCCCAGCCATAGATTCCCTTTCCATAAACTTCCCCAACACCACTCCAACCCCCCACCCTCCCAACACCCACCCACCCACCTGCGCTTCCTCTAGTTCAGAGAGTGAGTAGTGCGGGAAGAGCGGGTCGAACTCCCCCCAGCAGGAGGGCTTCAGCTGGAAGTAACCCCTCTGCTGCAGGCGCTTGGGCACGTGGTGCACTGCCACGTCTTGCAGCACTGCGTTCAAATGGGGTAGACTGGCCAACGAGGACCCAATTTGCTGGGAGAGCTGCAGGGAGGTCAGGGGAACAAGGGAGGGAGTAATGAAGGGAAGAACGAAGGGAAGAAAAGGATTGGTTGCCTGGGCACGTGGTGCACTGCCACGTCTTGCAGCACTGCGTTCAAATGGGGTAGACTGGCCAACGAGGACCCAATTTGCTGGGAGATCTGCAGGGAGGTCAGGGGAACAAGGGAGGGAGTAATGAAGGGAAGAACGAAGGGAAGAAAAGGATTGGTTGCCTGGGCACGTGGTGCACTGCCACGTCTTGCAGCACTGCGTTGAGGTGAGGAGGGAGACTGGCCAGAGAAGAGCCGAGCTGCTGGGAGAGCTGCAAGAGCGAATCGGACACGCAAGGAAGGAGAGGGGAGAGGGAGAGACGACGCTTGGGCACATGGTGCACCTGGTGCACATGGAGACTGGGCAAAGGGGATCCAAATTGTTGTTAGGAGAGCTGCGGAGGGGGGAAGGGGGAAAATGGTGCAGAAGGAACAAGAGAAAGCATACAACCCACATTACGCATGGCGTAGCACAAGACGCTACATGAGGTGCACCACAAAACGCTACGAGTGGTGAACCACCAGACTTACATCACTATGAGTTCGGTCGCGCACTGCAAGCCACTGAATGACGTGGTAGCGAAGCACATGGTCCTGTGGATGGGAGTACGAAGGTGAGAGGGCATGGAATATGAGGAGAGAGGGTGACCAATACCCCACTCGGTCGCGCACGGCAAGCCTCTGAAAGACATGTTAGCGGAGCACATGGTCCAGTGGATGGGAGTACGACGGTGAGAGGGGCACGGAATAAGAGGATAGGGAGTGACCGCTCCTCTACTCGGTCGCGCACTGCAAGCCACTGAATGACGTGGTAGCGGAACACGTGTCCTTGATTTTGCAGGGTGTTATTGAGAATTCTCAAAAACACCCTGCAAAATCAAGCCACTGAATGACGTGGTAGCGGAGCACGTGTTGTACCACAAGGCACTGCCTGGCGGCAGACACAGCAGTTTCCCTCACAGCAACCCCCCCACCCCACCCCCCTGACTTGCTTCAAGCCTCACCTCTGAGAAGCCTGTGTGCTTGGGGTCTCGGATGATCTGCACAGATGCAGCCAACCAAGGGATGGCACGAACCAAAGCGCGGTTTGAAGGGCTAGGTAAAAAAAGGAAGTAGCAAGGAAAACAGAAACAGAAAGCACATGGAGAATGACTTCTGAGGCGCCTCAAAAGCACATGGAGAATGACTTCTGAGGCGCCTCAAAAGCACATGGAGAATGACTTCTGAGGCGCCTCAAAAGCACATGGAGAATGACTTCTGAGGCGCCTCAAAAGCACATGGAGAATGACTTCTGAGGCACCTCAAAAGCACATGGAGAATGACTTCTGAGGCGCCTCAAAAGCACATGGAGAATGACTTCTGAGGCGCCTCAAAGGTAAAAAAAAGGAAGTGGTAAGGAAAACAGAAACAGAAAGCACATGGAGAATAGACCTGTCTTCATGTGGAAAGAACTGAGAAATTGCCTAATTGAGTACCATTGAGCACACCAGCACAACCACCCTGCACCGCAAAACTGGCTTGCTCACTCGCAGACATTAAACTCTCCACACACACAGTACCGTACAACTCAGAACCGCTCAACACCGCTCAGCACCTCTCACCAGCAACACAAGCTTGAGCAGATCAGCCAATCGGCTGAGCTCTGCTGCCGTCCATTCAGCACTCGGGGCAGATGACGAGGACACTGACGTGGCAGAAGCGCATTGGATGGCTTTGCTGAAGGTATCATGGAGCTGAGGGGAGGGGGGGAAGAGGGAGGGAGGGCAAGAGACAGGACAGTGTGGAGTTGGAGAGGGACGTTTCAATAGAGTGGCAGGAGAGCGGGTGATATGGCGGGAACGCTGGCAGGAGCGGGAAATATGCTGTGGGAGGAGCCCGAGGTCCACAGCAGGTGAGTGTGAGGCTCCAGCCATGCAACTCACACTGAAGTGCTTGACGGCAGACGTGAGGAGAGCCGCAGGGGCGTCAGAGGAGAAGAGGGCAACGAGCTGCAGCAGCAGCAGATCGAGGTCCATGGCAGCGGGCCAGTAGCCCCCCCGGTACACGCGCTCCAGCTTGCTCAGATCCTCGCCCTGGTAGTGCCACTCGCGCGCTCGGATCTGTAAGGCAAGTGCGTGACACAGGGGGTTGGCGTGAGGGGGGGAGAGGGGAGCAGAGAGAGCAGTGAGCAGAGCAGCAGCGGAATCAGCGGAGAAAAGAGCAGCTGGCCAGTAGCCCCCCCGGTACAAATGCTCCAGCTTGCTCACCCTAGTAGTGCCACTTGCGCAAGTGAGAGGAGATGAAACGGGCAGGTTGAAACAAGGGAGAGGAGATGAGTAGGGATGGGACCTAGACACGACACAACCGCTTGTTCAGATCCTCCCCCTGGTAGTGCCACTCGCGCGCTCGGATCTGTAAGGCAAGTGGATGACACAGGGGGTGGGCGTGAGGGGGCGGGAGGGGAGCAGAGAGAGCAGTGAGCAGAGCAGCAGCGGAATCAGCGGAGAAAAGAGCAGCGGGCCAGTAGCCCCCCCGGTACACGCGCTCCAGCTTGCTCAGATCCTCGCCCTGGTAGTGCCACTCGCGCGCTCGGATCTGACAGAGGGGAATTCGGTAATGATCGGAACGGTCGGGATGGGAAGGGATGGGAAGGGATGGGAAGGGATGGGAACGGATGGGAACGGACGGGAACGGATGGGTTCTAGACACCACACATCCAGCGTGCTCAGCTCTGATTTCATGCACCATACATAACACAATCCATGCAGCCCAATAAACAGAGCAATGCCCCCACCAACCTGAGCCATGCCCCCACCGACCTGAGCCATGCCCCCACCAACCTGAGCCATGCCCCCACCGACCTGAGCCATGCCCCCACCGACCTGAGCCATGCCCCCACCGACCTGAGCCATGCCCCCACCAACCTGAGCCATGCCCCCACCAACCTGAGCCATGCCCCCACCGACCTGAGCCATGCCCCCACCGACCTGAGCCATGCCCCCACCGACCTGAGCCATGCCCCCACCGACCTGAGCCATGCCCCCACCGACCTGAGCCATGCCCCCACCAACCTGAGCCATGCCCCCACCAACCTGAGCCATGCCCCCACCGACCTGAGCCATCCAGGCGAAGAGTCGAAGGGGGTGCTCCGCGATGGCTAGCACCTGGCAGGGAGGGCGAGGAGCGGGAGCGGAAGGATGGACGGGGTAGCAGCACCATGTGGCACTGCGAGAGAAGGAGAGTGCTGTCAGTTGCACAACGACAACGTGTCTGAGGTCCCATGTACCACACATCTTGTGCAAGTTTGAGGTCAGCATGTGCCGCGCGTTTTGTGCAAGTTTGAGGTCAGCATGTACCGCACATTTTGTGCAAATTTGAGGTCAGCATGTACCGTGCATTTTGTGCAAGTTTGAGGTCAGCATGTACCGCACATTTTGTGCAAATTTGAGGTCAGCATGTACCGTGCATTTTGTGCAAGTTTGAGGTCAGCATGTACCGCGCGTTCCAAACACCTCACGTCTCCTTCTCACCTCTCTGCGCATGTTAAGTGGCAGCAGCCGACGCAAATGAGGCACCGATGCTGCTGGGCCTGACCCATCACCCCCCTCGCCACCGCCACCAGCGCCAGCAGCAGCAGCAGCACCATCACCACCACTCCCAGCAACGGCAGGCACAGCGTGTGCTGCAATGTGCACAAGCGAGGCAAAGAAGAGCGCGAGAATGCGGTGCAGGGGCAGGTGCAGCGACATGGCCACTGACTTGGACCCCGTGTCCTCTGCCTTGATCTGATTCTGCACGCAATGATCGAAGGGGCAAAGGAGAGGAGATATGAGCCGGAGTATGAAGAGTGACGCAAAGGTATATACTCAGACATTACTCTTCACGCATGAAGAGTGAGCAGGAGGTATGGGCGAGATCTCAGACATTACTCTGAACACAATGCAGTCATTTTTTTAGAGATCTCAAGCATTACTCCACCGCAATGCAGGGGCAGGTGCAGCGACATTGATACTGCCTTCTGAGCGAATGAGACATACAAAGGGATCACCGACCAGAGAGAGCATGGGAGCATGGGAACGTTGGAGCCCAGGGAAGGGAGCAGGGTCTGAAGAGGAATGCAAGTGCAGGGTCTGAAGAGGAATGCAAGTGGGATAAGGGGAACGTGATGCAGGGACATGAACACGCCTTGGATCTGCTGCCTTCCTCTTTGATCTGGTACTGACCAGCGTTGACTCGCCTTGACCACTATTGACTCACCTTGACCAGCCACGCAAGCAGAGTCTGCAGGGAAATCCGCGCTCCATTCAGCAGAGCATGCTCCGCCTTCACACTCTCACCCCCCTCTCTCTCCCGATAAGTGCCTTCACCAGAGTTGACTCACCTTGACCAACCATGCCAGCAATGCTTGCAATGCAATCCGCGCTCCATTCAGCAGAGCGTGCTCCGCATCCACACCCTCACCGCCTCCTCCTCCTGCTTCTCCCAGACCCGCCCCTCCCCCTGTGCCCCCAGCAGGAGGTAGGATGGTGGTAGGGACGGTGGACGGGGAGGAGGTGTAGCGCTCTGTGATGGTGTCGATGAGACCAATCACCAGCATCTAAAAAGAGGTGGAAGGGGGAAGAGAGAACGGAGGGTTGGGGGGAGGGGGGAATGGGGAATGGGGAATGTGGACTACCAAGAGAGGGTAAGGGAAGAGGACGATTGAGAGGGAGGAGGTGTAACGTTCCGAGACGGTGCAGATAAGATCGATCACCAGCATCTGGGGAGTGGAGGGAGGAGGGGGAGGGAGAGGGGGAGGGGGAGGGGGAGGGGGAGGGGGAGTAGGACAAGTGGACGGGGAGGAGGTGTAACGTTCAGTGACGGTGTCGATGAGACCGATCACCAGCATCCGGGGGAGGGCGGAAGGGAGAAGGAACAAGCAGGAGATTTGGGAGGACAAAGAACAAGCGGGGGGGAAGAGGTGTAACGCTCTGTGATTGTGTCGACGAGCAGACCGATTACCAGCATCAGGGGTGTGTAAGGGAGGAGGCAGGGAGGAGGCAGGGAATGTGGAGGGAGGGAGGGAGGGTAAGGGAAGAGGACATGGCGTGATTGAAGCATGGCGGGGGAATGGGCACCAAGATGAGCGCCTGGGCTTGGGCTTGGAGGTGGGAATGAGGTCCGATATCAGGTCTCAATGCATCATGAGAGGGGTAAGCACAACCGTTTGAAACACCACTCCCTATCTCCAAACTCTACAACCAACCCCACCTCCAGTCCCTGTCCTTCATTCCAGTTTTGAGGCGCCTCAAAACTATACTTCTATCATCCACGCACTGCTGCTCGTCTCGATCATGGCTAACCCCACCTCCAGTCCCTGTCCTTCATTCCTACTCCCTACCTCGAGAGTGACGGCTTTGGTCCACCTGGTGCCTTCAGTGGGGTCGCCATACTCAAAGCGCACGTAAGGGTTCATGCCCTGCTTGGGGAAGAGGGCGGGGGGTGGGGGAGGGGAGAGGGGGAAGGGTGGGGCGAGAAGGGAGGGGGGGGGCGGAGAGGTGGGTGGGAGGGCCTTCAGTGTGGCCGCTATACTCAAAGCGCACATAGGGGTTATGGGCCGATGGGGGGAGCGGGGGGTTCGAAAACCTATGAATCAAGACATCAGAAGACAACTGGTCCTAGAGCAAGAAAACTCAGACAGGTCCAGGTACAGAGCACAGAACCAGAGAGGGTGAGAAAGGGCTGACCTCGAGCTGAGAGAGAGTGAGCAGCAAGCAAGCAAGTCAGCTAACACGCCAAGCCTCTGAGTGAGAAGGTGGTTGATGGCAGGTGCGTGGTAGAAAGAAGTGTAGGGCTGTCACTTAGGAGTGAAAGTACGAGGAGGAAAGGGTTGCAAGAGAGGCAGTGCTTGTGAGGGAGAGTGAGTGTGCGCCAGGGAGGCTGACCTGGACTAGGGAGAGCGTGAGCAGCAAGTCAGCTAGCACGTCAAGCCTCTGAGTGAGCAGGTAGTTGACGACCGGCGTGTGGGAGAAAATGAGGCGCATGTCGTGCAGCGGGCGAGAGTAGAGCGGATGCAGGTTGCTCTGAACGGAGGGATGGGTGGGGACAAACGAGAGGAGGTAGTTGGGAGAAAATGAAACGCATGTCGTGGAGAGGTGCCAGTAGAGCGGATGCAGGTTACTCCGGTCATTGGGGTTGGGGGCTGGGAGAAGGGGGGAATATGGGACAAAATGGTTTTGAGGCGCCTCAAAACTGGAATATGGGACAAAATGGTTTTGAGGCGCCTCAAAACTGGAATATGGGACAAAATAGAGGGAGTAGTGTGGGAGGTGACTTTTGAGTCGACTCAAAAGTCACCAGGTTACTCTGGTCATTGGGGTTGGGGGTTGGGGGCTGGGAGAAAGGGGGGGGGGAATATGGGACAAAATAGAGGGAGTAGTGTGGGAGAAAATGAGTAGCATGTCGTGCTTTGAGTCGACTCAAAACACCCGTCCAGCGACCATGAGTATAGTGGGCGCACATTGCTCTGATTTTCCTCACACCATCACTATCCACGCACATGCGTCACCACCCACTCACACCCATCACTATCCACTCGTTCCACTCGCACCCACTCACACCCATCACTGCTCACTCACATGTGTCACTATTTCTCGTGGCCAGATGATGGGGCTCTCACAATTAAGCACCCCTGCTGGCCTGCCAAGATTATACAGGGTTGACAGGGGGAAGCGACGCGGATGTAGGGGAGGGAACCGGGGGTAAAGATCAAAGGGGTGGAGGGAACTGGGAGAACACCACTTGGTGGTGGTTTTCGCCATACGTGGCAGCGGGCTTGTAGAACACTTTGTTGTTGTTGAGAAAGATTCTTGCTCAGAAAAAGTCTCTTGAAATTGTAGGGTAAAGAATTGATGGTAACTAGTTTCGGCAGGTGGCTGCCTTCATCAGACCAAGGTCAAAGGGGTGGAGGGAACCAGGGGTAAAGGTCAAAGGGGTGGAGGGAACCAGGGGTAAAGGTCAAAGGGGTGGAGGGAACCAGGGGTAAAGGTCAAAGGGGTGGAGGGAACCAGGGGTAAAGGTCAAAGGGGTGGAGGGAACCAGGGGTAAAGGTCAAAGGGGTGGAGGGAACCAGGGGTAAAGGTCAAAGGGGTGGAGGGAACCAGGGGTAAAGGTCAAAGGGGTGGAGGGAACCAGGGGTAAAGGTCAAAGGGGTGGAGGGAGCCAGGGGTGGTAGGGGGGGGAGGGGTAAAGGTCAAAGGGGTGGAGGGAACCAGGGGTAAAGGTCAAAGGGGTGGAGGGAACCAGGGGTAAAGGTCAAAGGGGTGGAGGGAACCAGGGGTAAAGGTCAAAGGGGTGGAGGGAACCAGGGGTAAAGGTCAAAGGGGTGGAGGGAACCAGGGGTAAAGGTCAAAGGGGTGGAGGGAACCAGGGGTAAAGGTCAAAGGGGTGGAGGGAACCAGGGGTAAAGGTCAAAGGGGTGGAGGGAACCAGGGGTAAAGGTCAAAGGGGTGGAGGGAACCAGGGGTAAAGGTCAAAGGGGTGGAGGGAACCAGGGGTAAAGGTCAAAGGGGTGGAGGGAACCAGGGGTAAAGGTCAAAGGGGTGGAGGGAACCAGGGGTAAAGGTCAAAGGGGTGGAGGGAACCAGGGGTAAAGGTCAAAGGGGTGGAGGGAACCAGGGGTAAAGGTCAAAGGGGTGGAGGGAACCAGGGGTAAAGGTCAAAGGGGTGGAGGGAACCAGGGGTAAAGGTCAAAGGGGTGGAGGGAACCAGGGGTAAAGGTCAAAGGGGTGGAGGGAACCAGGGGTAAAGGTCAAAGGGGTGGAGGGAACCAGGGGTAAAGGTCAAAGGGGTGGAGGGAACCAGGGGTAAAGGTCAAAGGGGTGGAGGGAACCAGGGGTAAAGGTCAAAGGGGTGGAGGGAACCAGGGGTAAAGGTCAAAGGGGTGGAGGGAACCAGGGGTAAAGGTCAAAGGGGTGGAGGGAACCAGGGGTAAAGGTCAAAGGGGTGGAGGGAACCAGGGGTAAAGGTCAAAGGGGTGGAGGGAACCAGGGGTAAAGGTCAAAGGGGTGGAGGGAACCAGGGGTAAAGGTCAAAGGGGTGGAGGGAACCAGGGGTAAAGGTCAAAGGGGTGGAGGGAACCAGGGGTAAAGGTCAAAGGGGTGGAGGGAACCAGGGGTAAAGGTCAAAGGGGTGGAGGGAACCAGGGGTAAAGGTCAAAGGGGTGGAGGGAACCAGGGGTAAAGGTCAAAGGGGTGGAGGGAACCAGGGGTAAAGGTCAAAGGGGTGGAGGGAACCAGGGGTAAAGGTCAAAGGGGTGGAGGGAACCAGGGGTAAAGGTCAAAGGGGTGGAGGGAACCAGGGGTAAAGGTCAAAGGGGTGGAGGGAACCAGGGGTAAAGGTCAAAGGGGTGGAGGGAACCAGGGGTAAAGGTCAAAGGGGTGGAGGGAACCAGGGGTAAAGGTCAAAGGGGTGGAGGGAACCAGGGGTAAAGGTCAAAGGGGTGGAGGGAACCAGGGGTAAAGGTCAAAGGGGTGGAGGGAACCAGGGGTAAAGGTCAAAGGGGTGGAGGGAACCAGGGGTAAAGGTCAAAGGGGTGGAGGGAACCAGGGGTAAAGGTCAAAGGGGTGGAGGGAACCAGGGGTAAAGGTCAAAGGGGTGGAGGGAACCAGGGGTAAAGGTCAAAGGGGTGGAGGGAACCAGGGGTAAAGGTCAAAGGGGTGGAGGGAACCAGGGGTAAAGGTCAAAGGGGTGGAGGGAACCAGGGGTAAAGGTCAAAGGGGTGGAGGGAACCAGGGGTAAAGGTCAAAGGGGTGGAGGGAACCAGGGGTAAAGGTCAAAGGGGTGGAGGGAACCAGGGGTAAAGGTCAAAGGGGTGGAGGGAACCAGGGGTAAAGGTCAAAGGGGTGGAGGGAACCAGGGGTAAAGGTCAAAGGGGTGGAGGGAACCAGGGGTAAAGGTCAAAGGGGTGGAGGGAACCAGGGGTAAAGGTCAAAGGGGTGGAGGGAACCAGGGGTAAAGGTCAAAGGGGTGGAGGGAACCAGGGGTAAAGGTCAAAGGGGTGGAGGGAACCAGGGGTAAAGGTCAAAGGGGTGGAGGGAACCAGGGGTAAAGGTCAAAGGGGTGGAGGGAACCAGGGGTAAAGGTCAAAGGGGTGGAGGGAACCAGGGGTAAAGGTCAAAGGGGTGGAGGGAACCAGGGGTAAAGGTCAAAGGGGTGGAGGGAACCAGGGGTAAAGGTCAAAGGGGTGGAGGGAACCAGGGGTAAAGGTCAAAGGGGTGGAGGGAACCAGGGGTAAAGGTCAAAGGGGTGGAGGGAACCAGGGGTAAAGGTCAAAGGGGTGGAGGGAACCAGGGGTAAAGGTCAAAGGGGTGGAGGGAACCAGGGGTAAAGGTCAAAGGGGTGGAGGGAACCAGGGGTAAAGGTCAAAGGGGTGGAGGGAACCAGGGGTAAAGGTCAAAGGGGTGGAGGGAACCAGGGGTAAAGGTCAAAGGGGTGGAGGGAACCAGGGGTAAAGGTCAAAGGGGTGGAGGGAACCAGGGGTAAAGGTCAAAGGGGTGGAGGGAACCAGGGGTAAAGGTCAAAGGGGTGGAGGGAACCAGGGGTAAAGGTCAAAGGGGTGGAGGGAACCAGGGGTAAAGGTCAAAGGGGTGGAGGGAACCAGGGGTAAAGGTCAAAGGGGTGGAGGGAACCAGGGGTAAAGGTCAAAGGGGTGGAGGGAACCAGGGGTAAAGGTCAAAGGGGTGGAGGGAACCAGGGGTAAAGATCAAAGGGGTGGAGGGAACCAGGGGTAAAGATCAAAGGGGTGGAGGGAACCAGGGGTAAAGGTCAAAGGGGTGGAGGGAACCAGGGGTAAAGGTCAAAGGTCAAAGGGAAACGGGGGTTAAGGTCAAAGGGGGTGAGGGAAACGGGGGTTAAGGTCAAAGGGGGTGAGGGAAACGGGGGTTAAGGTCAAAGGGGGTGAGGGAAACGGGGGTTAAGGTCAAAGGGGGTGAGGGAAACGGGGGTTAAGGTCAAAGGGGGTGAGGGAAACGGGGGTTAAGGTCAAAGGGGGTGAGGGAAACGGAGGTTAAGGTCAAAGGGGGTGAGGGAAACGGGGGTTAAGGTCAAAGGGGGTGAGGGAAACGGGGGTTAAGGTCAAAGGGGGTGAGGGAAACGGGGGTTAAGGTCAAAGGGGGTGAGGGAAACGGGGGTTAAGGTCAAAGGGGGTGAGGGAAACGGGGGTTAAGGTCAAAGGGGGTGAGGGAAACGGGGGTTAAGGTCAAAGGGGGTGAGGGAAACGGGGGTTAAGGTCCAAGGGGATGAGGCTCTTGCAATGTAGCACCCCTTCTGCCAGGCCCCCTTATATAGGATTGACGGGTTGCGAGGGAGAGGAGCGGAATGTGCTTGAAACAGGCGTGGGGAATGTTCCTGCAGCATATGACGCAACTGGCCCTTACGTTTTGGCGGCTTGCAGGACGCGGCAGAAGACTGAGGCAAAAAGCTGGAGGAGACTGCCCGAGAGCACCCAGTGCATGGTGACCTCGGGGATGTTGAACAGCTGCACCATCACTGCACAAAGGGATGTGCGTATAAGGGATGGTGAATATAAACGAGTGTGAGCATCATCAACCCATTGGTGCTGGAGAGCACCCAACGCATGGTGACCTCGGGGATGCTGAGCAGCTGCACCATCACTGCAAGAGGGAATGTGAATACAAAGGAACGTGGTGCAAGAAGAGCGTGGCCTGCTGTCCCACCACGTCCTCTAATCTTGTGCTACACTTGAGAGAAGTGTAGAATAGAGAAGGCAGCCGTCTTCTCGTAAAATAGAGTGGGGAAGGAGGCAGACGGGAGCGTGGTGCACTCACCTCGGTCCAAGGCCTTTTTGATCTTGAGAAACCGCGCAGAGGGGTTGTGATCGTGGAGCACATTGAGCACCAGATGCGGGTATTGCCATATGAGCAGCCCTGAGAAGACGTCTTTGAAGGCGTGGCTGTAGAGCAGCAGCAGTAGGAAGAGCAGGGAGGAGGGATTGGGGCACCAAGAAGCACACTCACCTCGGTCCAGAGCCTTCTCGATCTTGAGAAACCGCGCCGAGGGGTTGTGGTCGTGGAGCACATTGAGCACGAGGTGCGGGTATTGCTGTATGAGCAGCCCTGAGAAGACGTCCTTGAAGGCGTGGCTGTAGAGCAGCAGCAGGAAGAGCGTGGCCTGCTGGGTCACTACGTCCTCTGGCATAGCAGACAGCGTTTCCAGAAGGTACTGGACTGCAGAGAGGGAGGGACGGGATGAGAGGGATAATGGCGCACCCGCTGCTTCTTTCTCTGCTTCTCCTGCGGTGCCTGCACCACCAACACCTGCTTCTGCTGCTGCTGCTGATGCTGCTACATCAAGCCCCATGCTCCCCTCTCCCGCCCTCCCCTCCCCAGCTCCACCCTCCCTGGTTCCACCCTGCCCCACGTCCCCAGCCGCTATGCTGGACTGCCGTAGATTTTCTCCCACCACACCCCTCCCTGTGCTCCCTGCACTTCCGTGCGCTACAGCAGCCACCAGGGCGGGAGGGAGGGGTGCAGCCATGCTCTCACACACTATGTCCCTGATGGCAGCAGCGTGGGAGATCTGCAGGGGGTGGGGGGACAGGGGGCGAAGAAGAGAGGGGGGAGAGGAAGGGGGGTGAATTTCCCAACAGCAGCAGCCAGAATGAGAGGGAGGGGTGCAGCTGTGGACTCAAACACTACGTCTCTGATGGCTGCATCATGGGATCTCTGCAGGCGGCGGAGAGAAAGGCGGCTTGTGGGAAGGGGCAAGTGATGGCAAGGAGGGTTGTCCATGAGGAGAGATGGTGAGTGATGGAGCCGGGTGCGAGAAAAATTGGGGTTGAATGAGTCTGTTTTTGAGTCGACTAAAAAAATGGACCCATTATACACAGAAAGGCAGGTTTGGGGGAAGGGGCAAGTGATGGCAAGGAAGGATGTCCAAGAGGATTGGGGAGATGGCAAGAAATGATGGAGCAGGGTGCGAGAAAGATTGGGGAGGGGATGGGCAACGTGTGCCAAGCCAAGTCTCAAAACACAAACGGTAGAGCCATGGAATGAGCATGAGCAGGCCTCTGGAAGGGTGCAGCGGAGGTTACACGTTGGCTTTGTGAAACCCCCTAGTAAGTGACTCACCTTGTCCAGCCATGCGACCAGCTTCAGCAGGTCCCTCTGGGGGTGCAGCGGGAATTACCCACCTTCGCAAAGCCACCTAGTAAGCTTCTCATCCAGTCCAGCCAGGCAATCAGCTTCTCACGAGGCCTGACATGAGGCCGCCCCAAAAGCGTCTGACCTTGTCCAGCCAGCCACGCGATCAGCTTCAGCAGGTCCCTGTGGGGCTGCAGCGGAAATTTCGCCGCGTGCCCAACCGGCAGCACCAGCTGCCCCCCCACTGTGGGGGTGTGCAGTGTCCAGCCAACCAAGTTCCAACTCTCATTACCGTCTCACCTTGTCCAGCCAGGCAATCAGCTTCAGGAGGTCCCTGTGGGGTTGCAGTGGGAATTTCACAGCGTGCCCAACCTGCAGCACCAGCTGCCCCACCACAGCTGCCACAGCTGCTTCCGTCACCTGCCCGAGATTCCCGGGCAGCGGCTTAGGTGTGTCAGCTGAGTGGTCCTGATGGCGATGGCGCTTGCAGGCTCTGCAGGAGGAGGAAAGAGCGGAGGGAGAGGGGGAGGGGGAGGGGGAGGGGGAGGGGGAAGGGGAGGGGAAGGGAGAGTCTGACTCAAATACAGATTCCTGATGGCGATGAGGAGGAGGGGCGAGGGGGGGGGGGGGGAGGAGAAAGGGGAGGCAAGAGAAACGACAAGCGAAAGAAGAAGGATGAAGCAGAATAGAGTACATTTACTCTGTAATAATCGAGCGAGAAAAAATTATTCACAAGTACTAGCCACAACAGTAGCTGCACCAACTCAACACATACCCTTTGGGATTCCAGGAGGAAGGATCCCCGCAGTCACAGCAGCCGCCTGACTCACTGCGGTACATCACTGGGTGGTGTGTGGGGGGGGGGGGGGATATGAACTTGGTTCAGGGAAAGGGTTATTACTGTCCCTCGCCGTCTGTACCACCTGACCTTGACGGGCACATGAACCTGCGAGGTGACTTTTGAGTCGACTCAAAAGGCGTTCTGAGGTGCACAAGAACTTGCGATCTTGTAATCTTTATCAAAAGTCGTCCTGAGGCCATCACATGACCAGTCACTCCATCAATCTGCATCACCACACAATCTCATGTGATCTAATGACAGTAAAAACAAAAGTTGCCCATGCAGTAGCCGAGATCTCAGAAAACTGTTTAATGAGTAACAAACGTTACTCAGAAAGCTTATTTTACTATCAAGCTTTTTGCTATGAGTCTCGTTTACACTGCTGCTCATCTCTATCATGGCTAACGTCAATCCAACAATCCGCATCACCATACATGTGATCTAATGACAATGGCGCCTCGAAGTAGCATCCTATTAGGGCAACTATGGTCTCTATGGCAAACCAGCAAAACATTAAGCCACGAAAATACCGTGGTAATAGTTGCTACAGTGGTCATCTATCTCGACCATAACGAGCTTACCGAGACATATCTCCCATGCCCTCATATCTCCCATGCCCTCATATCTCCCATGCCCTCATATTACCATAGTCATGATTGCGGTGGTCCCCCTCCTGAAAGCACTTCACGCAGATGGCACTGTGATTATAACGGGGAGAAACAGGGGCCAAGCAGGCATGCCATTTTACTAATAGTGAATGGTTATAAGGTTATGGTCTATGGGCCACCGAATTCAAAAGCAGATGGATCAATGTCAGCGGTCCACTGAATTTCACGAAAGGGGAAATGGTTACCTGGTGAGAAATGCTTCTGCTATACGCCTTCTAATTTCATGCTAATCCTGATTCCTTTTTTGCAAGCCAGGCTAAAATAGAGCCAACAGTCTAAGGCTCCTTAGAGTACACAGAAGTTGCAAAAGCCTAAGGCGCTACTCCTAATTCCTCACCGAATTCGACTTAAATTCAATTCCAAGTTTGATATCACAGTAATGCATTCGTTCGTAAAGCCTTCGACTACTGCACTTACTACATTTGCTCCAAGTAGCTGGAACCTTTAACCCCTTTCGCGACGCAAAGAACATACCTGGCGTCGTTAATCTGGCAGTCGCGGCACCGATACGCGATCGCGCCGTACGTCCACACCACGTTGCACTGCGACGCGCCGTGCTCCGCCTCCAGTTCCTCTAGATAAACGGCGAATCCGCCGGGATGTGCGCCGCAAAGCACGGTCTCTAAAGCCGCCAGGTCCGAGTCTTTAATCTCCACTATCTCCTCCTGCCACCGCTTTAACTCCATTTTCGCTCGCGACTCGTTAATACCCAAAAAACGTTGACCTTATAACAGAGGTTGCTGCTTCTGGGCATGTGAAGTGCTGTCCTTGGCCGTTTCTCGGGTGACATCAATGTTTTGTTTTTCCCTGGTCGGTCACCGTGCAGTAAACTAAGAAGTTCGCGGCAAAAGACTAACGACCACCTCAGACCGACTGCCTCATACGAAGCAAGGGAGTCATGGAGCCTGGAGCACTGAAAATACCAGAATTCAGAATCTAGGGAAAATATTCATGCTAGGCAGGGAGCAGGTTTCTCCAAGTCTGAAGCCACATAGGAAAATATTCATGCTAGGCAGGTTTCTCCAAGTCTCCAAATGCAAAGCAGATATTCCTGAGTGAGGTGATTTGGGTTCTAAAGAGGTAAAACAATGAATTAGAACGTTTGAGAACGGTAATAAGCATTACCACATTGTAGACCTGGCAGAACCGCCGAGTCTGGTCTGGTCTGCAGCAAGGGCCAATCACAGAGCACCACGAGATTGGACCTTGGGGTTGTACGAATCTGGAAGGCCCTATTCTTTCCACAAAAGTGCAGTACAGTAGAAACTGATTTCTCGTCTGCCTTGACAGGTTCTGACACTAAAGTGTTTCGAGTCCTGCGCAAACTCTGAAATTCGTACAGGAATCGATTTCTTGATTCCAAACCAGCCCTGCTCCTGACCTCTCTGAACCTTGACCACTCTCGAACCTTGTTCTGTCAATCATCCTCCTCCCAGCTTCTCCTTCAGATCACACCACCTCTGGTTGCTTTCAGAAAGCTTGGTTGTTGCAAACCAGCTATGGTTCCCTGCTTGAGGGCTGCTCCTTGGTACCTTCACTAGCATCATGGCTGTGCCGCAGGCGTTGCTGGCTTATCCTCCATCCCGTGAAGGACACACAGGAGCATGCTCCGCTATCTCCTTAAACCCCTCTCACTCTACCCGTCACGGTAACTCGTGTCCTAGACCACGTAGAACATTTCTCCCACATTCGAGCATATCAACTCCTGATACGTTTCAACAACAGCCCCAGTTCCTCTGCTCACGCTCCTCTCATGGAGATCGTAACGGCAGATCTTCCAGATTCTCTCGTCGGTGTGCGGTAGGCCGCGTCCGCGACGGCAGATTACGTTCTTCCAACCACATCCCGCTTTCAGGGTGCTCCGCATCCTCAGGCGAGCCGCTGACGGAGATCTCTGTAGCCGATGGGGATCAGCCGTCTGACGAAGTTGCTGACGGAATCCGTCCGAGTCGCCGTCAATCTTTCAAGGCACACGTCAGAAAGAGCAATGGCGAGAGCAATGGGAGTGGCAGCAGCAATAAGTCGGGCAAAGAAGGGTCTAAAAAGGAAGCTGCTTCTTCAACTCAGCTCTCGGACCAGGGTGGCATCTCCGTCCAGGGGAATTTACCCATTCAGGGTGATTGTGCGAGGGTTTCTTCAACAGACTTCGCTGCCGATGGTTACTATGAGGCCGTACTTACCTCCCTTTCCGCCAAGTACCCAAAAAAGTTCGTTCCCTTCTCCGACTCCTACAGCATCGCCAGCGAAAACCTCCAAGTGTTACTCAATTTCGCCGACGATTCCTTCTTGATTAGCGAAAAGCAGCTTCTCGCCATCTTTCACCGCTTCCCGTCCCTCCTCACCGCTCCATTAGACCCTGCGTCCGTCCAACGCCGATTGGATCTCTTCCACCGTTACGGTGTAACCCGATCTGCATTTTTCGGCCTCTGCTCCCGCTCCAATATCCTCTTGTTTCCCGAGGACACCCTAGCTGAGAATCTGCGTTACCTCCGGCACGACTTAGGCGTCGTCAGAATCGATAAAATCCTGAAATGCTTCCCGCTGGTTCTTAACCTCTCCCTTCCGAACCTGGAGGAGAAGGTTCGGCAGCTCAGGCTCGCAGGACTAAGTCCGGTGAACGAAGTTCTGGAAAGATCGCCGTTCGTTTTAAGCGCACGCGCGTCGGAGATCCAGCGAAAGGTGCAGCTTGTAAAGCGGATATTAGGGTCCAGCAGCAATGTCGAAGACCCGATTTATTACCTCCAAAAATTCCCGCATGTCCTGCTGGCCCAATATGAAACCATGGAGCGGACCTTCGAGGGTATGGTGGAGTATTTTGGGGAGGAGGATACGCGAAGGCTGCTGAGGCGACAGCCGCTGCTGCTGGGGCAGAATTGGAGCGGAATGATGGACACTCTGTCGAGATTAATCGGCGTTTTTGGGAGGGAGGGCGCCGTGCGGATCGTGAATCAGACGCCTACAGTAATGGCTTATTCTTGGAGCACGATCCAGGATAAGTTATTGTTTGTTACAGAGGTTATGGGGAGGAGTATTGCTGAGATTGTGGTGTGGCCGGCGTTGCTGACGAGAAGTGTGGAGAAGCGGTTACGGCCTCGGTACGAGCTGTTACGGCGGTTACCACGGGAGGAGCAGCTGAGCCTGGGCTCGATGTTTGGGTGCACTGACGAGGTGTTCAGGAAGAGGTATGCGAGGAAGATAGCTCTCCTGGCAGAAAGGGATGGAGGAGAGAAGGGTGGGGAGGAGACTGAGGGAGATGGAGAATTAGAAGCAGAGCCAGATCAGAGATAGCGAGAGAGAGGTGATTGCTGCATGAGGGAGGCTGATGCACAGCACGTACAGCTCCCGTTCTGTGCGAGCTGTTGCGAGCACGGGAGGGAGGCTGTGCGAGCACGAATAGCGAGCACGGGAGGAGCAGAGCAGCGGAGCCTACGTGCAATGTTTGGGTGCACTGACGAGGTGTTCAGGAGGGATGCGAGGAAGATAGCTCTCCTGGCAGAAAAGGATGGAGGAGAGAAGGGTGGGGAGGAGGGAGATGCAGAATTGGAAGCAGAAGCAGAATCAGAAGCAGAGGAGGAGAGATGGAGATGATGAGTGCCTGAGGGAGGCTGGCTGTGTCTGCATGGTAGCCAGGGGGAGAGGCGGAATCAGAAGCAGAGTCCAAAGCAGAAGCAGAGGCAGATGAGAAGAGACGGAGATGATGAGTGCGTGAGGGAGGCTGGCTGTGTCTGCATGGTAGCCAAGGGGAGAGGCGGAATCAGACGCAGAGGAAGAGAGAGGGGGGTGATGACAGTGAGAGTTGGCATGCGTGAGTCGTGACTCTGCCTGCATGTTGAGTCAATCACTCTCATCTGCACGTTTGCTCATGACTCATGAGACCTGCTGCTGCTGTCATATTGATGGGGGCAATTAGCGCTGGCTCACATATTGGAAGTATGAGTTCGGCTGTTCCTCTATGTGCGCTGCACTCGTATTAGGGACTGCTGTGAGGCGTACACGGTAGCTCCTCTCCTCTGCCAAGCACCATGGCCTTGAAAAATAATGTGGGTGGTTAGAAAGAAGTAAGCTTTACTACAGTAAAAGCGCAAGACATGCAATCATGATTCGTAACAGCTAACGTCCTGCTCAAGGATCTTTCTGCTCTGTGTCTACAGTGTGCGGAGGAAGCGCGAAACAAGCTCTATGAAGGGCAGTGTCTGTGTCTACAGCGCGCAACAAGCTCTACGAAGGAAAACGTTGGAAACCCAACCCACTAACAGGAGCCGAATGACCGTTGCTGCCACTCCATACTCTGAACCCTAGTCAAGCCTACGAAGACCCAAGCCCTGGTCTACAGTCCGAGTTGCACAGCTCATGAGAGACGAGCCTAGCCTATGGTACTACCCGCACAGGCCCTGTCCAGGAACAGCCACTTATAGTAACAGCCAATCCTAGTACCCGTAACAGCCAATTCTGTGAGGTATCGATGCCCTGCGGGGGGTAGTGCTAGCCACAGACAAAGGCCGGCGAGAAGCGCTGGCCTGTCACGAGAGCGCAGCCAACACTGGTGGTGGTGGTCTGTACTTGTAGCCCATTTTAGTAAGGGTAAGCTCCGGGAATAGCCCCCTTGGGGTAGTAGTCACACACAAAGGTCTGCCAGTTGTCCTTGCAGGGCGCAGCAGCGCAGCCCACACTGGTGGTGGTGTTCCAAACAGCCTGGCATTAGGAGAAGAGAACGCAGGGGGGCCACGAGGCAAGGGGAGAAATTATAGTGAAGCAGGTGGGACAGAAGAGAGTAAGGGGGCACAAAAAAGGGAGACAGTAACAATATGCAGGGACCGTGAGTGAGAGGTTGAGTGAGTGTGCAGTGCGTGTGCAATGCGCAGTCAACTTTAGTGGCGGTGTTTGAAACAGTCTTAACATGATTTCTTTTCGACATACCCGAAGAAGAAGTGCATGCAGTTCCTCAGCTGCTGCCCCGTGCGCCGGAAGGGGTACGCACCAGTGAGTATCAAGGGTGCAGCGCAACACACACACACACACACACACACACACACACACACACACACACACAGCCACTTCAAAGCGCCACATACCCGGATGAAGTGCACGCAGCTCCTCAGCTGCTGCCCGGTGCAGCCAACGCCAAAGGAGCACGTACCAGTTACTGTCAAGGATACAGTGGAGACACACACACACAGACACTTCAAAGGGGCGCTTGCATTGCAAGGGGCGCTTCAAAGGCCCACGTACCCGGATGAAGTGCACGCAGCTCCTCAGCTGCTGCCCTGTGCACCCAAAGGGGTACGGCGAGCGCGAGTAGCGGACGGCCTCGTCCGTCCATATCTGCACGGCCTCAGCAGGGGAGGTGTTGACAGCTGCGAGCGTGTTCTGGCCATAGCGCACGGAGGAGGGCTCCAGGGTGGTGTTGAAACAGCCTGAGGTGGAGTTGACTAGGCGCTGGGCCCAGGTCAGTGCTGCTGCTGCCACTGAAGGGGGTACAACAGGGAGGGTTGGGGGGGAAGGAAGAGCAAGAGAAGAGGTGGCTTAAGCAGGGGTGGGGAGGTGTTGTGGCCGGAGAGCAGTGACGAGGGCTCTAGAGGTGGTGTTGAAACAGGCAGAGGTGGAGTTGACTAGGCGCTGGGCCCAGGTCAGTGCTGCTGCTGCCACTGGTGTGGGAGAAGCAGGGGAGAGGTGGGAAAGGTAAGGAGAGCAAGAGAAGAGTTGGTCGTAGGGCACGGAGGAGGGCTCTGGAGTGGTGTTGAAATAGGCAGAGGTGGAGTTGACAAATTGCAGCTGCCGTCCCCCTCCCTCAAAGCCTGGGCAACGACCAAAGGGCCACATGACAAAACAATGTCGCATGTTTTGCTCCAGACAAGTGTGGGCGAGGCAACAGCGAACCTCCCGTTATTTGCACGAATTATGTGTTTTGTTCCACACGAGCAGCGAGAGTGCACAGCGAGCGCCTCGTTGTGCGGCTGCAGCCACTCCTTGTTGGCCGGTGTGGGCGAGCCGTCCTCCTCCCTTCATATGTGCATGACCCCACTCACACCAGCCCACTCACACCAGCCCACTCACATCAAGCAACTCACATGTTTCGTTCCACACGAGCAGGGGAGAGCCTACAGCAGCACGAGCCTCGTTGTGCGGCTGGAGCCACTCCTTGTTGGCCGGCGTGGGTGAGCACGTGCCGTCCTCCTCTCGATCAAAGCCTGAATCACCACTACGCTAAAGGCTCACATGGCATGCCACACTCACATGGCATGCCACACTCACATGGCATGCCACACTCACATGTGTCATTCCAAACAAGCAGAGGCGAGCCGACAGCAGCGCGCGCCTCGTTGTGCGGCTGCATCCACTCCTTGTTGGCCGGCGTGGGGGTGCACGTGCCGTCCTCCTCCCGATCAAAGCCCGGGTCGCAGCGGCAAGTTGCAAGGCTGCCGCGGGGAATGCAGGTGGAGTTGGAGGGGCACTGCTTCTGCGTGCACACATCTGAAAGGGGTTAGGGAGTTGAGGGAGGGGATGGGATGAGGTAGAGTGAGGTGGAGTGAGGTGGAGTGAGCCTTGGGGAATGCAGGTGCAGTTAGACGGACACAGCTTCTGCGTGCACACATCTGGATGAGGGGGTTATGGGGAACGGCAGTGAACCCTGGCTCGCAGCGGCATTGTTTAGAATTCTAAAAAACCTCTCACAGCGGCACAAGTGTGCCGTGCCTCTACCTGTTAGCAGAGCCTACCTCACTACACTCACCAGTGCACGTGCCGTTGACACTAGTAAACCCCGGTTGGCAGCGGCAGAAGTGCGATGTCCCCTTGGACGACTTGCACATGGCGTTGGGGTCCGAACACGCAATGAGGGCACAGGGGTCGGGATCTGTGGGTTGATGAGGGGAGGAAGTTGGAGATACAGTGTTGGGATCGAGGCAAGAGTCCTGGATAACAGTGGTATTTGTGACATGCGACGTCCCCTTGGACGACTTGCACATGGAGTTGGGATCGGAGCATGCGACGAACAGAGGTCCGGATCTGGAGTGAGGGGAGAGGAGTGGGGAGGAATTGTGAGGGGAGTTGTGTGAAGGGGGAGTTGGTTCTTGTGAAGCGAGGCGGTGAATTTTTGAGAATTCTCAAAAACAACCTGCAAAATGGAGGGGGAGTTGGTTCTTGTGAAGCAAGGCGGTGAGTGAGCGAAACAGAAGGAGCTAGCAGCATTCAGGAATCACGAAGCAGGGAGAGGGATGAGATCTTACAGTAGGTGCATCCGATGGACGCAGCTGCGGCCATCTGCATTGGCAGCTTGCTGCTCAAGTAAAGACAAAGGTGAGGGGAGGAGAAGAGAGGAGAAGAGAGGAGAAGAGAAGAGAGGAGAAGAGAAGAGAGGAGAGGAGAGGAGAGGAGAGGAGAGGAGGGGAGAGGAGGGGAGAAGAGGAGAGAAGAGGGGAGAAGAGGAGAGAAGAGGGGAGAAGAGGAGAGAAGAGGGGAGAAGAGGAGAGAAGAGGGGAGAAGAGGGGAGAAGTGGGCAGAAGAGAGGAGAAGAGGAGAGAAGAGGGGAGAAGAGGAGAGAAGAGGGGAGAAGAGGAGAGAAGAGGGGAGAAGAGGAGAGAAGAGGGGAGAAGAGGAGAGAAGAGGGGAGAAGAGGGGAGAAGAGGGGAGAAGTGGGCAGAAGAGAGGAGAAGAGGAGAGAAGAGGGGAGAAGAGGAGAGAAGAGGGGAGAAGAGGAGAGAAGAGGGGAGAAGAGGAGAGAAGAGGGGAGAAGAGGAGAGAAGAGGGGAGAAGAGGAGAGAAGAGGGGAGAAGTGGGCAGAAGAGAGGAGAAGAGAGCAAAGGAAAAAGAGTTGAGGAAAAGGACGGGTTGAGAAGTGAACAACGGCTGCAGTAGGTGCATCCAGTGGAGGCTGTTTTTGCCATCTACGTTGGCAGCTTGCAGCACAACAAGGGAGAAGGGGAGCGGCGGGACACGGGGCGGGAGGAAGACCATGGGGGGAGGAAGAAAAGGATTGAGAAGTGCACATCGGCAGAACACGGGGCGGGAGGAAGACCACGAGGGGAGGAAGAAAAGGATTGAGTGAGGATATTTTCTAGGCTCCTCAAAACTAAGAAGCCCATGAGTTGCACCGCCGAACAGGTCTCACCTGTACGAGTTGTATCTGGGGGCGGTGGTATTCAGGCTGCCAGGCCTGCGAACGCCAGTCGCGGTGCCCGTGCACCCGTAGCCGGGGAAGAACCACACCGCCCCGCAGTTGATGTGCTCCGGCTGGTTATCCCTGGTGTTCCACCATATGCGCGCCGAGCCCACGCTACGGGCGAAATCCGGAGGCAGGTCGTAGCACGCTACAGCCGGGTTGGGGCGGATGGCTACGAACGGGAGGGATTTCGGCGCGTTGGCGAAATACTGGCGGTTGTAGAACGCGAGGAGCGTGCCCGGGACGGCTTGCGCGAACGGCGCGGACGGCGGAACGACAGCGGGCGGAACGACGGCGGGGGGGACGACGACGGGGGGGACGACAGCGGGGGGGACGACAGCGGGGGGGACGACGGCGGGCGGAACGACGGCCGGGGGAACGACGGGCGGAATAGTGCCCGCCCGCGCGGTTAACGGAAGGTGGGTGATAGTAGCGAGGAGCATCGCGGAGAAAATGGCGAAGATCGCGGCGACGGACGGCGGGCCGTAAATAATGGGCGTTCGCCGCACGGGTAGGAGAGATGGAACAGCCATGGCGATAATAGCGGGTGGTCGATTTGATCCGTAAATCGTAATGGGGGATACAGTAGCACGAGTATGGCTGTGGCGAATTGGTGTCGTTCTTTGCAACAGCGGGGGCTATTTATCGTCGCCGATCTTGCCGACGCGCGAAACGGCATTCCGAACCCGCGGGAAATCGACCAGATGAGTCGATTCGCCAAATCGCATTTCGCGTAGAGAGGAGCGCTTTCTCTCGTGCACCACTGGGGTGAATGTGGATTTTCGGGACGCTGCGGAAATCGACGGCAAACAGCTCGACTCAGCCTCCATAATCGACGGTTCAGAGTTGCCTGACGAGACCAGACCCGAGCTGTCGACGGAATGACGGGCAATTGGCGAGGCACACGCGCATCTGCGGCTCGAAGCACGCGAGCCCTGACTGGGCAGAAGTTCTGGAGCTCGTTTCGTGTGTGTGGGAGGTGGTCGGTTTATAAAGCATGGCGGCAATAATCTTGGGCCGCCTGAAATAGCTGTGGAAGGGGGAGTGCGAATCCGCGACACAAGCAACCTGCTTACTGTTATCAGCACATTACTGCAAGGAATAGAAAAAGAAAAAAGAAAGAAAACGAGGCAAGAAACATGGTTCTAAAAAGGCTATGCGAAAGAATTCACGTCGTAATTCATATTGTAGGGTAAAAAAACGAGAGTTTATTTTCAATAATGAGACAAACATATTGTTTGCTTTCAAACAGATGAGAGGCATTATTCATGGGCAACCCATTAGTTGAATGCATGTTTGTCGAAAAGACGGCTACTCATACATCATGCTACATCTAACGTAGGAACCTTGTGCCTCAGGCCAGGATGCTAGCAGACCCTCTGTTATTCTTCGAGATGCAGAATTCTCCACATAGATTGGTCTCGTCAAAACGGGCAAGATCCCACAATTCCTCCCATAGGGTAGTAGTTGCAAACGTAAGTGCCCCAGTCTCCTTGGCATGGCACCTCAGCACAACCCACACTCTGTGTCGTGTTCCACACAGCCTGTAAACCAGCACCAGAAGCCACAGGTTAGGGAATGCATTACCAGTACATAAATGACTTTGGTTCAAGCGTTGGGTGTTCATAACGAGGGGGTTACCCTGAGGAAGTGAATGCAGTCCCGAAGTTGCCCGTCCTTGCAGCCGTTAGGGAACTCGGCACGGGTGTACCTGAACTGCCCTGACATCCACACGTTTACAACCTCCCTTGGAACAAACCCTAATGCTGCCAGGGTGTTTTGCCCATAGGCGACCCCATTTTCCAGGGTTGTGTTGTAGCAGGAGGTGGAGGCTAGCTTGATACCCCACACCCGTGCTGCTGCTGCCACTGGGTGAACGGGAAGGAGGGAGGAGTGAGGGAATACACGAGTCAGCATGTTGCAGTCAGCGTATTCTGGCAATTTGAAACCCTCTATCCTTTCTCCAGGAATGTGTTGTAGCACGAAGTGGAAGCTAGCTTGCTGCCCCATGCCAGAGCTGCTGCTGCCACTTTTTGGAAGGGAAAGGGGGAAAAAAAATTCAGAGAGCGCATTTTTGTGTAATGAGTCGATTTTTGAGTCGACTCAACAATCGACTCGTTACACACGAAAGAAATAAGAGAACCCATATTTGTTTTACAGAAAATCACAATATACTCAGTATCTAACAATTACCCTCCTCCCTTTTCTACTTTTTGCAAGCCTCCCCTCCCCGCCTACCTCCTTCCACCCCTATGCACACCCTTCTTCACTTGCAGGTGTCGTTCCAAACGAGAGGCGGTGAGCCAACGGACGTCCTTGCCTCATTCTGCAATCTTGGCCACTCATCGTGGTTGGGCTCAGGGGCGCATGAGCCATTTGTCCTCTGCAAAGCCATACTTTCACCCATAACACACCCCTCACTCACAGGTATCATTCCAAACGAGGGGAGGAGAGCCAACGGACGCCCGGGCCTCATTCTGCAGTCCCAGCCACTCGTCGTGGTTGGGCTCAGGGGCGCATGACCCGTTGGGCTGCTGGGCAAAGCCGCGATTGCACTGGCACGTTGCGGTGCTCCTGCTGAGATAGCAGGAGGAGTTGGGCGGACACTTCTTGGAAGTGCACAGGTCTGGAGGGCGGAGGGGGGGGGGAAAGGGGGTGGGGGGAATGGGGGGGGGGGGGGATTGGGGCAGGGATTATCCCAACCATTCAGCGTCGTGGGTTGGGTTCAGAAGCACAGCAAATGGGCTGCTGGGCAAAGCCGGATTGCACTGGCACTGTGCAGTGCTCCCGCTGAGATAGCAGGAGGAGTTGGGCGGACACTTCTTGGCAGTGCACAGGTATGAACGGGGCGGGAGGGAGGGAAGACAGGGAAGGGGGTAGAAAACATCAGGAGGGATTGTTAAAGGAGATCGAACCACTAAGGCACTGTTAACAACTCAATTGCCTGTTATGAATGACTCACCAACAAAATTGCCTAATGAATTTGTACGCGCCAACACAGTTTCCATCGACTCGCATGAAGCCAGGGTTGCATTGGCATGTGTATGCTGTGTTTCCGTACGAGGCGCATGTGGACTTGGCGGGGCATGGGAGCACGGCATATGGATTCCTGCCTGCGGAGCGGCGCAGAGAATGGCTCACCAACACAGTTGTTGTTGACTCGCGTGAAGCCAGGGTTGCATTGGCATGTGTATGCCGTGTTTCCGTACGAGGCGCATGTGGAGTTGGCTGGGCACGGGAGGACGGTGCATGGATTCCTGTCTGCGCAAGGGCGCATGGAAGGAAGGCGCATGGAAGGGAGTATGAGAGGAAGAGAGGTGAAGATGATTCCTGTCTCTCTACACAGAAAGGGAGGGAGAGCAGATTCAGAAAAACGCATGAGAAAACGAAACGCCTAGCACGGCAGAGCTTGCAGCTTGCAGGTGCTCTCGCTCTCGCTCTCGCCCTTGCTCTCCAATACCCGGTTTCTCAGCGGAGAGAGAGCGAGAGTTTCCAATGTCACACCCTCTTCCGCAGCATCTCAGAATAGCTTCATGCCTTATTCCGCACAGCGCCACGACTGCTCTCACCATAAGAGCATGCGATGGATGCCGCTGATTCCATTGGCTGGGCCAACACACTGAAAACCACAATGACGAACAAGGGCAAGATTACGGTCGAATCAGTCATCATAGCACGGCTTTCTGACAAACAGACGATCTACTAAGAAGGATAAAATGCCAGAGGAGTTTTTCCCAGCGCTTACCCTATGAAGCTCACTGAAGAGGACGCATTCGATATAGTCACAGGCCGTGGCAGCCCCTTGGGTGTACCGGCGCATTTGGCGCGAGGGAAGAACCAGACAGTGCTGCAGCTGACACGCGTCACACTCGCAATTCGCGTGCTCCAGACGACCTTCGCGGAGCCTAATTTACTCGCGAAAGCAGCGGGGAGATTGTAACATGCGACCTGGGGGTCTGGTCGGACTGTGAAGTCCGCGAGAGAAACGGGGGAGTTGAAGAACCGCGGCTGATTGTAGAGCGTAATCTGAGTTGCTGGGTCGAAATTCGCTGCTAAAGCACGTATTCCTGCCGAAATAAGTACCAGAGTCAAAACGATTAGTGTGTGATCCATCTTGGTAGGCAAATTACAGGAGGCTGAAAGAAAGAGGTGGTTGAGGTGGCAGCTCAAATTCCAGCAGAAATGGTAACCGGTGCAGTGTGAAATGCATGCGGGAGGGAGGGCCATTTTTGTAGGCGATTGGGGCGAATTTGCTGACGAAGAATTGACATTTGGTTGCGATAGCGGCTCGAGATGCCTTTCGAAATCACGCGACGCGGTGGTGGAGTCAACAGAGTCCGCGTCACCCGAAAAGGTGTGTCGGTGCCCTGAGCCAGGCTGTTGCATTATTTGCATTATGAAGTACAGTGAAAGAGCAGACTCTGTTAGCGAACTTTATTATGCTAAACCTAAACCTTTTTTTTTCCGGCTATGTGAACACGACGCCACCTATGTGGAGGACAGTCCGGCTCCCCAAACACATTGATTCTTGATTTTGATAAACCCTTTTCTGCAGAGGCACATATGAGACGTTCCTTGGGCCGAGTCGCAGACTGAATGAGCAGGGCAGCCGTACAGCGAGCAGGGATTAGGCGCTGCAAGAGAACAGACAAACAAGGGCATGGTCAGCTATAGGACTGCGGATAAACAAGAGCATCACAACTCGTAACATCAGCATAATGAAGGCGCAGGACGGCTGAACAGAGTGGAGGAGATCCACTACGTCTAGAAAACGTAGACTGAGAGAAAAGGAAGACTGGGTAATAGTGGGAGAAAAGGTGATCCAGAAAGGAAGACTGGGCTCCGGAACGTGAGCAAGGCTGATTGGACTGCTTTTGAGTCGACTCAATAGCGGAATGCGAGCAAGGCTGATTGGACTTACTGTAGGAGCAGCCGACGGAAGCCATTGATGCCAGGGGCCCACGAAGGTTCCTGAAACGAAGGCAGAAACAATATCCAATGTGAAAATGGGTTAGACAGCCACCATGCTACAACAGATGGTTACTCATTTTCGACTTAGTAACGCAGACCACGTAATCTCCTATTAGGAATCCCTGATTCGGCGAGCGCACCTTTGCACGGTAAAGCCGTAGCTGTAATTGCGGGGACTAGCATGCTCCGAACCGCCCGGGAGTTTAATCGCCGTCGCGACGCCCGAGCACTGCGATTCCGAAAAGAACCACACCGTGTTGCACATCATGTGTCGTTTCGTGTGGTCGCGAGTGTTCCACGTGATCATCAGCGACCCGACGCGACCGACGAGCTCCTCGGGAAGATCGTGGCACGGCGTGCGCGGGTCGGGACGGATGGCCTGGTACGCCGAGAACTCGTTATAGCGAAAGTCTTTGCTGTCGTATAAGCTGATGAGTGTACCTTGACTGATATCCTCATCGGCCAAGATGGTGGTGGGGAGCAGGGAGAGCAGTGCAAATGCAATAAGACGGAGACGTCTAGTTGTTGCTTCCATGGCTGTCGGACTCTGATACTTTCCGAAACTCCAGGGAACGACCGACCGCGGCTCGTCACTTGAAAATACGGTATCTGAACGTGGCTCTGTCAGAAGGCGATACTATTTACAATTAATTAATCCAGTCTTGAAGTTGACGGACACGGGTAGGCCTTGACGAGTGGTCCTTGAGGAGTGAGGGAGCCGCGCTGTGTGACAAGACGACAAGGATATGCTACGTACGGACTTGTACTAGAAAACTCCTCGCAGTAAAGATGACAACCAGTACATTTCTGAAGCACCTCAAATATAGCTTGCTTCCGTGCACGAAGTCGTCAGTCAGGCGGCGCTTCGTACTCGATAGAAGCTTTTCTCCCCTAAGGGGACTGAGTGGAGTGCAGTGTAGCACCCCTTGGATGCTGCGCCCCGCGCCAACGAGGACAACTGGTTCCCCGTGTTTTTGCGCCTGGCTCCTGCGCCGCCGCCAGGTGTGTGGTGGGCGCAAGTGTGTGCGCGAGTGGTTGGGGCCATAGGGCAGTGTGCTCGAATCGCGCTGAGCCTAGTGGGCGTGTGTGGCATCATACGCGATTCAAAAGAGATTCACTAAAATAAACAAAAATTATATGGTTACAAAGAACTCGAAAGTGAGCCAAAGGTGTTCACTAGTTACACGATTACAAATGTCTAGAAACTAAAAGTTATCCACTATAGCCTACTCTAAAACGCTTAACTATATAATTTCTACGCACTGATCAACTATATAATTTCTACACACAGATCCACTACCACAACATGGACAAGGGCCTTCTAGCATGCCCTGGTATGCTGCTGATGCGAATGCTATATGTTGCTGACACTAACTGCTGCAGACACTAACCCTACAAACGTTGCTCGTTTCCACTGTGAGCTCAACCTGCCCCGCGCTTTGGACGAGGCGGGCTGATAGTTATTTCCATCGATACAGCAGCAAGTGCTTCCTGTGTGCAGCTAGCAGCAAGCAAGCTCGACAGGTCTCCTCTCCTCATGGCCGGAAAGTCAAATATGTATTCAGTCAGGTCTCCCCTCTCCACAGGTCTCCTCATGGAGCTGGCTATCTGTGAAATGTCGGGGTGAGTGGGGGAGCATATGCTAGAGTAGATTGCAGCTGCGAAGTCAACTCGTGCGCACGCACCACAATCAGAGGGTTAGTTGAAGAACTATGGATGGACACACGCCATGGCGCTAGGTTGGGGAGTGAGAGAAGATCACTCGCAGCTGCTGCTGTTCAAACTGCTCCTGCTCCAACTGCTGTTGACAATGCCACTGCTCCGACTGTTCCTTCCTACTTTTTCTCCCTATTGCTCCTACTGCTCCCACTGACGCTGCTCTGGCTCCTACTGCTCATCATAGTGACAGCCACTGCTGGTGCTGGTGCTGCTGCTGCCGCAGAGGCCTTATACAGCTGCCATTTCTGCAGGTGCCTTAAAAAGCACGTGAATGCCACTACTCCCCCTCTCACCCCACTTTCCCCTCCACCCCCACTGCTCCCTGTCGTCCCACTGCTCTCCCCCCTCCCTTCCCACTGCTCCCACTGATACTGCTGGTTTTAAGTCCATGTTGCTGGGCCTCCTGCCTTTAAGAGTACGCTGCTGCACCATGTTGATGCGTCAGATTAGACGCAGCTGCAACTGCTGCTGCTGCTGCGGGAGTCCCAGCTCTGGCGTTTGCTGGTGAAGCCGAAAAAGGCTTTAAGAACACGTTGCTGCGCCATGCGGATGCGTGAGATTGGCCGCAGCTGCCACTGCGGCTGCTGCTGCAGGAGTCTCAGCTGTGGCGTTTGCTGCTGCTCGCTGGTGGTACCTCCTGGAAAACACCTCCACCAGCGAGTGAATAATCTCCTCCTCAGATACCACCTGGGAATGTGAGTGGGAAGGGAGGGGAGGACGAATATGGACGGAGAGAAAGGAGGGGGTTAAGGGACGAACGAAGGAAGCACACTGTGGATGGCTGGCAGTACCCCTCCTGGAAAACACCTCCAACCAAAGAGTGTAATGTAAAGAGAAAATGCTCCTAAAAAAGGCAGCAGCGAGACAAGGAAGGTCTACAAGGGATGCTGGATGTATGTACCTGAAGGGGGTGAGCATGAGCAAATTGCATTCATGGTGATGTGCTGAGATCTGGAAAACGAATCTTGGAGATAGTGAGTTGACAGTGACTTGACTAATTGGCTGTGGATGGCTTCCAAAGGACAGTGAGTTGTCTACTTGGCTATTCAGTCAGCAGGCGTGAGGTGCGAATGGACCAGGACTTGGCTGTTTGGGCACGTACCAAGCTGGCAAAGTGCTGCGCCACAGCGATTTTGAGCTCCTCCTGCAGGAGCAATGTGAGGGGGTGGGGCAGAGGGAAGGGGAGAGGTGAGAGGAAAGGAGAGACGTGAAGGCAGGACCCATGGCAAGCTGGCAAAGTGCTGCGCCACTGCGAGCTTGAGCTCCTTCTACAGGGGGGAGAGTGAGAGGGGAGCAGGGTGAGAGGGGAGGAGAGTGAGAGGGGAGGAGAGTGAGAGGGGAGGAGAGTGAGAGGGGAGGAGAGTGAGAGGGGAGGAGAGTGAGAGGGGAGGAGAGTGAGAGGGGAGGAGAGTGAGAGGGGAGGAGAATGAGGGGGAAGGAGAGTGCGGGGAAGCGAGTGCAGGAGAGACAGAAGAAATAAGTGGAAACCGAATAAGTAAAACAAAGTCAGTTGGGAATGCAGATGAGCACAGAAATACACCAAAGAACCCTCCAAACAGGGCCCACCTACTTAGGCCAAACACCCACCTTGTTGCCAGAAGACGCATCTCGGAGCTTGTACACCCTCTTATATCGCTTCAGCGAGCTCGTCCCTTGGACAGGTCGACCCTGAGTGTTCACACTCACACCCACACCCACTCAACCCAACCCTGCATTACCACAACTCGCGTGGAAAGACAACCAAGCCAGAAAGCCACCCACCTTGTTAGAAGACGCGTCTCTGAGTTTGTACACCCTCTTATATCGCTTTAGCGAGCTCGTCTGCAGCTTCGACAGGTCAACCTTGAGAGGCACACTTCCCCACCTTGCCAGATGCCCACCAGCAAACTTGCACACCTAACAGAGAAGCACCCACCTTGCCAGAAGACGCGTCTCTGAGCTTGTACACCCTCTTATATCGCTTTAGCGAACTCGTCTGCAGCTTCGACAGGTCAACCTTGAGTGGCTTGGTGCTGGCCTGCACCCTCTTGCTGCTCCTTGGCAACCCAGAGGACGCCGCTGCTGCTGCTGCTGCTCCTACAGGAGATTTCCTCCACCCATGCTCGCTGTTACTGTTATCTTGGCTGTTACTGTGGTTACCACCACCGCTAGATGCCTTTCGAGCCGCCTCCGCCTCTCCCTCTTCCTCCACCCCTCCGGTTCTCTCGTCGTCAGCTGTGTCCATGGGGTCAATCTGGTCAATCTGGTCACGCTGGTCAGGCTGGTCAATGGGGTCAATGTGGTCAACGGGGTGGATCCTCTGGTCAACGGCAGTTTCAGGCTTTGATTGGTCAACGCGGTGGTCAACGCAGTGGTCAACGCGGTTAGCTGAGTCAGCCTGGTCCCCGCCAGGGGTTGAGTCGCTCGAGGGGTTTGGGGAGCGCAACGAGTCCTGGAGTCCCTGGGGCGGGGGTGTGGGGGAAGGGAGGACAGATTAGGCGGGCCGCGGGCGGAAAGGAGAAGCAGTAAACAGGAGGAGCAACCGCCGAATGGAACTGAGAGGACGCGTGGCAGGTGGGAATGGTGGATTGTCCTTGGAGGGGGGGGGGAGGGGGAGGGAGGAGAGTGGTTGGGTTGGGTTGGGTTGGGTTTGTGGGCAAGGAGGGAATTTACAGGGAAAGTGTCGCTGTCTGTGTCGTTGCTGCTGCCATGCTGACCGCTACCGCCCTCATCACTCTTCACCGCCTCGCCTTCCCCACCCGTTGCTCTTCCTCTTGCCGCATCCCCCTTAAACAACACCTTCACACTGCTGCTGCCCCTCCCGCCCCCTGCCCCTTTCCCCCCTCCTCCCGCCCCTCCGCCTGCTCCTGCTCTTCCTCCCCCCTCTGCCCCGTGCGCTGGTGCTGGTGCTCCTAGTGGGGAGACAGGCGAAGCACCAACAGCTGCTATGGCTGCCGCTGCCGCAGCAGCAAGCAGCCCGTTTCTGCCACCAGCAGCAGCAGCGCCACCGCCGCTTGACTGCCTACTCTTCCGCCGCCCACTAGGAACCGACCCCCCTCCGCTTCCCCCTCCCCCGAACAGTATCCGCGCGGGGGAGGGCGAACCCCCGCCCTTATCCCCACCCCCTCCACTTCCACCTCTCCCCCCCCTGTCCTTTTCTCCCGCGGATGCGCCGCCCCCTGCCTCCGCGGCAGCTGCTGCGGCCTGCGCGATCGCCAGGCGATCCGCGGCGTTGTGGCGACCCAGGCGACGTCGTTCGTTGGCGTCCGAGTGCTGGATGAAGGTGGAGGGAGAAGTGGGAGGGAGTGGGGAAAAAGGGGACTTAGTGTCTGTTGAGGCGATCCACGGCGTTGTGGCGACCCTGGCGATGTCGCTCGTTCGCATTGGAGTGCTGGATGTGGGAGAGAGAGATGAAAGGGGGGCGGGGAGGGGGGGAGGTGGGGGGAGGGGGGGCAGTAGAAGGGAGGGGGGTGGAGTACGTTGAGGCGGTCCGCGGCGTTGTGGCCACCCAGGCGACGGCGCTCATTCGCATCGGAGTTCTGGCTGCAGGTGGGAAGGGAGAGGTGGGAGAAATGCGGGAGAAAGGTAGAAAAAGCAGGGAACTTACTTAGAGGCGATTGTCTGCAGTGCAACATCCGGGGCACTGGTACGAGCGTCGAACGATCTTAAAGACGTCGAGCTCCCCCCATTCCTGACTTCGCGCCTTGCCTCAATCACACGTCCGCGTTCTTACCTTGAATTGGTTTTTGAGAACTCTCAGAAGTTGAATCGGTTTTTGAGGCGCCTCAAAAGTTGCGTGAGGAGTCTATTTTTTAGGCGCCTCAAAAATAGACGCCTCAAAAATCGGTTTTTGAGGCGCCTCAAAAGAACTCTCAGAAGGTGAATCGGTTCTCTGAGAATTCTCAAAAACCAATTCAACTGACTTCGCGCCTTGCCGCAATCACACATCCGCGTCCTTGCCTTGCCCGCACTTCTTAAACGCCTCAAAAATAGACACATCCGCACTGCCTTCTTACCTTGCCCGCGTCGCGGCATCCCGGGCACTGGTAGGATCGACGGTCGATCTTAGAGACGTCGATTCCGTACTCCATCTCGCAGTCTTCGTGCGACCAGCGCCGGCAGTTGCGGTTGGTGCAGCCGATCCACTGAGAGGGGGGGAGGGGGGCGGAAGGGAGGGGTCGAGAGAGGGCAAGGGAGGGGGGGAAGAGGGAGATGGATGGGATGGGGGACAGTAGAGTACTCATCACGCAGTCCTCGTGCGACCAGCGCCGGCAGTTGCGGTTGGTGCAGCCGATCCACTGAGAGAGAGGGAAGACAAGGGAGGGGGACCAATGCACGAGTACGATCAGGAACGTCGATATACCACGCATTCTGGGAGACTAATTAAGAACGAGGACGAAGAAGGAGACGGAGTCGGAGACGGAGACGGAGACGGAGACTATCTACGGCAGAGAAACAAGTACGTACTTGTTTCTTGTCGAAGCTGTCTGGATCTCTCTCGCGGTAGATCTGAACGCAGAAGGGGCAGTACTTGCCCTGCCAGACACACACGCGAGCAAAGGACCAGGGAGAGCAAGGCAGAAGGCTTTTGAGTCGACTCGTAAGTCATCTTGTCGAAGCGCTCTCTCGCGGTAGATCTCAACGCACAAGGGGCAGTACTTGCCCTGCCAGACACACACGCAAGAGAGAGAGTGAGCGGAAGGCTTAGAGACCAATCAAACGTACAACGGCAACAGAGTCCAGTCCACGTCCACGCTCGATAAGGCAAGAATTCTTGTGGAGGCGGCATTCCCAAGAGTTCAGCCTCTGGGAATGCCTACAGGGGTTCTTCCTGTCCACTGTGATGGCCTCGGGAATACCGTACTGTACTGGAGAAAATACCGGTACCGGTTTCCAACCTTGAAAGCATCATCAGAGTTTTGATGCGAAAGGCAGCCTGGCATGAGGGTTCAACCTTGGGAGTACCAGTGCGGTACTGACATCCGGCACTGGGAATTCCGTAAGGCGATTCGGTACTGATTCCAGGCCCCCAAATATTTCGCGAGGTAACCTGGCATCGGGATTGCCACAAGGCAGTTCGGCCTTGGGAGTTTCGCCTATTTTTTAGCCGCTTCAAAAATAAATTTGAGGCACCTCAAAAAACGCCTTGGGAATATTGCCGAGGGCAGTGCAGATATCCGGCACTGGGGATATTCCCAAGGCGACTCTTGAGTTGACTCAGAAGTCACCACGATACTGATAGTCGGAACTGGGGAGATTCCCAAGGCCAAGGCAGTGTGCGGTACTGATGGGTGCTTGGTAGCTCGACGAACCTGATCGAAGTTGATCTTGCACGCGTTACATAGGGTAACATTGACGGGATCATCCTCGCTGCCGTAGTTCCGCACGTGCCAGCGACAAGTCCTGCGGAACAGGGAGGAATATTCGCGCGTAGGTGGAATCGGAGGAATTAGTCGGCAGTTTCTAGAAGCATTTACTCAGTCGAGATACACAAGGTCTGGCGTGTATTCGGAAAAAAGAAGGGGAAACAATTGGAGGAAAATTCGGTCAGCAGTGCAGTACTAGCAATAACGGAAGAGAGGCAAGGCTTAAGCAGGGCTCAGATTCGTACGGTCCGTCGCCAGGCGACGTTCTGCGACAGAAGTTGTTGGAGCACATCACCACCGCCTTGTTCTTCCAGCTCTGCATCTTTCGCAGCTTCCCTGGCGACCCCGCTCCAATGTCTGAGCCCGCCGCCACCCCCGCCGCCGCCGCCGCCGCTGCCGCTGCCAGCGTGCTGCAGCCGCCGTTGCCGCTCGCGGCTCGCAGCAGAGCCGGCCGCAAATGCCCCTGCGCCGTGTTGACTGACAGAAAAGAAAAAAATTTACGGGCGCCGTCAACAGAACTCGTTAAATGTTAAACGGAATACGTCTGCTCGCGTTAAGCCTCTGCTGCCTGCAGAGGCTGCTGTGGACACGACACCGGAACGAGACGAATATCTCGTTCCTGTACAGAGCAGCCGCCTCCGGGAAGAATAAAGCACACCGTTGGACAAATAGGGGGACCCGCTTCTTCCGCAGCTCTCATTCCCCCCTTCCCCCTCTTATCCCGACGGGCAGCACCCAGCGGTGAAATCTTAGCGACTGACAGTCCACCTCTCTTGTTTACGACTAGATGAGCCAGATCACCGATTGGCGAGTGCCTGGCTTCCTCCCAGATTTATTAAATCTGCACAGAAGGGGAGTGTGAGTCGGGCAAGAAGGGCCGTGCAGATTAAAACTTCGTCGTTTTTACATTCCGAAATCGATGAAAATGGAGAAATTCGGCCGTTCTTAATAAAGGCTTAACGCGCCATTGCTCATAGAAGCGTGCAGCACTAGCAGGCTCGAACAGTCGGCAACGTGAGCCCGTAATCTAGCGACTATTACGGAACTTCTTGGGCGCTGCGGAGACTAGTGCTTCGTATTTTGTAAAGGCAAAGCGCAGTTAGTCGAATGCACTCTAGTAGCTTATTATTATGGCCCAGCAAAGTGGATTAATGTATAACCGGCAAAGGCTCGTCCGAGTGAGATTCGGAGGGCTAAGACCGCGGATAAGCTCCTAAACGCGGGCTGCGAGGCTGATGAATAGAATCTAGCAGGCGGTCGAGGAAATTTTTTGAGGCGCCTAAGAGAACGCGGGCTGTGAGGCTGGTCGAGGTCGAGGAAACCCAGAAGGGTTTGGCAGAGGGTGGTGATCGGCTGGCCTAATCTGAGCAAAGCGTGGACCGGAAAATGCCTACCTGAATGCGGGCAAGCAGCGCGTAGGGGCGGGAAGGATCCCAACACCGTTCGGCAGGAGAGTGAATTCGACTAGACTAAACTGGCAGCTCGCCAGCGATAGGAGGGTGAAGTAGGGAGCCTGCCTAATAAATACTGGAATCTTGAATCTGGTCTGGTGTGGGTTTTGCGCGAATCTGAGTTCTGGAGGTCAGGGAGGTGTGAGGCAGCTGCTACCCGCAGGGAACACGGGACACGGATTGAGGCCTCAAGTGAAACTGGAGGCAATGCAACCAAAATCGGTTCACGCAGTCGAGGGGGGTGGGATGATGGAGTGGGAGGGTTTGCACTAGCCATCAACTCTTCGGCTTGACCTGTCTCATGTCATTCACGCCGCACCGCATTCATACAGATTCCGCCTTTCCCTCGCCTGGTTGGCTTCCTCCTCCTTGGCTCCACCAGGGATGACTGTATGCCAGCGTACACGCATCAAACAGGAGAGCCCATCACACGGAGGACGCTCGTCATCCATAATGTTCGAAGAGGAAGTGGATTCCAATCTAACATACAGTACAGAACAACGGATTCCGCGAATAGTGAGAGATTTCCCCCAACCGAATTCGCCAAAGCATCATCCAGACGTTCGAACTTCCGCATATTTCGCCTTTCGCGCAATTTCTGGTTCGGCACCCCCAGAAAGTGCAGGCTTGGAAGACATTTTGTCGGACGGAATCCGAACCAGCCAGCAAACGCGGTTCGTCACGCCGTTTTAGCGAAGCGCGGTTGGTTGTTGAGCGCCACGGACGAGGCGCAGGAGCCAACGGGCGAAAGCCACCTGTTCGCGAGAGTATTTTGGCCACGTGCGACAGCACGGCCGTGTGTGATGGAGTAACGAAATTCAAACACGAGGATACAGTAGCGGGAATTCGCTTATGCAGGCGACGTGCCCTCCTAGTAAAGGACAAAAACGTGATTTCGGTAGGGTCCCACCGAAGTTGAAGTCCGTTTTTGGTCCGCACGACCGAGCCTGCGGACGCAAAACGGTAGGTCGACGACGGTGGCTTGTGACTGCAACGGTTTTCGTTTAGCTCGAGTGTAGATGCCAACGCAGGCAATTGTACTCCAACCAGCACAGTCCACGCGTGAAGAACGACGAAACTCGTTATCAAGCGCTTCAGAAGAATGTATAGAACGCAGCTCAGCTTGCCAACAGTTTTGCTGCTTATCGTAAAACCCTGACGCCAAAAGAACTCCCACGATAAGGCTTGAAAATCATCGCCCACTAACCATCCAGGACCAACAGTGTGGGTCAACACTTCCCACCTAGCGCGGTTCCGCACGTCCCTAGCGCTTTAGTAACTCCTGTTCACAATCTGATTCGTCTGCTACCTTTTTCCAGATACCGACAATGTCCGACGACGCAGAGACTAATGACGTCCCTAAGGACGCGTCGCGCGACATGCAGCAGCAGAGTCGCGCCCTAGATTCCATCACCGACCATGTCGAGGAGCGACAGCTCGATGCGCGCCGAGTCCAAGAGGTACGCCCAGCCTGCGGAGTGCTTTTTTTTAATCGTTCTCAAAAATCCCACACTGTCTAATTAAGTCGCGCTTAAATCCCACGACCTGCGACAGTCAGATGCTCACTGAGTTCAAGGGAAAATATGGCGGCACATGGGGTTATTGAGAGGCACATGGGGTTTAGTACGGTATGAATCTGGGCTAATAGAGAACGTCGGTAAGGCTTCCTGCATTAACAGACAGGCGAGCCATGCGCTAGGGTTTCAGATGACGATTTGAATGGTTCGGAGCTTCGCTACTAGGCCCATATTCTCCCGTATTCACACGTATTACGCCTGGCAGGAGTTGTTATAGCCGCCGCCACAGCTTCCAGGTTTTAGGATGAGCATGCGATTAGCGAAGGTTGCATTGATTAGCGAAGGGAGCCTCGAATTGCGAAAGCTGAGCATGCTGTTTCACGTTGCCTGGCTCTCAGCACGTCCTGCACTGCTGACATCAGCCTTCCCCTCCTGCTTCGTTGATCTGATGCGTTCTCCTTGTTTTGAGGAGGCTCTCAGCACGCCCTGTACTGCTGACATCAGCCTTGCCCTCCTGCTTCGTTGATCTGATGCGTTCTCCTTGTTTTGAGGTGCCTCAAAACTAGGCTCTCGGCACGCCCTGTACAGCTGACATCAGCCTTGCCCTCCCACGTCGTTCTTTTGATGCCTTTTCCTTGTCGGTGCAGGCCATGGCGTCGATCGCAGCGTCATCTGCGGCGGACAGGGAGGCTCAACGCGCCAGGTACGGCCATGGAGTACCTTGGAACATACGAGGTCTATTATGGTAATTTACCTCCATTGCATGGCATCCGTTTGTACTTGGACCAATAGCATGGCAGGGTGTATACATTAACCCTGCATATGACCATGCCATTGAGGCCATGGTATGCTTTGCATTGCATGGCTCGTTTGTTGCATTGCAGGGAGAAGGAGCTGGCTGCTGTGAAGATAGATTCAGTACCCATCAACGTGATTGCTTCAGAGTTCAAGTTGCGTTAAAGCCCATGCCCATGTTTCGCTCTGCATTGCATGGCTGCTTTTCTGCGTTGCAGGGAGAAGGAGCTTGCTGCTGTGAAGATAGACTCAGTTCACATAGACGTGATTGCTTCAGAAATGGAGGTAGGTGAAGTGAAATGGAGGTCAGTACTTTTGACTTGTCCTTGGCCGTCTCTATTTTTTTTTAACATCCTTCCTTCTCTTGTTCCTTTATCCTAGTCGTGTACTCTATTTTCATCATTGGTTTGCATGTCCTTCTGTTCTTTGCCTGTTATGTGAGTCCAGGTTGACCGGAAGGTAGCAGAGAGACGACTAAGGGAGCATCAAGGAGACGCAGTGGCTGCATTGAGATCTTTCCTGCATTAAGGACTCTATAAACCAATTATATTTTGCATTTGTTTCTATAGATGTACTGGTAGCTAGTCCACTTCATGGGGAACCTTTCTTCTAGTCGAGTACCGTACTTGTAAGGTAGAGATAATGTAATCTCGCCAAGGTTCAACGTGTTATTCAGAACGCTCTTCGCGTCAATGTCGAGGATCCGCCGGTGTTACCCGTAGACATTTCACCAGCTCCCACTTTTTAGGAGCCACTCATCTCAGCTACACCGTCCCCAGAAATCACCGACTTCAGCGGCTGCAGAGCAGAAATGCCAAGCCTAGGAGTTAGGGATGCGCGCTGTTCAGCCAGCATATAGCGCTCCCGCATCTTGCTCTCTCTAGAGAAGCGCCTCTTTTGAACGAGAACCTTCTACTCTTGCCGTGTGCGCTCGCCTCTTTCGCCCTATCAGATCTCATCGTCGTGCGCGTTCGTCAGTGCGACTAGGAATCAGTAATCACCGTTTGACGCCGGGGTGCCGATGGGAAACGTCAATGTTAAGGTCGGTATTTTTTTGTCCGTTTGAACGCGCGTTCCGCGAATCATGATCGTCCCCTCCGTCTTCCAAGTGTTGTTAGCCATGATAGAAGGGAGCAGCAGTGTAATCGAGACTTTTAGCAAAAAGATTGACAGTGAAATGCACAAAATGCCCGTCCCCTCCGTCCCCTCCGTCTTCCCGCCTTTGGATTGTGCTCTCCCCACTACCCCCCCCCCTTCCTCTTCCTTCCTTCTAGTTTTGAGCCGCCTCAAAACTAGTCTTCCGTCCTTTGGATTGTGCTCTCCCCACTACCCTCCCCCTTTCCTCTTCCTTCCTTCTAGTTTTGAGGCGCCTCAAAACTAGTCTTCCGTCCTTTGGATGGTTCTCTCCCCACTATCCCCCCCCTTCCTCTTCCTTCCATATTCTCACGTCTCTCTCCCCCCCCTCCACTCCCCCCCCACCCCACCCCCCTTCCCCCATCCCCCCTCACCCGCCCTATCTTTTCCAGGACGGATTAGATTCTGTGGGTCTATCAAATCTCTCCCTCGGGAATGCCGCGCTGGGCGGGGGGCGAGCCGCAGCGAGCGCTCAGCGCGCAGCGAACTGGAAAGCCACGGGGATTATCGCTTTAAGAGATGCGCACCTGAAGGTGAGAGGAGAGTGTTGGTACTTCCAACGGGCCTTCAGAGATTGCCGATGCGTGTTCATAATAGCGCACATTGAGGAGGGTAGGCAGCAGCGAGCGCCCAGCGCGCAGACAACTGGAAGGGCACGGGGATTATCGCTTTAAGAGACGCGCATTTGAAGGTGAGGGAGAGTGTAAAATGATTCGTGATACAACCGCGTCTTAAAAAATATACTCGCTCCACCTCTGCGCTTGCCCACTTTCCCTCTTTTTAACCTCATTCTTTTATTTTTTTCTTCTCCTTCTTTCTCTCCTTGTCCCCTAAACCGGTCTATTCCCGACGCGGGAGCCTCATCTTTAAGTTGTAACTCTTCCTTCCACGGTCCACCGTGCACTTACCCACTTTCCCTCTTCTCACCCTTCTTTCGCCCCTTGTCCCCTCAACCGGTCTATTCCCCGAGACAGTGTTTGACGCAGGAGCCTCATCTCTAACTCTTCCTTCCACCCCTGTGCTTGCCCACTTTCCCCTCTTCTCACCCTTCTTTCTCCCCTTGTCCCCTCAACCGGTATTCCCGAGGCAGTGTTTGAATTGAAGCAGGAGCCACAGCTCCCAGCTCCTCCCTCCGCCCCCACGCTTCCTCACTTCCCCTCATTTTCCGTCGTTTCCCCCCCCTTTTTTCTCCTGCCTCTTTCTCCCCTTGTCCCACCAACCAGTCCATTCCCGAGGCCGTGTTTGACGCAGGAGCTGCAGCTCGAACCGTAGATGCTTCAAACAATAAAATAGGTATGGGGTATCCATCATGGGGTATGGGGTATCCATCATGGGGTATGGGGTATCCATCATGGGATAACGCGCCATCAGCGGTGGTCTTTGTGGCAATCTGATCATGGAGTAACACTTTGTGGTGCCAAAACACGGGGTAACATTCTGTGGGGGTAACTGCTGTTATTATCAAATCATCTAAGCCCATGTTTTTACCTCAGCAGTATCGTTCTACTATCAAATCAAACACGTTCCTTGGTATTTTTAAACCTGTGAGCCATGGTATTTTTGAGGCGCCTAAAAAATCTACTCCTCATGCATTGGTGTTTTTAACCTGTGAGCCACGGGCCATGCTCACATGCTTCCGTCACTTGCTGTTTCTGTCCTTCCTCCTACCCCTCCCGGCTCCAATCTCAACCGTTCAGTGGAGATTCCAGAGGCGATCGGACGACTCACGTCGCTGCAGCGGCTGGTTCTTCCCGGCAACCGAATCGAGCGCCTGCCTGCTTCCATCGGGTCCCTCGCCTCCCTCAAGGCTCTGCAGCTGGAGAACAACCGACTGACAGAGCTGCCCAATGAAAGTGAGTGCGGCTAGCATGGGCGGATGAGCCGGAAGGGGATGGTGGGAGCTGACATCGCTGCCGCGGAGCTGCTGGTTCTCCCTGGAATGCAGCAATGACAATAGAATGCAGCAATGACAATAGAATGCAGCAATGCCAATAGAATGCAGCAATGACAATAGAATGCAGCAATGACCATAGAATGCAGCAATGACAATAGAATGCAGCAATGACAATAGAACGCAGCAATGACAATAGAATGCAGCAATGACAATAGAATGCAGCAATGACAATAGAATCGAGCGCCTGCCTGCTTCCATCGGGTCCCTCCCTCGCCTCCCTCAAGGCTCTGCAGCTAGAAAACAACCGACTGACAACGGTGCCCAATGAAAGTGAGATGCGGGGATAAAGGGTTGGAGGGTGTAGGAGGGGGTATGAAGGGGTTTTGGTAAGGGTTAGAGGGGTGCCTGCCTGCTTCCGTTGGGTCTCTCCCTCCTCCCTGAAAGCCCTTCAGCTTGAGCACAGCAAATTGACCGAGCTGCCCAATGAAAGTGAGATGCGTGGATGAAGGGGTGGAGGTGTAGGGGGCGGTTGTGTCAAGAGGGGTGCGTGCCTGCTTGAACTGGATCCCTCTCCTCTCTCAATATTCCTCAGCTGGAGAGTGTTTCTGAGATTTCTTAATGAAAAAACACTGTTCAAAATCACGAGGGGTGCGTGCCTGCTTCCACTGGATCCCTCTCCTCGCTTAATACTCTCCTGACCACCCAATCACCCCCTCTCCCCTCCCCTACCCCCCGCCAACCCCCACCCTCCCCTCTGCCAGTTGGGTCCCTCTCTGGGTTGGAGCAGCCATCCCTCTGTATCCCAGACCCTCTATCCAGCTGGTTGCTGGTTGCTGGTTGCTGGTTGCTGGTTGCTGGTTGCTGGTTGCTGGTTGCTGGTTGCTGGTTGCTGGTTGCTGGTTGCCTTTTCCCTCTCTATCCCAGATTCTCTATCCCAGATTCTCTATCCCAGATTCTCTATCCCAGATTCTCTATCCCAGATTCTCTATCCCAGATTCTCTATCCCTGGCCGTTTGGAGGAATCTGAGAGCTGCAGTGCAGCAACCAGCTGCAGCACCTCTCAGATTCCGTCGGCAAGCCAGCCTGTGACCACCCAACCACCCCTGCCCCCCGCCAACCCCCACCCTCCCTCCACTCTGCCAGTTGGGTCTCTGTCTCGCTTGGAGCGGTTAACTCTGGCCAGCAACCAGCTGCAGCACCTCCCAGATTCCATCGGCAAACTAACCGCTGTATGTTGACTTCCTCTTGCTTTTCCTCCCTTCTCAGCCTAACTCCCTTCCTGCCCCCTTGTCTCCTCTCCCCTCCTCTCCCCTCCTCTCCCCTCCTCTTCCCTCCTCTCCCCTCCTCTCCCCTCCTCTCCCCTCCTCTCCCCTCCTCTCCCCTCCTCTCCCCTCCTCTCCCCTCCTCTTCCCTCCTCTTCCCTCCTCTCCCCTCCTCTCCCCTCCTCTCCCCTCCTCTCCCCTCCTCTCCCCTCCTCTCCCCTCCTCTTCCCTCCTCTCCCCTCCTCTCCCCTCCTCTTCCCTCCTCTCCCCTCCTCTCCCCTCCTCTCCCCTCCTCTCCCCTCCTCTCCCCTCCTCTTCCCTCCTCTCCCCTCCTCTTCCCTCCTCTTCCCTCCTCTTCCCTCTGTTTACCGTCCTCCAATGTGCCAATCATCAGGTGTTAGTCACCAGCTAATCCCAAATGTCTCGTCATATGCCCGTCTCCAACTGCTAGCCCTTCCCTTCCCTTCCTATGCGTTGCAGCCTCATTCTATGAGTCCCACCCATTCTATGCATAGGAAGAGTCCCACCCCTCAGTGCCCATCTCCCATCCCATCACCCCCCTAACAAGATAAACATTTTTTACGTCTCTTCCAACTGTCTCTCCTGCCTCCACCCACAATCGCATCCCATCCCATCCCATCCCATCCCATCCCATCCCATCCCATCCCATCCCATCCCATCCCATCCCATCCCATCCCATCCCATCCCATCCCATCCCACCTCATCCCATCTCATCCCATCAAGTTTCCCTCCCGTCTCCCCCTGCTCCAGTTGGTCATTCTTGACATCTCTTCCAACTGTCTTTCCAGCCTCCCATCCACCCTCGGTAGCTGCTCCGCTCTTCAAGAGCTCTCTTTACAAGGTGTGTTATTCCATCAACGGGGTTTCGTTACAAGGTACATCGTTCCAAGGTACAAGGCCGGCTTCCTTCTACAGGGTACATTGTACCAAGGTCAAAGGGAGAAGGCAGTTATGAGCTGTTTCAGTGCGAACTTAAGTTTCATTGTACTGGAGTTTCTCTGTGCACGTTTGTCCACGCAATCTGAAACCCAATTTGAAACGCAATCTGAAACGACTTTAGAGCTGTCCTAAAAAATCACCTAGGGAATCGTCTCCATCTACACATTAGAATTGTCCTCAATCTGAAGAGCTTTAGAATCGTCTCCATCTACATGTCTGGCCACGCAATCTGAAGCATCCCCTTCCAGCTCCCAATGTTGCCCTTTCCACTTTCCGCCCTCTCTCCAGCTAATCGGCTAGCGGGCCTTCCCCCCTCGATAGTGGACCTTTCTGACCTTCGCACTCTAGCCCTCGACAACAATCGGCTCACTGATGTATGTGCATCCTTACTGCTCCATCTCACACACACACACACACACACGCACACACACGCACACACACACACACGCACACACACACACACGCACACGCACACAGGCACACACACACACACACGCACACACACACACACGCACACACACACACACACGCACACACACACACACACACATACACACGCACGCACACACTCACATCACACACACACACACACATACACACGCACACACACATACACACGCACGCACACACTCACATGACACACACACACACACATGCACATGCTCACACATGCACATGCTCACGCACGCACATGCTCACGCATGCACATGCACATGCACATCCTCACAGATGCACATGATCATACACACTCTCACACACCATGCTCAAAACATTGTACTGCCACATGTGCATCCTTCAGTTTCAACACTTCTGCTTGTCTCCTCTCCTCTCACTAGGTCCCACCCTGATTACCTGTAACATCCCCCCGTCTTCCTCCCTCCAGCTTCCAGCCAAACTCTTAGTTAAGTGCCAGCGGCTGCACACGGCTACCTTACGGGGCAACGCGGTTACAATAGAGCAGTTTGAGCAGATGGAGGGGTATGCCGATTATGAGGAGCGGCGGAAAACCAAGGTGGATAAAAGGATTGCCGCTAACGTCATGCTCAACGACCAAAGCCTCGATATAGGCATCGATCGCACGTGACACCGGGTGTATCACGGCACGGAACGGACCGCAAATATGGGGTAAGGCTTGCAGTGGGTTACTTCATGAGGCAACGGGGTTACAATAGAGCAGTTTGAGCAGATGGATGGGTATGCTGAGTACGTGGAGCGGTGGAAAACCGATGTGGATAAACGGATTGCTGCTAATGTCATGCTCAATGACCAAAGCCTTGATATAGGCATCGATCGCACTTGATATCGCACTTGCCAGGCATGGCATATTGCGACCAAAGTGGGCAAACGGATTGTCATAACTGACTCGCTCGCTCCATTATTCGAAGCCTGGATGTAGCAATTGTATGCCTACTGTTCGATAGCAACATTGCAATCATGCAACTGTGGTGCAGAACTCTTATTTGTCCAATACTAATTCCAATTATCTGAGGTCTTTGCATCTTGATATTTTATCATCCCCTAACCACCCCACAGCCAGAAGCAAGTGCCTCGGCTCTTTTCCTAGGGACAAAACAGAGGCCAACCACAAGAGTATGCATGCGCTTGCTCCCGTCCGGCTCTTCCTTTTGAGTCGACTCAGAAGTACGCATGCGCTTGCTCCCGTTCCTCCTCATACTCGAGCTGCATAAGACACACACGAAGAGGAAAAGACGGGGTAAAGAAAGGGTAAAGAGGGGTAAGGAGGGGCATTGAGGGGTGAGGGGGCGACACAGCAGGATGGATGGCAACAGGAAAGGCGAATGACTGACAAGCACTGCGTACGGCGCACACAAGAGAGAAGGACAGCATAAAGAGGGTCAAAGCAGGATGAACGGGGGGGGAAGAGGCGGGGGAGGCCCAAGATGGAGGGTGCCTAGTAAGCAGGGAAAGCTTCGGATGAAGCAACAGGGAAGGTGTCTTTTGGCTTTTTTCAGGCACCTCACAAATGGACAAGAAGGAGAGTGTGTCAAGAAAGCAAGAAAGCAAGAAGATGGACAAGATGGAGGATGCCTCCATGCGAAAGGCATCCTCCTTTCGGATGCCTTTCCGGATGGCTTTCTTGTCTAGAAGGCAAGAACATGCATCCTCTGCCCTCAGTGATCCGGAAAGGCATTCTCCACGTGCCCCCTCCTTACCTCCACGTGCCCCCTCCTTACCTCCACATGACCTCCCTTATCTCTAAATACCTTCTCCTTACCTCGATATGTCTTCTCCTGCCCGCTTTCCCAGCAGCAGCACCCTTCCCTCTAGCACCAGCAGCACCAGCAGCACCAGCAGCAGCCGCAGCAGCACCCTTTCTTGCCCCCGCCCCAGCACCCCCTGCTGCCTGCTGCTTCCCCCATCTCGCCTGCACACTCCTCTCAAACTCCATCTCTGCTTCCTCCTCTGCCTCCTCATCCTCCTCCTCATCATCCTCCTCTTCATCCTCCTCTTCATCCTCCTCTTCCTCCTCTTCCTCCTCCTCTTCCTCCTCTTCTTCTTCCTCCTCATCCTCCTCCCCATATTCCTCCTCTCCCCCCTTCCCACGCCCAGGCAACGCTAGTCTATCCCCCATATCCTCTATCTCTTCCTCATCTTCCTCCTCCAAATCATACCCTTCTACAAACTCCACTTGAGGCTCATAATCCTCCTCCTCCTCTTCTTCCTCCTCCTCCTCATCCTCCTCTTCTTCCTCCTCTCCCTCCAATTCTCTGTCCTCCACCCCCTCCTCCCCTCCAACCACCTTCACTCTTTTCTTTACCGGCCCATCCTGCTCCTGCTCCTTCTCCTCCTCCTCTATCCTCTTTTGGAACTGCTTCAGTGGGAAGTTATAAAGCTCGCCGTACGTTCCGCTCTGTAGCCGCTGCAGAAGCTCCTTCTCAATGGCCTGGATAGGAGAGGATAGTGGAAGGGTAAAGGGAAGCAGATATACTTTTATATGCAAATTAATACATATTATTAACTGTAATAAGAAGTCGCAACAAGTGTAAGCCCCATCCATGACCATCAACCCCCTGGACTCACTCTATCAATCTTGGCAGCCGTCTCTACCTTGGCCTCCCTCTTCTTGTCCCGCTTCCTCATCTTTGTCAGCACCATCACCAAGACAGACATCCAAACAACTCCTACCCACAACAACCACCCTCCCTCTCGTCCTCTCACCCTATCAATCTTGGCAGCCGTCTCTGCTTTCGCCTCCCTCTTCTTGTCCCGCTTCCTCATCTTTGTCGGCATCATCACCAAGACAGACATCCAAACAACGTCTACCCACAACAACCACCCTCCCTCTCGTCCTCTCACCCTGTCGATCTTAGCAGCTGTCTCTGCTTTCGCCTCCCTCTTCTCGTCCCTCTTCCGCATCTTTGTCGGCATCGTCACGAGCTTGGGCCTGACAATGTGAAGGGAGGGTGTGTATGGGAGGGACGAGGGGGGAAGGGGGGCAGGGAAGAAGTGGGTTTAGGGGGTTGGGGGAGGGGAGGGGATGGGTTTGAGTCAACTTGAACGCGCTTAGTTAAAAGTGTATTGACAGAAGCTTGGGTCTGAGGAGACGCGGAACGACTCATCTCTCTTGGCTGCACTGCACTCACTGTATTTTGACCGCCAGTCGTTGCATGCGAATGAGGTACTGAGTCAGGTGAGTGAGTCGAAGCTTCAGTGGAGGGGTGCTCTGACAACCAGGTGAGACAAGTTCACTTCTCTGTGCTGCACTCACTGTATTTTGACTGCCAGTCGTCGCATGCGAATGAGGTACTGAGTCAGGCGAGTGAGTCGAAGCTACTTATCTCTGTTGGCTGCACTGCACTCACTGTATTTTGACCGCCAGTCGTTGCATGCGAATGAGGTACTGAGTCAGGTGAGTGAGTCGAAGCTTCAGTGGAGGGGTGCTCTGACAACCAGGTGAGACAAGTTCACTTCTCTGTGCTGCACTCACTGTATTTTGACTGCCAGTCGTCGCATGCGAATGAGGTACTGAGTCAGGCGAGTGAGTCGAAGCTACTTATCTCTGTTGGCTGCACTGCACTCACTGTATTTTGACCGCCAGTCGTTGCATGCGAATGAGGTACTGAGTCAGGCGAGTGAGTCGAAGCTACTTATCTCTGTTGGCTGCACTGCACTCACTGTATTTTGACCGCCAGTCGTTGCATGCGAATGAGGTACTGAGTCAGGTGAGTGAGTCGAAGCTTCAGTGGAGGGGTGCTCTGACAACCAGGTGAGACAAGTTCACTTCTCTGTGCTGCACTCACTGTATTTTGACAGCCAGTCGTCGCATGCGAATGAGGTACTGAGTCAGGCGAGTGAGTCGAAGCTTCACCAGCGACACCATGCGAGGCGGCCACCATTGCTGGAATGCAAAAAATGGGGACGCGGGAAAAGGAGAAAAATGGGGAAATTAATGTTTGCGGGACACATAGATTGTAGATGGAAGTTTGATGTAAAAGCGCATAAACTTTTGACAAGATGGTGCAGTTAAGTTGCAGAACTCAACCCTGTTGATTCTACCATGCCTTTTTCTCTCAAATTATCAAGGAAATTCACCCGTTCTGACCAATTTTTGAATTCCGAGAAACAACACACTCACCAGAAATTTATCCACTGCTTCCAGAGCTTTGGTGTAGTTTCTCGGAAGCTTCACTCGCTCCCAGAGCTTATTGGGCATGTGCGCCCTCTCAATGGTCTTCATGTAGAGGTACAGCTCGCCTGTTTGAATTTGTGTCAAACAAAATGGGATATTTTATGGAAAGTCTTAGAATGGAAAAATATAGCGAGAAAGGAGCAGCAAGTGGAGGCATAGCGAGAGGGTGAAGAAGGTCAGGGAGGAGGGGATAGAGGGGGGAGGAATGGGCGGATTGGGGGGGGGGGGGGGAGGGGGAGGGGAGAGAGGGGGGGGGGCGGGGAGGGACTCAAGGCACTACCATCGTGTTCTCGCACTGTGGCGTAGCGGCTGTTGGCCAATGGGCACACGCCACGTTTGCAGATGGCGTTCAGGTTGAAGGGGTGTCTGCAGAACGTGTCCGTCTGCTGCCTGCACCACGCCAGGCCAGGTTTACACAAACGGACGTGTTGAAAACGGACACAAAGGATTTTCGCACAAAGAATTTCGAGTTTGCGAAAACGAGATTTTGAAATTTTCTAAGACGCGAAAAATGATTCTGTTTGGTTCCTCCACTAAGCGAATCTGGAGCAGAGCAGGGTTTAAGTTCAGGGGTTTCTGGTTGAAGGTTTAAGTTTCATAAGGGTCGGGATCGGAATGGAGAAATAAAAGACGCTAACGGGAGATGCGCGCCTACTAAAACGATGGCCGACGCATAGAGACAAGCGAGCACGGAATGTTATGCTCCGGAACGATTTTTGAGGCGCCTAAAAAATCTCCGGAAATATTGAGGACGCACTTGACTCGGTAACTGCAAGGGCCTTTCCCAACGAGACCCCAGATGACGTCATCGTGCTGCATGGCCGCGTGTTCCTCTTCCCCGCGCGCTGACCGCACCTAGACACCTCGCGTCGCGTGCTCCTCCTCGTCAGATTCGACTAAGGAAAGAAATCGCCTAGTTCAATCAGAGCGACTTGAATCGCCTAGTTCAATCAACAGTTCCCTCAAGTCGCTCAGCCGCAACGAATCGACAAGCAGAGCGTGAAGGAAAAGAGCCGTGCACGGGAACTTTCCTCCAGGCGCTGCGATCGGCTCGGTGAAACGAATAATGGGGCTAAATTTAACTGGGATAGGCGATACAAGCTACCAGAATGGCTAGACGGAAAATGGCGATCGCTGCGGTCGGTGGCTGAAGCAGGGGAGTTGATCGCTCAGTATGGGGGGAGGGGTGTGTGAGGCCAGGAGGGGAGTGTCGATACGGGCTGTTCCGAGATACCAATAATATGCATGGAGGTTGGATGAAACAAAATCCGTCACAACTTTCCATATTTAGGTCTCATTATATAAATGTGCGTTAAAAACTGCCATAAACGTTGTTTCTGAACCTCGGGTCCTGCAACAAAAGTGGATTGAGAAACTAGGCCTTGCAAGATCGCGATTCTACAATCATTTGCAGGGCTGCTGCACCTCCTCCTTACAAACCGGACAAACCTGCAATACACACCATGCACAAAAAGGATGCGAGTACGCCTATTAGTTCCCTGTTACCAAGGCATGAACTGCACGCATGAGATAGTAACTCCAAGCTTTTACGTGCAGCCAATCACGACACTGAGCTAACATGCAACGTAACATGTATTCTTGCATGACACGGCGACTTCAAAGATGCAAACCAGTATCCCATCCATGGGCAGAGGCCAGGCGCAAATCAGGCACTGCACATGACAGGTCAAACCCTCACCTTGTTGCGACCCAGCCACTGCACAACGCACTCCTCAAGGTACGAGTGATGGCACGGTGGCAGCAGCAGCAACTCCTCTCCTTCCCTTGCGCTGTTGCACAATGCTTGTAGACAAGCGAACCACCTCAACCTAAGTCTCACCTTGTTGCGACCCAGCCACTGGACAACACATTCCTCATGGTAAGAGTGATGGCACGGTGGCAGTAGCAGCAACTCCTCTCCTTCCTCGTACTCCAACTGACAAATAGCACACCTGAGAGTCATATCAGAGGACAGGGACCACGTGAGAATAATCGCCAACACAATATGATGATCACGAGGTGCCTGAGCTTCTCCTCTTCCTCTTACTCCAATGGACAGATGGCACACTCGAGGGTAAAAATGCACAATGATGGTGAAAAAAGGGGAGAAACTAAGGCGCTTGAAAACCACTAATGGTGCACAGAGCTGCCATCCCACGGTTCAGTGTACTTACATGTCCTCTCCTCGTCTCAGGGGTGTCTTGGTACTGTAGGCGACACGTGGCAGAGTGCCAATGGTTGCTTCTGACAGCCCCTTGCTCTCTGTTCCAATCACCTCTCCCAGTGCAGTCAGCTCCTGCAGAGCACACGTGGCATAGAAAAGCGGGCAGGGTCGGGCTACAACATTCCTCTTTCCTCTCTACGCAGCTCAGACATCCCAACGCCCAATCACATCCCCCAATGCAGTCAGCTCCTTCAGCAGAGCACACGTGGCGTTGTAAAAGAAGGATCAAGTCGCAACAGGCGTCCTCTTTCTCGACCCACCTCACTCACGGGTACCACACCTTCGTTAAAAGAGAGTGACGGCTGAAGCTCACTGCAACTCTTTCTGGTGAGAAGACCAGTCACGTCTTGCAGTGCCTCAAAATACCTCAGACATCTCACAGGGTGTTTTTGAGAATTCTCAAAAACGTCTTGCAGTGCCTCAAAACACCTCAGGCATCGCACCTCCTTCCATCCTCACACTTCACCTCTCTTGTACCATGCCATGCCACATGTCCAGCCTACTGTACTCGTGATGAGCATCTACGGATAGAGATGCTCAGGGTTTAAGGCTTCGGGTTTAAGGCTTCGGGTTTAAGGCTTCGGGTTTAAGACTTCGGGTTTAAGGCTTCGGGTTTAAGGCTACGGGTTTAAGGCTTCGGGTTTAAGACTTCGGGTTTAAGGCTTCGGGTTTAAGGCTTCGGGTTAAAGGCTCATTAGGAAGAGTTCTCCTCACCTCATACGTCATCTCGAAACATCCAGTGCATCTTCATCCAAATCTGCCTTTGAGTCGACTCAAGGCCGGAGCAGTCAATTCTCACCTCATACGTCATCTCGTCTACATCCAATGCATCTTCATCCAAATCTTCCTCTTCACCATCCTCCTCCTCCTCCTCATCCCCTTCCTCCGAATCCTCATCACCCTGCGAGCACAGCACAGGCACATAAGTTGACACACAGATGCAATTAAGGTGGCCATATAGAGGAGCAGACATGGTTAGAGACTCGGTACGCCAAACGCAAGGCCTCGAATCCACACAGTCAGCTCACCTCTGCCTCGCCAAACGGCCAGGGAATCCCGTGTGCTGCTGCCAGCATCTCTGCTCTCCTCCTCGAGCTGGACCCTGCAGCAACAAGGAGAGGAACAAGTTTCAGGCCAGGAGAGGGCTTCTTTTTAGTAGACTCAAAAGGCCGAAGGATCTCGTGTGCTGCTGCCAGCATCTCTGCTCTCCTCCTCGAGCTGGACCCTGTGTCAATGACACAGGAGATTGAGATTCCGGGCAGGAAAGGGAGGGGCGCCAGCAGATGTCAGCTGAATACACGGCTATAATCACTATAATTTAAAGCTTAGGACGCGTCATACTGCCGCAGAGCTGACTAACGCCACGCCCAGCAGGTTGGCCTGGCGCACCTCGCCCGTCGCCTACTTAAAACCCAGCCATGGCCATCAGCCTGCGCGCCATCTCGCGCTCTTCCTCCTCCTCGCCCGTCGCCCAGTTGAAGCCCAGCCACAGCCATAAGCCTGGGAGCCATCTCGAGCTCCCCCTCCTCCTGCAACGATGCGGCTTTCGAGTCGACTCTAAAGTTCACCTAGACCTGGTTACCACCCACCCGCCAATGGCGACAGTGACGCATCTCGCCCGTCGCCCAGGTGGAGCCCAGCCATGGCCATCAGCCTGCGCGCCATCTCGCGCTCCTCCTCCTCCTGCAGCGTTGTGCCTTTCGAATCGACTCTAAAACCTAGAACTGGCTATACCCCCCCCACCGATGGCGACTGTGACGCACCTCGCCCGTCGCCCAGTTGGAGCCCAGCCATGGCCATCAGCCTGCGCGCCATCTCGCGCTCCTCCTCCTCCTGCAACGCGCGAGCAAACGCCTCGTCATCCTCATACGCTGCCTCCGCTGCCTCGTCTGCCTCCCCACCCCCTGCCTCCCCTCCCGCCCTTGCCTCCCGTCCCTCCCCATCTCCACCCGCTACCTCTCCCTCCCCTTCGCTTCTCACGCGAGACGCTCCCTGCGCTGCTGCTACCCCCCTGATGGCTCCTCCAGCATCGATTTGCCCATCCCTGGCGACGCCTGAGACGTTCTCAGAGGTCTCCGGTTCGAGTCCAAGCAGATCCACTTCGCTTGCTGACTCGCGTCCTGACTCGTCAGCAGCTTCGCCTTCTCTTTCGCCATCCTCGCCAGCTTCGCCTATTTCAACATCCTCTTCGCTAGCTTCCTCCCACTCGCCGTACTCATCGTCCTCCGCATCCTCAAACTCCTCTTCCTCATCCTCCTCATCTTCAAGCTCCTCGCCCTCGCTCAGCAGCACAATGGGACTATCTGCAGAAGAGCCTGTCTGACGATCCTGACGGTCTTGACGGTCTTGACGGCGACCCTGACGGCCTTGACGGCCTTGTAGGCCTCTGGATCTGTCTCTAGAGCCAGCGCGAGAGCTGGAAGCTGACGTTGACGCTGACGCTGCTGCTAAGGCTTGCTGGTGGTAAAGCATCATGAATGCACACTCCTGGGAAAAAAAAAGCCAGAACAAATGAGTACAACAACAACCGGGAGAATTAAGACGAACCCCATAAAATTAAAAGCGAAGCCAGCCTGTCCGCCCTAGATTTATGCGAAGCCGACCTGCCTCTGTTAGCTCTATGTGAAGCATACCTGTCTGTCTTAGATCAGTGCGAAGCCTACCTGTCATTCTTAGATCATCGCGAAGCTTACCTGTTTCTCTTAGATCATCGTTAAGTCTATCTGTCTTTCTCAGATCATCGCGGAGCCTACCTGTTCCTGAATCGCACGAGCGAGAGCCAAATCAGCCTCCATCTGGCTGCTCTCCGTGAACGGAGTCCGTCGACGACTTCCGCCTTCGCTCCCTTCCTGACCGTCTACCTCGCCGTCTTGACTGGCAACCGTCTCATTCAGCTGATCTCCAACATCCCCTGATACGTCTGGCCGTTCAGCGGAGCCGGGAGGAGAAGAAGATTCACCGGCCTTGGCTGACTTGCTCGATACTCCATCATCAGACTTATCAGACAACCCGTTCCTGGCTCTAGATGGACCATTCATGGCTTCAGGCGAATCGCTGGATTCAGCAGCTGTCGTAGGAGTCTGCTCTTCCGGATGGTGATGCCTACTGGATGAACCCATCACGGAGGAAACGAATCCCTCGCTCTAGTGACGGGATACCGAACGAAGATCAGAGGTCCAAAAGTAGAGCACGTTCCACACGAGGCTAAGCTAAATCCACCGTATTACGGTACATCAAGGCTCAGAATACACAGGTCTCGTAGATTCGGTAGATTCCTGTTTCTGGCTTCTGCTAACCATCAGGGTTCTATGATCTAAACCGTTAGGTGATGGCTTGGCTCAGCAGTACAAACCTTCAGCGTTCTATGGTCTCGCCTCGGGCTGTCATGCAGGTCTGTACTGCTGAAACTCGAGGGAAAACTTCAAGGCTTTACTCGGGTCGGGAGGCACACTGGAATCCAGAATCGAAAGGCGACAGATGGATGGAAAACCCCAAGATGATGATGTGTGGATAGAGTGCTTTGAGTGACCATTGGCCCTGCCGTGTGGATGAAGCAGCCGTTCGGAATTGACGACGTCACCTTCAAACTATGGTGCTGATTGGTTGGTACCTTTTTGCGAAGGATGCAAACCCGTGAATGTAACCGCTAGTCGTCAATGTAGCGGTCATTCGGTTTGAGCTCGTCAGCGGAGCGCTTTCTGACGAATCACCGCTCCATGTCTCAGCAAAACTTGGCGGGAAAGCTGAACCACCACCCACCAATTTTTGTTGTTATTGGTTGGAAGAAAGAGGTTTGGAACTGTACACTCGAATATCAACCTATATACTACGGAGAAGCTTAGCTTGAACACATAACGCAGCACGCTAACTCGAGACATTGTAAAACCAAGGTTCACTTTTCCCTA